ATATTCACACTGTCAAAATGTTATATTAAAAATAATGTGTAATGTATTCCATCTCATTCTCTCGCCGACTTAATCCTATACATTTGTATGTTTGTTTATTTATCGTGACGCATTTTCGTTTCATCGAGTTTCAAACCACAACGATTCTAAAGAAGTTTCACTACAAAGGTTGCCAGGAATTATCAAAATAACTTTTAAGTTTTGCATTGTAATTTTGTAAGGTAAAACTTCGGAGATTTTATTATCTGGTAATCACAAAATCACATCATCATCATCATCAACAGCCTTTAATAGTCCACTACTGGACATAAGCCTCTCCTTAGAAAGGAGGTTTTGGCCTACTATACCACGCTGGCCAGACGGGTTGGTATAGGGTTTGTGTCAAGTTTTCCTTCTCTCTGCAGTGCTGTTGTCCGGCGTAGTTTTTTCCCTTAGTCGGCTCTTACGATACCCACGGGATGAATAGGGGTGGTGACACTCTGTATTCCTTATCCGTCACCACACGGAACACAAAATCACACTTGCGTATAATGACATCCATTTTTAACCCCCGACGCAAAAGCGACGGGGTGTTATAAGGTTGACGTGTCTGTGTGTGTGTGTGTCTGTCTCTAGCATCGTAGCTTCTTAGCTATGTTTGATGAAAATCGGTCGCCGCCGCCACAAAATGACGGATTGTTTTTTTTTTCACAACTCCCTCAATATGGGTATCAAACGAAAGAGCTGGACTAGTAGAATACTAAACACTATGACAAATTTTAAATCCAAGATCCGCTCTATACCTTAAAAAATATTGCTTTCGCGCCAAAACAACACGGATACAGATTATATATTATATTATAATTCGTTGCTAAATTAATCTTTTTTCTGCCACGCGGCGAACACGTTATTGTTAAGTGGGTCAATGCTTTGTCGTTCATTTAATTTTGTAAACAATTCGCAATATTGTACAAGAGTGTAATGAACTGCGAAACCGAGATCGATTATTTCTTGTAAACTTTGAATTTGTTAGCAAATATAGATTAGATATACATATAAATACTCTTTATGCGGACTAAAAGTAAAATTCAAAGCGTTTAATATTTTATAGATATCTTAATTTGCAGTATTAACATATAAGTATGTATTCATCCCGTGGGTGGGAGCAAACAGCACTGCAAAGAGAAGGAAAACTTGAAACAAACCCTTTACCAACCCGTCTGGCCAGCGTGGTGTAATAGGCCGAAACCTCCTTTCTAAGGAGAGGCCTATGTCCAGCAGTGGACTGTTTAGGCTGTTGATATGTGTGATGAACATGTAAGTATCTATTATCACTTTTATTTGAGATATTTAATTGCAACATACAGATGTGAGATATTGTTTATCTTACTCTTAAAAAATCGAAAGCGCTTATTGATAAAAAAAAATACATCACAACGCACGCAAAATATCGACATCGCCCAAAATTTGTGATAAAAAAAATATGATACTTGTGAAATCGCTCACAAGGCATTGTAGTAATTATAGATAGACTAAACAGCGAAGTGCATGTCGTGGATATCATGTTACACGACCACAACAATTTTAAAATTAAATTGTTATGCTTTTTTTTACTGAGAGATAAATCTATTTGCACTTGAAGAAGATTGTCTGGCCTTTAAAAGAAACGATAATCCCTGAGGATGTTTCATCTTTTCTTCTCTAGTCCAGTAAGGAAAGGCCGATTTCATCTGCTCTAAAAAAGTTTAACATGCAAAAGTTTTCTTGTAATCTATTTGCAGAATAAACGATTTCATTTCATTTCAACGCATTCTAGCAATGAAGAAATGCAATGAAACGTAAGGAACTTCTTTCTAGGTTCGTTTATGACCGACGATTAGACACGAACGCAGCTCTGTGGTGTTTTTGTAATTATCACAATGCGTTAATGCATTGTGGTCATTTTCATAAGAACTAAAACATGAATTGTATATTTTTCACGACCTGCATCCCACCTGAGGAGATACGGGGCCGCAAGAAATCAGGGGCCACCACATGCACTTTGTTTGTTCGTTTTAAAAAGACAACTCCCGCACTAGGAATATGTATATATGTCCTGGGTCGCGGGGGACTTTAAAAACATATCTGAAACGGACATAAAGAAAATTCAGACTCAGGAAAACAATCTGTGGATCACACAAGGTGTCGTCCCATGTGGGGTTCGAACCCATGTCACTCAGCCTAGTAGGAAGCGGCGAAGTCATCGTACCGCAAACACTACGGCATCGGTGCAATCCAGTTATGACCAAGAAGGCACTGACTGCATCTACGTATGTACTGTATTGTATGTTTATGTCTAGACACATGGAAATTATTGCTAATTTTAAATCATATTTACATTATTAAAAAAAATGGTTTTAGTCACAGCGATTTCACATGTAGTTGTGATTATGTCATAGACAAAGATAAATGCCATTAAAATCTTTTTTTTAATTTGGATAGAGTACCAGACTAGACTCTACTAACTAGACTCCCAGACTAGATTAATATTAATAACTAGCTGACCCTGCAAACGTTGTTTTGCTATTTACATTATTTAAAAATTTTTTTTTTTTGAATTTCTTAAAATCCGTTCTTAGCTGACTCGGTGAAAAGGATATTCCTACCAAATTTCAAGTCTTATGGTTCCAGAGATATCGTGATGAGTGACTATATACGTGGAAATCTCTTATATATATATAGATAAGTCGCAATGGTTTTGTAAATTTGTCATAGGTGTGATCAAATGATTTATAAGTAATATGATTTATTTAATCCCTAATTCACTTCTCTCATTAGCCTATTGCCGTCCAATGCTGAACGAAGGTCATGATGTCAGCATACATATTTATACTCCTAACATACACTCCTAATAAAAGCAAATTAGCAATTAATAGCTTAGCTGTACGCCCTGTACGGGATTAAAAAAAAATACCCGCTATGTATGATCCAAGTGCCTAATATTATAAAAAAAAACACACTGAATCTGTTGCCATATATAATGTTTTTTGTTTAAAGTTTGTAGAGTTTAAAGTCTATGAGTCTATTTAGTAAACTTTCCTATTCTAAAATATTTCGGCTGTGTGTATTGCTAACCAAATACTCACAGGTAACTTTTGGGTATGTGACGGGCTTGGCTTGGCTTATAAATAGGATAATGATCAGCGTTATCTTTTTGTCCTCATTCTTGTACCCCGAATTTGATGAAACTTAATGCCGCCTTTCATATTTAAGTGAGTAAACCTGTGAACTTTTTATAAATTTTAAATTGATTAACTGAAAATTACTCTAGAAATTACTATTCTTCGTCCGTGTGGTGACGGATTAAGAATACGGAGTGTCGCCAACACTATTCATCTCGTGGGTGTCGTAAGAGCCGACTGAGGGAAAAAACTACGCAGAACAACAACACTGCCCGTCTGACCAGCGTGGTATAGTAGGCCAGAACTTCCTGTCTAAGGAGAGGCCTATGTCCAGCGGTGCACTATTAAAGGCTGTTGATGAGACAATGAAGTAAGTACTTTTACTCACATGAAACGCCAGTAAATCTTTAACCACACTTATTTTTGTCTAGCAGTGTCCTATTAAAGGCTGTTGATGATGATGATGATGGTAGAACAGTCATGATTCAGCACAAATGGGCGATATATGTGAACCTAACTCACCTTGATCTTCGAGTATTTCTGGCCATCGATTTTTTTCACTAATATGATGGGCATACACATAGGGGGAGCGTCTAGGGCACTAGACGCTCCCCCTATGTGTAGAGCTCATGTATGGTGAAGGTACTCAACTGGGTGTAAGGTATTCCTCTTATCTTTATCTGATTGTCTCCAGTAAACCCGAAATCCCTTCTAGGGCTACCCTACTATTACTTTTCCCTCACTTCCAACGTGCCAACATAGCGACACATAACCTGTTAAGCCCAATTATTTTGGATATCAAAGTTTTTTACAAATCTTGGAAATTTTAATTTAACTGCGTTGAAGCCCCAACAAAAGGTTTTTGACCATATTATTGTCCAGTTCCATTCATGAAACTAAATTTTTATTCAGAAAACCATTTTTTTTCCCTGGGAGGTTTTTGTTTGTTGTTGTTGACGGGGTGGAAAATACCTTCAGATCTCCGGCTCCTCAGGGACGCAGGAGCCAGGAGTATGAGGTGTTTCCACTAAAAATTATATATATTTTGCCCGGCATCTGATTAAGCAAAATTACAAACGATCGAATGAATAGTAGAGCAGCACATACAATACGAACAAACACGCATTTAGGGTTCTGTAGTCCTAAGAAAAAACTCTTATAGTTTTCGACATGTCCGTCTGTTTGTCCATCTTTCCAGTGGCTGGTCTTTTGATCTAGTGGTTAGTGACCCTGACTGCGAAGCTAGAGGTCGTGGATCCGATTCCTTCCCAGAACGAATAATTATTGTGCGATGCGAACGATCATTCGTTCTGTGCTGTATGTATTTAGTAATACATAAGTATGTTTATCAGCAGTCTGGTTACAATAGCACAGGCTCTGCCTAGTTTGGGATCAGACGATCGAGTGTGAGATGTGTAAGGCTATTATTATTCATCCTCAACTTAGAGACTTTTAGTGATGGAAAGCTTTCACACACACAGGCATTTCGCTGATGTTTTTTATTTATAAGATTTGCCCAAATCCAATCTCACTTTGTACTACAATATTATGTGAAGAGCCTGAACGGTGTGCGAATTTCAGATAAGGCCCTAATCCCTACCAAATAACGTATATCAAAGGGCATTGTTACAAAAGAAAAACCTTTACTCCGCCTTCTACCATCCCTGATTGGTCAATCTCGTCCCGACTGTCGACCAATCAGAGAACGTTTCTGTTACCCCTTCGTAATTTAAACATTGTTATAGATTTTTGTCAGTCGCTTTTAATACGTTGTGGTGTGAACACAATTTTGTGTTTTGTCAATACTCCTATTGATTATTTTGTGTCATTTTTTTTTGGTTTAGAAGTGATTGCGTTTTTATGCCAACCGTGACAGATATTTCAGGGACTAGCGGTAAGTGGATATGATCTATGTTTTCAAAGGATAGATATATATTTTTCTATTGATATACTCGGAAAGTAAATGCAATTTAGGACATTAATCATTAATGCTCAGGAATTAAGGTTGTAAATTAAGCAAAAAATACGAAATTACATATATTAACAACATATACCTACACGTATATGCAAGTCAACATTTATAAATCACGTCATTGCGGAAAGGAGAGGGGCTTCAAAGACTTCAAGAATAGAAGAAGATAGGTAACAAAACAGTTTAAATTAATTAATTATTATCGGGAAACAACTAGGAAGTATGCAGTGCCAAAGTTATGTTATAAATATCAAATAAGTACTAAGCGAGGACAAGAAAATAAAATGTAAAATTAAACTAAAACTTACAGAAATTTTTGGTTATAGTAACTGTAGTAGATACTCGTAGCTAGATTATCTATACTCTATACAAATAAATAAAATTGGAGTGTCTGTTTGTAATATTAAAATAACCGCTTTTTACTAAATGCATATGTATGTTTACACGGTACATATGCCAAAATATCATTTTTTACAATATTTGTCTGTCTTTCTGTCTGTCTGTTTGTTCCGGGTAATCTCTGGAACGGCTGGACCGATTTCGACGGGACTTTCACTGGCAGATAGCTGATGACATAAGGAGTAACTTAGGCTACTTTTTTTAGACTAGCTTGGCTCCGCGGCGTTGCCCGCGGTTATAACAACAAACGCGGGTAAAACCGCGGGTCTCAGCTAGTACTAAATATAGTTCAATAAGTCTGTTACTTTATATTGTTTTCCACATAACTTAATTTTCCAAAACTAGGAGTGGCATTTTTTCTTCACATTTAAATGGAACTAAAGGGGAAATATACCATTGCAAAAAATAATAATTTTTATAATCGGTTTACAAATGAAAGAGTTTTGAGGTAACAAACAATTGCGTAAAAAACATTTTTTTTGTCTAAATGTTTAGTAATCTCATATATTACTCTTTTGTGCACATATATATATCTGTAACCCAACACAAACACCTAACAAATCTCTTGAAAGAAAAAAAAGGTCTATACTTGATTAGACACTTTAAAGAGTTATCCTCTAACTCCTAAACGTCAAGGACCCTTCCATCATCAGCTCAGCTCAGCTATGACATAACGACGACTAATGCAAATACCCATATAGCTAGAGAAACAAGCTAAAACACGTTGTGGGGCGTGTAAAATTTCAAGATCCGATTTTTTTGGATCCCATCATTAGATTCTGTTTTAGTGGCATTACCACCATTATCATTATAATCATCACCAGCCTATCGCCACTTAGATCGATTTTGGGCTTCTCGCATCCAGCTCTTGCAAATCGTCACTCCACCTGGCCTGTGGGCGTCCTACACTACGTTAGTAATATACGTACGTTTTACGTTACTAATATTACCACCATATCAGGATGTAATGATTGGATCCGCCTCGGGAATATACCCTTTCGATTACAAAAAGAATTTTTAAAATCGGTCCAGAATTGACGGAGATATCGCGTAATAAACATACAATAAAAATATAGACGAATTAATAACCTCCTCTTTTGTGTTTTTGAAGTCGGTTACAAATAGTGAGGTTGCACATATTTATGTATTAGTTCTTTGATATATTTAGTTTTTTAGTTAGTATATCGTTGTACTAGTAATGAATGAATGAATGAATATGAATGAATATTTTATTTCACTTTAAAATTCATTTACATTTACAAATAGTTTGTAAATGCACTAAATAATTCTGGACTTGAAGACAATTTGTGTTCGGTATTAGCATTTGTTGCTGAACTAAGCTAGAAACCTGTATTTTAGCTAAGAGCGCCTCCACTTCGATCTCTGAGCACCCTTACCTACTATGGAAAAGTATTATAATTTTCTTAAACTAATATTTTTGTGTATGTGTATCTCTCCCTCGGTGCCTGGATGCGTGTGTACCTGTGTATGTATGTGTCTGCAAGGGAGAGAGTGTAAGAGAAGTGTGATAGTTGTAAGATTAGAATGATACCGTTTAGTATTTTAAGAACTAAGTTTGTAATTAATTCAGCAGAACGCCTACAAACTCATATGACAGTTTTACGAATGGAGACACTGTAAAAGAAATTTAAAAGTTAATCAAGTTTGTTTAAAAAAAGGAAAATTGTTTGGAAGCTGAAACGCGAAAGATTTTATATGCCACTCCTGTTTATACGATAAGCATACTAACGGAGTTTTCAACTCTTAAAAGAACTCTACCTTTTTTTTTTTTTTAACCACACGGTGTGCCACTCTGCGCCTGTAACAGGAGGGATCCGGGTACAGCTGTTATTAAGACATCCGGACCCCTCCTAGCACCAGCCCGCTCCTGGTGCGGGCTCCGTCTCAAAATTTTCCTCTCTTTAGGCGAAAAGAACTCTACCTACATTGACCTAAGCTACTTGATGGCTGACTTAGCATCAGTGGAAGAGCCATGTTTTGGAACAAATGGCTTGACTGGAGTGATACTGCGGCCTCACAAAAAACTGTTGTTAAGTTACCAGAGCTCAAACCACCCCTCCCCGAAATGCCGGTAAGGGGAACTTGTGATAGTGCCAATGGGCGTCGGTAGTCACTTACCATCAGGTGATAGGTGTGATATACCATAAAAAATTCATGTGAGTACATGTACTTACTTCATTGTCTTATCAACAGCCTTTAATAGTCCACTGCTGGTCATAGGCCTCCCTTAGAATGGTGGGTTTGGCCTACTATACAACGCTGGCCCGACGGGTTGGTATAGGGTTTGTTTCAAGTTAAAATTTTGAGACGGAGCCCGCACCAGGAGCGGGCTGGCGCTAGGAGGGGTGCGGATGTCTTAATAACAGCTGTTCCCGGAGCCCTCCTGTTACAGGCGCAGAGTGGCACACCGTGTGGTTTTAGTCGGTCCGAGTCCGACACACCACCCCGCCGCAAACCCCGGTGGGGTGACACACGTTAAAAAAAAAAAAAAAAGGGTTTGTTTCAAGTTTTCCTTTTCTTTGCAGTGCTGTTGTCCTGCTCAATTTGGTCCCTTAGTCGGCTCTTACGAAAACTAAAGGATAAATATAAATGAAATTCTAAAATTTAAAACTGGCAATCATACAATCAAGCGGCGGTAGCCTAGTGGTTTAGGCGTTTGACTTGCGATCAAGAGGTCGTGGGTTCTAATCCTGACCAGTACACACTACCGACGTGAACCCACTCCTAACACAAGCAATTTAGCTTAGCGGGAGGGTTAACGGGATTACTAGTAATTTCGGTTGCTAGTAGACCTTTCAAAAAAACAAAAATAATTTCAGTATCACATCCTAAAGGTGAATAAAGAAAGTAAGTTACAGAAGGATTAGTTTAGGTTAACTTACAGAATCCCAAATTCCCTCCCCTGATTCTCATAGGAGGGAGTTAAAGGGCGACGCACTTGCGACTCTTACAGGTGACCATGGGCGGCGGTTGTTACTAACCATCAGGTGTCACGTCTGCTGGATTACCCTTCTTCTTCTTATTTATTCTTCTATGATAAAAATTTTTAACCACTAAAATCGTTTCTCCAAGCTGATAAACTTAAAAGTAACAACACCATAATTATATTGCTCTGTTTTAATTTAATTATAGCAACTTCCTGTGATAACAGCATCCTGCGATAACTAACAATAACTGCGCTTTATATAGAAATAAGAACCCTTTTAAAAGTTATTTTGTATTTGAAAATAATGTCTAATAATGGCAGTTATTCACACTAGTTCCATCTTAAACGTATTTTATGTCAGTTTTTGAAAGTGTTTACTCCCAAAAACGATCACAGACGATTGTAGTAATGATGCTTTTGATAATGGGTCAGATATTCGATCCGGTATTTCGCCGAACATTGGCCCGTCAATCGAATAATAATAATAATATTTTTACACATTTCAAACACGGCCGTCTGATTCCAAACTAGGCAGAGCTTGTACTATGGTAACCAGACTGCTGATAAACCTACTAATATATTTCTAAATACATACATATTATAGATAAATTACACCCAGACACAGAACAAACGATCGTACTCATCACACAAATATTTGTCCTGGGTGGGAATCGAACCCACTACCTCCGGCTTAACAGTCAGGGTCATTTACCACTAGACCAACAGGCGCGTCAATCGAATACAGCCAATATGTATGTAAAATGAGGAATTTTCGTAGGGATCGTTTTTTTTTCTAACCCAAAATCAAAGGTATCTTTATTTATTACTTTGTCCTGTTTGAAAATGACAAGACAAGAAGGACAACATTGACAAGAAGGGCTGTTATCAGATAAGTGACCGACCATATACATAGAAGCAAAACTGTTTGCAATGTTTAACATTCCATGAACCCAAAACAATATTGGAAAATGACAGAAAAATTACCATCATGACTGAAGAATGAAAGGAAAAACGTTTATTTTGGCAACACCACACTTTAGAAAATTTTGCAGGTTGAATTACCACCAATGGCAAAAATGGACCCAATTCAGCTTTGTGTCTGATTAAAGCCTGACGCTGGTTTTCGAATTTTCTTTTATGTTAGAGGGACAGACGAGCAGACGGGTCACCTGATGGTAAGTAACCATCGCAACCCATGAACGTCTGCAATTGGGCCGAAAATGACACTAGGCGTAAAACCAGTTGCAGACCCTAATTGCTACGCCGTGTACATACGTCATAAAGTTAATAATATTTAACAAGACAAATAACAGATATACAGATCATGCTAGTATACACTACGATATACACAACAACATAAATCAATAAAGTGTGCACACGCTTTTTGCTTGATAGCGCTCACCAGCATGCGCCATGCACCGCTTCACGTTAAATAAGGGAACTTCACTTTGGCCATATTCAGTTTCCGCTGTGCGTCTATGAGATACTGCCGCAAATTATTATTTAAAAGTGCCGATCGTATTTGACGATCTTATAGGCGGATTGTTCCATATCTTTGAGGCCGCATAGCGGAAAGTACCTTTAAAAGCGCCCGTTTTATGCGATAATATGAAGAGTTGCCGTTAGCATTGTCTTACCTTGCAATCACGTCTATTGGAATCATATTTTAAAATCCATTTTAAAATCCTCTACCAGTAATATTAACCGCTATATGCAAATAAAGATGTTGAATCTCTTATTTTGCTTCTTCTATATTTCTACTTCTCAAAAACATTTGAATTATATCACATCACATCATCAACAGCCTTTAATAGTCCACTGCTGGACATACGTCTCTTCTTAGAAAGGAGGTTTTGGCCTACTACACCACCAGATGGCCAGACGGGTTGCTATAATGTTTGTGTCAAGTTTTCCTTCTCTTTGCAGTGCTGTTGTCCTGCATAGATGAATAGGGATGATGATAATCCGTATTCTTAATCCGTCACCACACGGACAATTAAATACATAGGCTTTTTAGTATCTTAAATAAGTTATGAAAGGTATATTATGGTTGTTTACTTTTATCGGATGTAATGGGCCCTCTAATATCGGGAGAATAAAATATCATATAATTAACTTTAAGAAAAGTATAACTGACTTCAATATGTCAATATAGTAAGTAATTGTACTAGCAAAAGTCTTCATTCCTTAATTAATAGCCTTAGGGGTAAAACTTTTTCTTTAATTGTGAATGGGACTAAACGGGCAATGAAAACGAAATTTCCCAATACGCGGATGTAGCAAACAAAAAAAATACAATCGAATTGTGAACCTTCTTTTACTGAAGACCAACACACACCAGAACACCTCAAAAGACCACTTTTAACTAAATTAGATTGTTTGTTCCAGTCTTCCCATCTACAATGGCGTCAGACCAAGATTCTTGTTCAGATGAAGAACCAGACAGTGAGATGCTGAGCGATGATTTGTGTCTCCCGGATAGCGATGACGACAGACAGTCTGCTAGAAATGTTCAGGTGTGAAAACCATACTGGTTATAAAATCCTTAAGAGCAGGGCACGGTGAAAGTTGGAATGGAGAACAATTTTCATGGAACATTTTACTTAGTCCTGACCCCTTCGCCTGACCAATCAGGTTGTTGATTGCTCAGTGTGCGGTGTTTGATCGATGCGTCACTATTGCGTCATTATTTTCTTAACGCGAATGGAGTTTACTTAAATTTGTTTTTCTATAGTTGGTTTTTCTTTGTACAGCATCTACCCGAAGACTTACCGCATCTCAACTCTTGTGTGCTCCGTCCACCTCGAAAGCTTTTTACCAACTGCCGGGAGCGTTGGCGACAACAGAACGTCAGTGGGGCCTTTGCTGAATTAAGGCGGCTGGTGCCGACACACCCACCAGATAAGAAGTTGTCGAAAAATGAAATTCTTAGAATGGCCATAAGGTAAAAAGTAAAAGTTTACGGGTGTTTTTACTAACGTAAGCTCATTTGGATTTCAACAAAACAATTGAATGATTAGTATATTTTATAAATTAATACGCCAAAAAATAAGACTCCTTTCTTAGTAAGCGCTCAGCAAGCCTAAAATAATCTCAATGACAATGTTCTACTATCCTAACTCGATGAACTAATTTCCACAGGTACATAGGTCTTCTCTGCGAAGTCCTAGAATGGCAAAAGACTCACGGCCTCTCAATGAATAAAGAAAACTCAGCAAGTCTTGCAATCAAGTGCGAATCTCCTCTTAGTCCACAATCAAGAAGACTTCGTCTAAAACGTCCATATCTTAGTGATGATGACGGTCCAAGAGCGAAGATCTACCATGAAACGAATGACTATCAAAGATATGGGAATGAAGAAAATGAAGAGATTAAGAGGAACTACCAAAGAACGGTTGGAACACGACCAGAGTTCGTTTTCGCAAAGGAACATTTAAGAGTTCTAAGAAACCAGTATTACTTCTCACCAAGATGGCGACAAAATATGCCTTTCAGAAACTTAGCTGACAGAAACGGAAATAACTTACTTATGATTGCTCCAGCTCAGAATTGCAAAGAGGAGAGCGATAGGAAAATGCACAACGGACATGGCAGTAAAGAGAAGATAGATAAAGACGGCAAATGAATCGATGGCAAAACAGTAATTGATATTTTAATCGTATATTTTTAATTGTAAATGTTGTGAGCTGTGGCTATATCTAAATATTGTGTTTAGTTTGATGAGTCTTACGGAAATGAAAAAAAAACTGTTTTTTGTTACGGGTTGTGCCGATATACGTGTCTACAACTTTCTGACAAATAAAATAAAAATTTCTTTCATTTGTCAGAAAGAGACAAGTAGATTTTGGAGAGCAGAAAACAGAGTATTTTATTATTTTATTTATAGTACATTCACACCACGCCATCTAGTCCCAAACTGTACTATGGCTACTAGACAACTGATATAAATACATATATACTTTTTTTTTGTAAATACATACATATTATACATAGAAACACCCAGACCAAATCAAACATTAAATGTTCATGCACAAAAATGTTTGACTTAAGCGGGAATCGAACCCGCCACCTTTGGAATAGCAGTCCGTTACACAAACGACTATCCATCCGGTCGTCAGAGTGACTTGATAGATGTAGATAAGATCATTGAAAATTGACATTAAAATGAATTAGTGTTATGAGAATGACAAAGCTAGAAAGATCCATAAGACAAATGTTTTTTTACATAGATCTCACTGTATAGTAAATGACAAACACAAAAATACTGTGTCAACATTCGTGATATTTGTAATGAATAGGCAGGTCCAAGGTTCCTAAAGGCAGCGGGTTTGCTTGTAAGGTAAGATGAAACTTATTATGTACTAGCTGAGACCCGCGGTGTTACCCGCATTTGTTGTTATAACCGCGGGCAACGCCGCGTGGCGAAGCTAGTCTAAAAAAAGTAGCCTAAGTTACTCCTTATGTCATCAGCTATCTGCCAGTGAAAGTCTCGTCGAAATTGGTCCAGCCGTTCCAGAGATTACCCGAAACAAACAGACAGACAGACAGATAAAAATTGTAAAAAATGTTATTTTGGCATATGTAACGTGTAAACATACATATGCATTTAGTAAAAAGTGGTTATTTTAATATTACAAACAGACACTCCAATTTTATTTATTTGTATAGATGTAGGAATTGAGACCAGAGCCGGCTATAGTCTCTTCTGACCGTTGTTTTGCAAGTCCAATTTATGTAGTTGAACTTTAGTAGTGAATTAGGATCAGGGATATTTTGGTTAATCTACATCTTTCTTGCTACAATTTAAAATAAATCTCATCTACTCTTCTACTCTAATTATACACTTGCCACACACATCTTTGCATCACCCAATGGTTGACTGGAATAAAATGCCTATAGTATTAAGTCCGCCTTATGCAATTTATTTGCATGACGTATAAATAATTTCAATGGCATTTGAAGCCATTTCACATTAGTCTTACTCACTTTTCTCCTTGTGTACAATTTGTTATGTATTATATAATTCATTACACTCCTTTTTTTGGAAAGGAACACATGTGTTAATGAGTGTAATATTTTCAAGGTTCATGGATGTACCTAGGTGAGTTTTTGAAGTGATATCTTCCAATGGGAGGGTAAACCCTTCGTTACGTAACGCGTTACGACGCCAGTCTGTCTGGCTTCCCTTTCTCTCACGCATACGGCAGCGGTAGGCAGGCTCCTCCTCCCTCACTCTAACCCACAGGGCTAGCCGTATTTCCGACAGACGCTTTACATAAAATTTTAGTAATAACCTAAGCTTTTCTCAAGTTTAACAATTTCAATATTAAATAGTTCAACTTAGATTAGTTTAAGTTATCACTTCTGTCGGGCGTCACAAGCGTTATTTTTATTCCACTGTACTCGTAACTTCTAAATGCCATGCCGTTTTATCGATCATTAAAATTCTTACATCATTACAAATGACACTGTTAATATATTTTTTTGTAAATTCACGATATGGCACAGGACAGCAGTTGTGCTTTAATTATTTTTAATAGTTATTGTTTAAGCTACAATTAAAGGGGTCCAGTTTATATTCTGGCCTGTCATGTTAGAAAAATCTGTACAATGTACCAGCATTGTACAGACCTATGAACCGTCAAGTTATACTGGTCAATGCAATAACAAGGCATTTATAACGTCACAAGTGATCTCTATTACTTATTTATTACCTAATAAGCACTGATATTTATCAGTATCTATATATGTAAATAATTATAAATACGGGAGTTAACGCGCTCACGTTTATTCCCGTATTTATACATTATGGGGCTATAGATAGCTTAATATCTGTCAATTTAATTTTAATGTCACATATTCGTATAATTTTGACATAATATTTACAAACATTTTACATAACGGTGTCTAGACCGTTTGAAACCGAACACTGATTAATAACTTATGTATACATTTTTTGTAAATACTCTAATATTGTGTAAACAGATACATCTAGAGCTAGACTTATGCAAATAAACATATTCATGCATGCAAATAATTACACTGAGCAGGAGTCGAACCCGACCCTGCTGAATTTATGAAAATTTAAAAACTAAGTTTATAATATTTTTATTTTTTATATTTATTTTTATGTTTGTAACTTGGTTGATGTCTAATTTATTAATAAATTGTGATGTAAGCACTCATTATGGGTTTAATTTGTTACACTAAATAAATATTAAAAATCCAAATGCAGTAAAATGTTTTTTTTATTTATTTTAAACTACATATCTGAAGCTTAATCTTTTTTTAAATGATTTACTTTCAATATATAATTTCTGAAATTATGACAAGTAATAATATAATTAAGAAGGCCAACGCCCTCCTCCCTTCCTACCTAATTCCAGGGGCAGACAAGTGTCCTCCATAAGCGCAGGCCTGGGGGTGACAGGTGAGGCCATCTGTCACCCCCAGTTAACTGCAAGTGACTGCAGCCGTGCATGGAAACAATAGACACAAATGTGTTGCCGCCCTTTGATTTCTTCTCCGTAGAATTCATCATCATCACAAGTCTTTAGTACCCACTGCTGGACATAGGCCTCTCCGCAGAAATGAAATGATACTTTAATTGCAGAAATATGGTACACAGGTTGTTAATAGTTATTAGAAGAGAACCACATATTTTGTCAGTCTGTTTTCAACAACAGATTGATTCAATAACAAACTACTTGGCTCATGTCAATAAACAATTAAAGTAATAAATAATTTCAAATATATAATTACTTTGGTCCGTCACCACCCCTGTTCATCCCGTGAGTGTCGTAAGAGCCGACTAAGGGAGCAAACTACGCAGGACAACAGCACTGCAACAGAGAAGGAAAACTTGAAGCAAACCCTATACCAATCCGTCTGGCCAGCGTGGTATAGTAGGCTAACACCTTCTTTCTAAGGAGAGGCCTATGCCTAGCAGTGGACTATTAAAGGTTGTTGATGATGATGATGATAAAATTACAAAGTCAAAATTTTTCATTCCGATTATTTATTTAACGAGAAGTGAGAGCTGAGTGAAATGGCAGGTTCAACGAGCTCCTAGTTCATCGGCTAAATTTTTTATTTTTTTTATTTTTCTCATATATATATATGTGTATGTATATATATATATATATATATATATATATATATATATATATATATATTTATGAGTATGTATATGTGTATGTGTGTGGTATTACGACGTATACACCAAATTCCAAAATAGTTGGTATTTAACAAAACCACTATCGTTTATACCCTATCATAAATGCACCTACCTCATTCTTTCTCAGCACCGCCCAATCGGTCGACTGGCAGAGAATGCCTTAGGCATTAAGTGCGCCGATGCATGTACTTGTGCAAAAAGTTAAAAATAAATAAATAAATAAATTTTGGCCTACTATTAAGCCGTTCCACACGTCCAAATTTTCATCCCCATCACTTGGCGCTCCACCACTGTGCGCTTTTCAAGACATTTGCCCCACAATAATCTGTGTAGCAAGATATCTTTTGCGGTTTTCTGGAGCGTGCTTCCTCCTAAAAGTCTGGCACCGCGTTTGTGACTAAGGAGTTGCAGACGTTCATGGGCGGCGGTAGTCACTTTCCATCAGGTGGCACGTCTGCTAGTTCGCCGCCTCTTCCATAAAAAAAAAAATTAGAAAAATTAGAATTACTAGACGCGAGTTAGTGCAAAATATTTTTATTAACCGACTTCAGAAAGGAGGAGTTTATAAATTAGGATGTTTATATATTTTTTTCTAAATATATGCATAACACATATACAAACGGATTTGCAAAATTATTTTTTTATTCGAAAGGGGTTTATTACAAAATGGTCCCATTTAAATTTTATATAAATCTGATGATGAGTTTCGGAGAAAGACAACGGAACCCTTGAAAATGGTGAAAATGACAGCAAATCAACTGCGATTGCTGCTAGGTTTTTAGTGCTCTTTGTTAGTATTGTTCGAAGTCGGTTCAACTTTTTCCAAAGGAATTCATTATTTCTTCTGTGAAGTTCTGAGCCTGTTCTTTCTTATCTATAATGTTAATTAATCTCAAACCGAAGAAACGACCAACGGGGATTAGCACTTTGAAAAGAAAATTAGTTTCCATCTGATGAGGAACTTTTTAAACTTTGTGATTTAAAAATAAATTGCTTTGAAGGTTGAATTCTGTGTTAAGTTTTACGGTTTTTATAATTCAATCTTGAACATGTTTGGATGTGTAATAGGAAAGTAATAATTCAACTTTAAACGAGCAGTTCTTGTATACGTCTTCATTTTCATCTAACCCTGGTTAATATTGTGTTAATTTTAAATGGTCACGAAGCTGTAGATAAGGTATTTAATGAATTCTGGTAATGTTAGAAGGTGTTCCCTTTCTTGAATTTTAACAAGGTTTTTGTTTTTTCATTTACTTTCACGACCAATTATTAGTATTATGTACGTCGATACAGCCTCCAACCTTCAAGAAAAGACATCATGCAAGAAAAATAAATTAATAATTCGACGGGCCTGTTGGTCTAGTAGTTAGTGATCCTGACTGCTAAGCCGGAGGTCGTGGGTTCGATTCCCACTCAGGACAATTATTTTGTGATGAGCACGGTCATTTGTTCTGTGTCTAGGTGTAATTTATCTATAATATGTAGGTATTTAAATGTATGTAAGTATGTTTATCAGTACCAGTAGGTTACCATAGTACAGGCTCCGCCTAGTTTGGGATCAGACGACCATGTGTGGGACGTGTGATGGTTTATTAACTGACTACACCATTCTCAACACGTTTTTATTAGCTTCACCTGTACGTATGTATGTAACTGAATCTTTGAAAGTAATTTTCAACTTCTTCAAAACGTCGGATTAAGTTGAAACTTCGCTCACATCAATTATTATAATTTAATAAGTTGTTCCGATTATTCTTATCGGGATCTTCAGGATTAACGATTCTTTCCACATCTGTAAGCACAGTAGTGTCTTGTGCACGTACTAAACTGTGTATATACTGAAGCAAATGTGACTTCCTAACTTGTTACTTTTTTAGTCTTTAATGATGAAATAATCATCTTTAAAGGCTATATAATAAACACAATATAAATGATAGTTTTAAAAAGCTATAATCACACGATTTGTAATTAGCTGAACTGTTTTTTTTTTTGTGATTATAAAAAACTATTTTATCGTAAAAAAGCGTGGGTTGCTTTATAAGATATATAATATAATGAATTTACTTCTACCAATGTCTCAATTAATTATATCAATAAAATATTTACAACAATTGACATCTAACACCCCATGCATAGACATAATATTTTTTTGAACTTATAGATAATTATTTTCTACTTTTCTGTTCGGCTAGATTCAAAAGCGTGTTTTATTAGTTAATCAAGCTATTATTTATTACACGTACAACTAAAAATTTGTTTTAAAAAAGGTTTTTAAATAAGACAGTCGTGGTATATGTTAACATTTTACTGAAAGATAATTCTTCTCCTCGTCGTTTCTTCCCCAAGCAATTATAAACTCAGGTATTGACTTTCGACTCACCATAGCCTATTGCTATCTTCTTTTCTCTTTATGAGTGTGCGTTGTCTCTTTCTTTAAATTAAGGCGGAGTGTTTGATCCTACCAATAAAGCAAAGGAATTCTCATCCCTACAATAATAATATTAATATTTTAAACATCTGACACATAACGCCATCTAGTTTCAAACTAAGCAGAGCGTGTTCTATGAGAGCTAGATTGATTGATAGAATATTCATATACTTAGCAGCAATAGCTTTAAAGTTTATTTCCGAGTGTCTTAAAAAAATCCAAAAAATCGAGAATGACATTATCACATCCCATCATTACATCAACAGCATTTAATAGTCCACTGCTGGGCATAGGCCTCTCCTTAGAAAGGAGGTTACTACCCTGGGCAGCCGGGTTGCTATAGCGTTTCTTTCAAGTTTGCCTTCTCTTTTCGAGTTTGCTCCCTACGTCGGCTCTTACGACACCCACGGGATGATTAGGGACGGTGACACTCTGTATTCTTAATCCATCACCACACTTAGAATGAAATATTACATCAAAATTAAAGATTTATTTTGGATCTGACAAGAAAACTATTTAAAAACGTAACTCATGCAATCAGTTCACAGCAAACGCGTGCTTAAATATAAATAGCAAATTATGACAAATAATAACTTGGCGATAAGCTCCCATAATCCGTATTACGTATGCGCAAGCGCTGGTCGCGTGGCCGACCAGCGCTCAGCTTGTGAATGTAAGGGGTGGTCGAGATAAGATGTAATTGAATTTTATTAGAGCAATACGTTTGACTTGAGTGTGATATTATAAGCTTAGGGGAGATAACAAGCGATGTGTGGTGATGGAAATAATACATTTTTTATTATTTACCATTTATTTAATGTGATTTTTTAACCTCTTTTATTATTATTTAATGTACCTACTATATAAAGCTGGTTGATGTCGTTTGGCTTGTCTTAGTGGCCTCTTAAATTATAGGGTATTTTCAATTTATAACTCTCAAACAGTTATGCTCCACACCCACCCACGCCATGTTTCAGCACAAATGGGCCCTCTGGACCAGCGTGATACCACGGCCTTACATAAAACTGGTGTTAAGCAACTCTTTCGTATCTATCCGATTAAGTGAGGTTGCAGGAACCAGAAATTCTCTCTTTGTTTGGGGTACTCAAGACGGCACAGCACTTATGGCTCTTAAGCTGTAGGTGTTCATGGGCAGCGGTAGTCACTTACCAACAGGTGACCCGTCAGAGCCTCAATTCTGCTATTTTATGTTAACGTCAAGCTACTGTCATTCAATTGACATGCCATGATGCCATTGAAATCGGTCAAAATATCAGTATTCTACTAACATAAATTCAGATTCAGATTTCTTACAAATCTAAATTTTCCGTTTACCAAACTGTTACAAAGACAACGACGTCGTTCGTATCAGTGGCAAGTCATCGGGAGGCCACGACATTCCATCGACCGTCTTCATCATCATCATCAGCCTATCGCAGTCCATCGACCGTCTCATCAACAGCCATTACTAGTCCACTGCTGGACATAGGCCTCTCCTTAGAAAGGAGGGTTTTGGCCTACTATACCACGCTGGCCAGACGGGTTGGTAAAGGGTTTGTTTCAAGTTTTCCTTCTCTTTGCAGTGCTGTTGTTCAGCGTAGTTTGTTCCCTTAGTCGGCTCTTACGACACCCACGGGATGAATAGGGGTGGTAACATTCCGTATTCTTAATCCGTCACCACACGGACATCGGCCGTCTATTGATACAATATTAAAATAAAAGAATTGAGCACCTGCTCGATTGCCACCCTATATAATACCACCACACAGTAAGATTAAAAACATTTGTTATGGGTACTAGTGGTTATATCTCAGACTTACTCATCAACAGGATATAACACTCCAATGCTCGACAGTGGCCTCTCGGTAGAAAAGAGGTTTTGACTTACTTATGTACAATGTACAAATTTTTTAAACATTATAATTTTGATTCTTTATTTTATGGCATTGTATAGCTTTGATTTAGTTTAGTGTCATGTTTTACTGCCATGATTTTTGGGACATTTAATGCATTGACTTTAGTTCCTATTCCTGTGGGATTGAATGTGTGTTAATAGTAATTTATATAAATATTTAATTGTATTCTTTTATATAATAATGCCCATGTGGTCTATTGAGATGTAGTCTATTCACATACATATGCGTTTTGGTTGTGAGACTTACAATGTTACCTAAACATATACAAATACATAAAATTTAAGTGTCTGTTTGTAATGTCATAATAATAGGTTTTTTTTATGCTTACAGGTCTAACAACCTGTTTAAATATGTTTTGTCTGCCAGTCTATTTGTTCCTTGTAATCTTCAAAACGGCTAGACCGATTTTAATAATATTTTACTAACAGGTCTATATAAGGAGTAACTTAAGCTGTTTTTCCTTTCAGAAAAACCTTATAAAATTTTGATTGGTCCGGGAATCGAAACCGAGTTCTCATGAATTGCAGTCGCGTACCACACACCACATACACCATTACCGAACGATGTCGAGGGTAAATAAATAAATAACAATACATAGACAATAATTAGTTCATCAAGCTCTTTATTTAACAATAAACCATTCTCTACAACTCACTCTTGACGTTTTTACTTCTTTTTCTAAACTCCCCAATAGCCTTTATAACATCCTTGGCGAAAATTTCAGGCAGTTCAAATGCAAAGAAATGCCCTCCATCATCGATCACACTAACGTCGACCAGGTTGGTGAACTTCATCTTTAAGATGCAGGGCGGCTGGTAAGCTAACTCATACTTGGCTTGAAGTGCCCAGGTTGGAACTGGTGTAGGGATCCTAGAATCAAGATTGGTGATCAAAACATTTTTTTTTACAGTGCGTACAATTGGAGAGGCCTATGTCCAGCAGTGGACTAAGATGCACGTGTCACTGATGGCTTTTTATTTTATTTATTCAAAGGTTGCCTGGTCGATTATATCGATGAGGCCGCCTATTGGCATTTAATGTGTGTTTTATTTAATTGATTTTGTTTTATTGATGTACAATTTAACTCAATTTTAATTTTCAACTCTTAATTTAAATAAACTCTTTGTAAATAAATAAATAAACATTTATAAAATAGATGGGATATCGAAATTTGAATCGCAAATACACAAAAAATCGCTCTAAATTACTATTTTGAGACTAAGAGAGAGAGAAAAAAAAAAAAACTAAAACTAAAATTTATGGTTTTATTTCATTTTACAGACCTGTTTGTTTTGTGATTAGGGACCCTAACTGCTTAGCCGGGTTCGATTCTCAACCAGAACAAATGATTGTGTGATGAGCACGATCATTTGCTCTGTGGCTGTGCGGATTTTTCTATAATATGTATGTATTTAGAAATATTGAAGTATGTTTATCAGCAGTCTGGTTACCACAGCACAGGCCTAGTTTGGAATCGAACTGCCGTGTATGAGAGGTGTGAAGTTATTATCACCATCATGTTTGTCTCTTTACCTCTAGACCTATCCGTATACCTCTCTTGCCCTGTCCGTTTTCTTTATCCTAATTTTCCTTTTCCCTTAGCCCCTTTTGAAAATGGTTATATTCCCAAAGAGGGTTGGCATTCAATATGAATCCAGCATTAAAAACTCAAATTGACCTCATTAATAATGATCATACATTGTAAACCTACATTCTAGCAAATAAATAGACTTAATTTGATTTAATGATAGACAACTTCCGGTAATACTTACTCATCTAATTTTAAACCCATAATCTTGGAATTGAAGTTCTCAGCGTACAGTCTCATAGATGTAGTTATACTCTTGGGGACCCAGTACATCATTAAATTGTCAATCAGTTGTTCCTTACTAAAGCGGAAATCCAAACCACCGTCTGGTTTATTTTTGTGGTCTGGGCGAGTCCAGGTCGAAAATTTCTCCAAAATGTATGCTAAGAGTCCAGCTGGAGAATCGGTCAGAGCAACACCTGTTTTGAAACAAAATTATATTGTGATTAGATAAAGAGTTCCCTATATGCTGGGCTGAAAGTTTTATTATATTTTTGTAATTGACGACTTCAATTCAGTCCCAAGAGTACATAGGAAAAATAGAATGATACCAGCGTATAATTTAGTGAGTGATGTGCAAAACAAAACTTAATCTATGTATAAAAATGTAAGGTTGGTTTGTGTACGCTTCAAAAAGTCAAAAAGTGTTGCAAGGGGGAGATTTAGTCCTCTGAGAACCTTACTAACTTCGGTTTTCTGTGAGGCCGTGGTATCACTCCGGTCGAACTCATGGCGTAATGATGTGTTATATTAAAGGTCAGAGCTTACCGACAGTGTCAGGTTTAGAAGCCTGCAGGTGCATGTAGCCGGTCTCCTCTAGCAACTCAGAGTATTTCTTCTTCAGAGGATACATTCTATCAGCAAGATCTGCGTCGACTATCAATGGAGGGTACAAAGCGCCAATAAATTCTAACAGAGAGCCAGTGGTGGTCATTGTCATAGCCAGATTTGTGTGGAAGCCTAATATATCCTGTAATTATAATTTATGTCATGATATATATTTATAGATGTATATACATTTCAAAGAATACAGAGTGTCACCACCCCTATTCATCCCGTGGGTGTCGTAAGAGCCGACTAAGGGAGCAAACTACGCAGGATAACAGCACTACAGAGAGAAGGAAAACTTGACACAAACCCTATACCAACCCGTCTGGCCAGCGTGGTATAGTAGGCCACAACCTCCTTTCTTCCTCAAGGAGAGGCTTATGTCCAGCAGTGAACTATAATGATGATAGATTTCAAAGAAAGAGTATATATAATATTATAATATTTTGGCTGTTGGTTTGGTTCACATTTAAATTAATAGATTTATTTTTAGAAACCTAGTATTTACTTCGGAATTTGATAAAATAAGAGTGAGTCCATTTGAAAACAACATCCGTCCGTTCACAACAGAAATGCGTATACTACGATGGGCAGGAGGAGTCACACTCAGATGGTACGGTCACGTAATGCGGACTAAGGACTAACCGAAGATCAAGTCGTGAGGAAGTGCCTTTATATCTAGAGGGGAAGAGGAAGATCTCAAACCACCTGACGAATGTCCAGAGGGACATAAAGAACCTGGGTCTGAAGGAAGAGAATGTATAGCGACGGACCACGTGGCGTCGCATGATTGGAAAAACCGAGCCGGAGAAGGCGAGGCCAAAGAAGAAAAGTAAGTTCGTTTGATGCTTTAAAACAATTGAGATCTTATTTAAAGTTTAAAAAAGGTTTACTATCTAACCTTCGGATACAGTGTAACCATATTGCTGCTAATTAGTGCTCCCCAGTCTCCACCTTGTATATAGAACTGTTTAAAGCCCAGCCTATTCATCAGGTTCTTGAAGATTACTGCAATTTGTGGAGCTCCGAGTCCAGGCCGGACTGCGCCCTGAAACCAGTGTAAGTAGTAGATATTACAAAAAATATCAGTTGGTAGGCTATCTTTTGTTACAGGCAAATCAGGTTATCAGGTTATATGCAGTTAAGATGTAAAATTCTTTGATTAAAAAAATACAATGTCATGGAGATCTCTGCCAGGAGCCCGACTTGACTGAACTTACGTCAGAAAAACCATATCCTGGCAGACTGGGAGCAATGACTTCAATAGCGAAGTTCCTCTCTTGGCTAACAGCTGTGAGGAGCGGTATGGCTTCGTAGAATTCCCTTACAGATCCTGGCCAGCCGTGAAGAAGTAACAGAGGCACAGTTTCAACACCTTTTGGTACCTGAAAGCAAATATTTAAGCATTTTCAATTACGGTCATAATAGCATATGAGTAGGAGGAAAGTTGTTCTAATATAAAGTTCTCCTGAAACAAAATTATTTTTTGATCAAAATTATTCTTCTTCTCAGCCGAAAGACGGTCACTGCTGGACATAGGCATCCCTCAAGTTTGGCCACAACAATCGGTCTTCTGCCGCCTGCATCTAACAGTTTCCCGCGTCCTTCACCAAGTCATTGGACTTCCTTGTGGGGGTTAGGTCTACCCAGTACCCACGCTCCTACTTCTAGGTACTTCTAATCTGTTCTTGTTTAATCATCTACTTTCTAGAAAACGATCTCTCCCTGAGTGTCTACGTTAAAAAAGTATTAGAACTGTACGATACTTACTATAAACATGACAATTTCTCATAACACTAAAAGCGCCTGATTTTAAAGTTATGCCTGTGAAAATTCTACTAAATGTATCATGTACTTTACAGATATAATGTACTTACTTTTGGAGTCACCCTGATAAAATGAATATCAAGACCTTGAATATTAGTCTTGAAATGTGGGTACTTGTTTAGGAAATTTTCCCTTTCCTTAAAATTGTACTTCTCGGCCCAGTATTTCAGCCAACTGCCAATGTATTGGCTGTTGAACCCATATTCAAAACCTACATCTTTAAGTGGAGGGACAAATGCAGCAGAACTCTTCAGTCTGGTTTTTAGGTCTGCTATTACCTGAAAAATAACATTATGAAAAACAGATAACAAAGAATAATTTTATTGCCTGATTTATGCACTGTAATGGTTATAAGTACTTTATCACACAGTAGTTATGCATAAAAAAAATGATGAAAATAAACTGAGTGCCAGTACGACAGCATGAACTATTAAGATTAAGGTGAGATAATAAAGGGAGAAAAAACAAGTTTACGAAATAATGATAAAGTCTATGATTAGTTACAAGGTAATTTTTAGGATATGTAAATCTTTAAATGCAATGGTATTAATCATATTTAATTTAAACCGAAAAGCAGAAGCGTATTAATCGTTGATATTTTGCTGACTATAACTTAGTACCAGTAAAGGAATAGGGACAGGTCTATTGCCGTCTTTGTTGCCATGCCAGAGGTCGTGGCTCCCATTGCAACTCACGATAAATATTGTGTGATCATTTTTTTCTGTACTTGGGTGTAATTTTATCTATAACTAGCTGACCCGCGCAACTTCGTCTGCGTCTCTCAATAGTAATAAATTTTCTCCGTTTTTGAAACATTCTTCATTGGTGCTCCGCTCTTATTGGTCTTAGCGTGATGATATATAGCCTATAGCCTTCCTCGATAAATGGGCTATCTAACACTGAAATAATTTTTCAAATCGGACCAGTAGTTCCTGAGATTAGCGCGTTCAAACAAACTCTTCAGCTTTATAATATTAGTATAGATATGTCTGTTAGAATATTTAAGTGTGTTTGTTTGGAATGTTATGTGTCCGTTTGCCGACATTAGAGTTGGGCAGAACTAAAATTGATTAAAGTGTAGTATGACGGATGAATGGATTTCTCCCAGATACCCTTTGACTAGAATAGTACTGAAAACATCTTCTGAGTTTTAGATAGAATACTAGCTGACCCGCGCAACTTCGTCTGCGTCGCTCAATAGTAATAAATTTTCTCCGTTTTTGAAACATTCTTCATTGGTGCTCCGCTCCTATTGGTCTTAGCGTGATGATATATAGCCTATAGCCTTCCTCGATAAATGGGCTATCTAAAACTGAAAGAATTTTTCAAATCGGACCATTAGTTCCTGAGATTAGCGCGTTCAAACAAATAAACAAACTCTTCAGCTTTATAATATTAGTATAGATTAAATGCTCATGCTGCATTTTTGTGTTTCCATTGTCATTTTTAGGGTTTCGTACCTCAAAACAAAAAATGGCACCCTTATAGGATCCTTTTTTAGTACGTCTGTCTGTCTGTCTGTCAAGACGTTTTATCTCGTCAACTCATTAGGGTATCGAGTTTAAATTAAAACCTTATACTAAGGTCTACAGTCCCTTAAAGCTTTAAAAAAATCAAACTTTTAAGTTAACATAAAATGATACGGCCGTTTATGCCGCAAAAAAGGCTTATTTTGACACTCAATCGAATCAAACCTAGAACTACGAAATTTGGCAAATGATATCGTCTTATAGTACAAGTATAGGGCAAAATCTGGGCACCTAACATTTGTAATTAAATCATTCATCACGGAATCCTCGATGGATGACTCGCACTGTCGGTTTTATATTTAACAACGTCACTTAGATCTTTTTTCAAGTTTTTAGCATAGAAACATTATTAGAATTAAAAAGTTATTAAAAAGTCTCGTAAACCAATAACCCTTCTTTGCTGCTATAGTTATACAAAACTCTTAAAAACATTTACCTAAACGGCATCATACCTCATCATCAAATTTAATTTTGAATGGTTTAACAGTAATATCTTGCTTCTCTGGTCTACTGCCCGGCCCCCACCACTCGTTCTGGTCCAGCTCAGGTATAGGCGGAGGTGATTTCAGAAACAGAAGATACACTACCATTGCTATCTTTAGTACTAGAGCTACCATCGATATCAGGAATAATAGACGAGCCATCTGAAATATCAGTAGAAACATGAGATAAGTCAGAGAGAAGTATGATTTTTGATGGTTATTTGACGTCAACATCTTAATAACCATTCTTGAGCTGCCCACATCTAACGGCTTCCCGCGACTTACACTGGGTCACCATTAGATGACCTAGTGTCCTAGTGTAGACCAGGAAGATCTGGACTGGACTGAACCTGACTAATGTCAGGTTCAGACAAGATCTTCCTCGTCTATTTGACATGATGCAAACTAAAGAAATTAGGACACAGTCATTTGATACCAAAGCAGGCTAGCTAGCTTATAAACCTGTGCTAGCTAGCTTATATCCAGCCAGCTGTAAAATACTTCCTTACTTAATACTTAAATACATACTACCATAAATATCATCACTATCACGTTCCTATACTTTAAACTGGTCTGTTGGTCTAGTGGTTAGTAAATCTGACTGCTAAGCTAGAGGTCGTGGGTTACATTTCTATGGTGGACGACTTTCAAGTTAAATTAGTATCTTTTTATTAAACGTCAAAACGATGGACGCGGTACATTTTCGTTTGAAATACTATGGCGTGACGTCATACGCATCTACTGTTAAATTGTTTACAATTAATGTTGATTTGAAGATATCATGTCAATAAAACATTTAATTGATCGTGGAGGATGTACTTTTAGATGTTAAACTTGATGGCTCGGGCAAAGATATCATGTCAATAAAAACGTTTAATTGATCGTGGAGGATGTACTTTAAGAACTTTAAACTTGATGACTCGGGCGAAATATTTTTTTTAAAACCTAGGAATCTAGACTTTTTTTTTTTTATTTATATTTAAAGACATCTTCCGCATTAGGAACATATCCTGTGTCGCGGGGATTTTACAACCGTACAAGAAATGGACACAAAGGTTGTTTTTTGTGTCCATTTCCGACAATTTGTGGACTACACAAAGTGTGGTCCCATGTGGGGATCGAACCACCACATTTTCACACAAACACACACACACATACACACTCACACACACTCACACATGTGTGTGTGAGTGTGTGTGAGTGTGTATGTGTAAAAACTATGTAGCGTAAGGACGTGAAGGTGTGCCTTCACGTCCTTACGCTACATAGTTTTTATTATACCTATTTTATTATTATTGTTATGTATCTGTATTGCAAGTGCCCTATATTTCACTTTAGCGTAATCTTACATGTAAATTTTCCTGCGGCTGGATATTGTCATCCAAAATACAGGCCTCGCCTAGTTTGGTAGACAGCATTTAGTACCGTCAGTGTCATAGATTTTGTACTATTGTGATATTGTACCTCAACAGTGAGTGTAATTTTAAATGCAATAAAGATTATTATTATTATTTTTTTTTTGTGGTAGGCACATTCATTTATTCTCTGCCTCTGTGCACATAAGTATGTTTATCAGCAGTCTGGTTGCGAGCTCATAGTATGGGTTATTCTTGGTTTGAGATCAGAGGGCCATGTGTGTGCTGTGTGAGTCTAGTCTTATTTTATTCAGACTGGAATGAGTGAAACGTCACCAGCGCGTTGCCGCCTTCCTGCGCCCCAAACTTAAGAGGAAGGGGGAGAGTTGGGTCTCCGATTACTTCACTTACTGGGTGAAAAGCAACCAAGGAATTAATTATTTATTTATAACTTTAAGCACATTCTCTTCCAGTCAACCTTTAGGTGGTGTAGAAATCGTGAGTAGTAGGCGCACATAGGTTACAATACTAATCACTGAAATATACACAATAACAAATAAGTAAATATAAAATAAACACCTATTTTCTGGAAGGCCGTGGTTTTCTATACACATAAATAAAATTGAAATGTCTGTTTGTAATGAGAAAATAATAGATTTCTTTTTATGCTCATACGGTTATATGCACGATATCGATGCTTAAAAACCAGGTAAAAAAAAATTCGTCTGTTTGGGTGTTTGTTCGGGTAATCTTCTAAACGGCTGGACCGATTTTGATAACATTTTACTACCTATAAGGAGTAACTTATGCTATTTTTAGTCTCAGAAAAACTTTGCGCTTTTCAAATTCCATGCAATGTATCGTTAAATAAAAGTTAGACGCAGAACAAAGGATCGTGATGATCACAGTCTAGCTCCGAAATATATTCTTTTACCTCTTTTATATTAATTACCAATTAACCTGTCTAAACTCATTGCATCTTCAACTACTACTGTCTCTCCAAAACATTTCGATTCATCCTAAGGTTGACTGGGAAGCAATAAGCCCGCGCTTGGTACATAACATGTTTGACATTTTTATTGTAAACCGGTGTACAAAGAAAGAGTTTCCTATCCATCTATATAGACTAACAAGTAAGAGATTCAAATAGAGATAGACAATTGTATAAGAGGAAGTTTGAAGCATTAAATTAGTTATTACTAGATAACAACCTGGCAAAAATGGATAACTTCAAACAGCTTACGAAAATTAACTCAACAAAAAACATAATTGGTACGATATTAGCGTCCACTGAGTTATTGTTTGTTTGATATTTGTGTATCCGGAAGTCTAGTGTTAGTTTATTTAGTCGATGGCCAGGAGACTCGTCGCCTCAAAGGAGATCGTGCGGTACCCCCTTATGACACTGATGGCCATTACTCGCTGCGGTCGTCGCAGTAGTGCGACGTTGCTGGCCTTCAGAGCCTCCGCCTATACTGGGGCTCCATAAAGGGCAATGAACCGCACAACCCCCGAGTAGAGTCTCCTGCAAAAGTCATCGGGTACCCTAATGTAGCTGCCGCGCCAATGCACGCGCTGCTCCTACCATCTTAGGGACCAATCCTCGGAAGTAAAAATACTAAAGATAAAACCTACATTTGCATTCAATTGTTACAACAAGATGATTAATTTAACACACTTACAACGGCTTAAGTCTAATATTAATGCAAGGAAAACTATTCTTTAAAGCAACTAATAATAGACTTGATAATATATATAATAGAAAAAGTACTAAATGCACTTACCTTGCTTTAAAGTAATTTTAGATTATATAAATATACCACTACAATAAATGACACACACTATCACACGCCTGCTATCGTGGGTTGTGTCAGACACACTGACAATTTATCATTATTTGTAATCTGATTACGTAATCGTAATTGTTAAAATGCCGGCCGGTAAACCGATTATTTGATATTAAAAAATATTAGGTATAAAAGAATGATCTATAACCTTTTTATTTAGATATCAAATGGCTGCTTTAATAAAATCTTCAAGTCATCTTTCGTTTTGCTTTTTAATAAAAAAATGTTGTTAGTGTAAAAGGTAGAATGATATTGATTACTTTTCGATGTATTGTAATAAATGAAACATATTATCTACTTTCATGAGTTTGTTACGTCTTATTGGTTCTAATAAACATTTTTTAATATTTTAGAGCAAACGAGCAGACGGGTAACCTGATGGTAAGCAACTACCCATGGACACCTGCAACTCAAACGTCCTTCCCGGAGTGTGGAGTCCTCACTCGCTCACTCAGTGAAAGGCAACCAAAAAATTGCTTAACACCGGTTTTCTGTGACGCCGTGGTATCACTCCGGTTGAGCCGGCCCATTCGTGCCGAAGAATAGCTCTCCCACCACTAGCATATTTATTTATTTTTCTACAAAATGTTTTGCTAATATAAATGTTAGAAACAGATATTTGTATACCAATAAACTCTTTTTATCTAAGTTCAAAAAGGCAGAGGATATCAATAGAGCTGTATTTTTAGTAGTGGTAGTGGCCTTATTATTCGTCTAATCAATTGGCTTTAGTTTTCAATTAAAGGTTGGTTGATTGGTACACAGATACATTATCAAGCAAGTGAAATGCGAATTTTTCGTGTACTTTTATTCCCTAAATTTCAGATTGATTTCATGTTATGTGTACAGTTTGTTTTTATTTAAGAACAGTTAAGGGAACAAGCTATTTTACTTCAGCTTTAGCTCCTTCAAACTCGGTGAGTTGGAGAAAAGCTAGATTAAAAGCTAGAGAAAAATACATCTTAACCCAGGTCCTTCTATAATTCATCATCATCAACAACCTGTTACAGTCCACTGCTGGACATAGGCCTCTCCTTAGAAGGAGGTTTTGGCCTACTATACCACGCTGGCTAGACGGGTTGGTATAAGGTTTGTTTCAAGTTTTCCTTCTCTTTGCAGTGCTGTTGTCCTGCGTAGTTTGCTCGCTTAGTCGTCTCTTGCGACACCCACGGGATGAATAGCTGTGGTGACACTCCGTATTCTTAATCCGTCACCACATGGATTAAGTATAATTAATTTTATCTATAAATACCTGAAGTTGTAAGTAAAACAACAATCATAACTGTAAAAAACTTTATTTAACCTTAACCAAATTAAAGTTCAGTCTTTTCATTCTTCTGATGCAACTCTCTGAAGGCTTTGACTGCTTTGAACACATCTTGAGAGAAGACCTGAGGCATTTCAAAAGCTAAAAAGTGGCCCCCGTCGTCCAAGACTGTTAAATTAATAATGTTAGTGAACTTCATCTTCAGGATTCCTTCAGGTTGATACATGATTTCATTGTGTGCTTGAAGCCCCCAGGTTGGTACTGCCGTTGGAATTCTATAAAACAGAAACAACATTGAAACAACCTTTAATATCGATTCAATCTATCAAATCAATTAACTTTTTCAACCATCTAATCATTGAGTAATGACTTTAAATAAAATTGTTTTTTTTTTTAAATGAAACAGTTTGATTGAAAAGAAATATTATGATGATTTTGTAATGTACGAAAAGTTAAAATATTAAAGCGACCATTTTGTGGTACCGGCCATTTTGAATTTAGTTTTTATGACGGCTGGATGGCGTAGTGGTTTGTGTAACGGACTGTTGCGCCAAAGGTCGCGGGTTCTATTCCCGCTCAAGTCAAACATTTGTGTGCAAGAACATTTAACGTTTAATGGGTGTTTCTATGTAGGTATGTATTTACATAAAAAATTAAACACAAATTAAATTATATATTTATATCAGTTGTCTAGTACCCATAGTACAAGCTCTGCCTTTTTTTGGGACTAGATGGCGTTGTGTGAATGTAGTAGAATATTATTATTATGTTATGTACTATATTCTACTAGTCAAGCTCTTTCTTTTGATACTTAAATTGAACTAGGTTGAAAATGAAAGTAATCCGCCATTATGTCGTGGCGGCCATCTTGGAGTTATAATGATACTGAACATACAAAATAATATTGTCATCTGAACTAAAATTGTGTATCAAATTTCAGATCAATCGATCAATAGAAATAGAATATTTCTAATTAGGTATTAAATTTGACCCAAACGGGTCGAGCTATTCATCCCTTTGTCGCAAGAGCCGACTAAGGGAGAAAACTACGCAGAACAACAGCACTGCAGAGAGAAGGCAAACTTGACACAAACCCTATACCAACCCGTCTGGCCAGCGTGGTATAGTAGGCCAAAACCTCCTTTCTAAGGAGAGGCTTATGTCCAGCAGTGGACTATTAAAGGCTGTTGATGAGGGTCGAGCTAAATTAAACTTTTAAGAACTGAACGTACTGATCCAAACCATACTCCTGCATCTTGCGTGAGAAATTTTCAGCATAGAACCTCATGGATGTCGTTATGCTCTTAGTAGACCAATAGATCATCAAGTTATCAATCAGCTGGTCTTTTGAAAATTTAGAACTCAGTCCACCATCAGGCTGTGACTTATATTCTTTTTTCGTCCAAGTGGAAAACTTTTCCAGGATGTAAGCGAGTAGTCCAGCTGGAGAATCGGTTAAGGAGACCCCTGGTAAGTTACAAACAAAATATATTAGTATGGCAACTTAAGGTTCTCAAGATGGAGACCATGCACAACAACGAAATTAATGTGACATTTGTTACATGAATTTCGTGGTTTTGTGACCCCGTTCTTATCACAAACATGCATATTTGTGAGAATCCTCTCTCCCTAGTGTGATGTAATATATTTTGCAATTTAACAACTAGTAATTATTAAATTAAAACAGCTGTTTTGAAACTAGTTATTTTTCCATTTACATTATTTTTATTTAAATCACCATCAAACCAAATATTGCAAAAAAATCATTGCATCAATCAAAAGACGTGTGGCACTCGGGGACTGCCGCGGTAAAGCTATTGCATAGCATTTTGTATCAACTTATGCAATTATAATTATTTATTTATTTTATTTATGCAGTATTTCTTTTTCTTTGATATTAATTCAAGTTACACTTTTTGAGCGTGGTGACCGATAACAAAACATTTTTTTTTCTTTTATTAAATAAAAATATTGAAGCATATATTACAATTTGTTTTTAAATAAATAAATAAAAAATATTATTATTAAATCAAATTACATATCCATGTAAGATTTTTCTGCATTATGTTGACGAAATTTCCTTTGAGGTTCAGCATTTGATTTTGGTACTGTTTTTTGTTTTGTTTTTAGCGTGAGGTTTTTTTTCGTTACGGAATTTCTGGATTCGGTCCCCGCGCTCAAGGCCCTCGATAGAAGCTATGCAATAGCTTAAAAATTAAAAACAAAAACAAATTTCGTGATTTAATACATGTATCAACTTAGATATTTGCATTAGGTTTTCAAATGTGACGTCACAAACTTTGACCCCTTTCACCCCTTATTACACCCATATCACACTTTGTAGATCCCTTCCATCCCCTTAATGTGTGACGTGATGTACAGGCGGCCCTTTGGCAGTTTGTTACCACCGAACTCCGTCATTCATGCACCGATTTGGCAACCTCTTTAGAACATATAGTTTGCTAAGAGTAAAACTGTTTAGTGAAGACCTAAAGCAAGATTCTTTTGGATTCTGATTATGTTGTCTCCCCATTATAGATATATTAGCTTTTTTCTTCTCATTCAAAGAAACACATTATAAAAGATTTTTCAGAAGGCGGTAATAATGGAAAATAAATAAGTAAATTTACTATATTGTAGGATTTGAACACGACACAGCGCTCATTTGCTTGTCAGACGTCAGACAGCTTGTCGTAGAGTAAGGACCTATGATGGTGTTCGGTTTCATCTGAATTGTGTTCGTAAGACTCAGTACATAATTCATTAATTCAATTGTGTTATTAGCGTTGTTACCCGTCTGGCCAGGGTGGAATAGTAGGCCAAAACCTCCTTATTATAGAGAGGCTTATGTCCAGTGGACTATTAAAGACTGTTGATGATGATGATGGTTAGTGTTGTTATTATGATTATGTTCCAAGTCCAATTAGTCGGGCAAATTAATATAACCTTAATCTGTGACTCTGAGTATGATTATTATATATAGATAATGTTTTTTTAATTGAAATTACCACTGCTACCTAAAAATATAATTATAAATTAAAATCTATTATAATGCTATTGCTACAGTTAAACTTACCAATGGTATCTGGTTTGGTGGCCTGCAAATGCATGTAACCAAATTCTTCCAAGACTGTAGCGAAGAAGGTGGACAGTGGATACATTCTCTCAGCCAGGTGACTTTCTACGACGAGTGATGGGAAGAATCCACCGAGTAAGATTCTCACAACTGAACAGGTATGCTATAAAAATTGAAATATATTTGCCAGACGCTGGCCAGACGGGTTGGTATAGGGTTTGTGTCAAGTTTTCCTTCTTTTTGCAGTGCTGGTGTCCTGCGTTGTTTTGCGCCCTTAGTCGGCTCTTACGACACCCACTTGATGAATTGGGGTAGTGACATTCCGTATTCTTAATCCGTTACCACACTGACGATGTATTCAATTTATATTGACGATGTTATGGCCAATAATGAATGTAAATACACTCGTGAGCAATAATACAGAGATCAATTCTCGGAATAAAAATTCAGTTCCGATCTAATATCGATCTTACAAATGTCGTAAATGGTATTCTTGTAGTATAGTATTAGTAAAACTAGCAGAATACCGATTCATCTTTCGGTCACAATATGAGATAATCACATGATAGGCAACGTTCAGTACATTCAGTAATTCGGATCGGAATTTGAACCAACTTTTATTAGTATGATCGACCTTCTGATGGGATTGTAAATTCCACATTCAAGAAGTCAACGTGAACTGTACGGAGTGGCCTACGTGCAGGCCCGGGCCTCAGCCTGTGCGAGAATATTTGGGACGAATTTCATCAATTCGTGAGACTGCAAACCCCACCCAGTCATGCTTCGTGTGTTCGAATTTTTTTTTTTGGAATAAGAGACAGTAACACTAAAATTTTTGGTAATGTAGTTATAGAAAATTATGGGGGCAATTGTATTTTTTATTGGACATATTAATTTTACTACCTTCATTTAATTGTCTATTAAACACATTTAAATAAAGGTGACTGCATCGGTCGCGCAATGGTAGCGTATGCGACTGCTGTGCTGAGGTCTCGGGTTTGGTTCCCGGGTCGGAACAAAAGTTTGTATGATCTGCAAATATTTGTTTTAGTGTTTTCAATGTATAATATGTATGTATTTATAAAAAAAATATATAAGTATTCTATTAGTCAATCTAGCTTTCATAGTATAAGATCTGGTTAGTTTGAAACTAGATTTGTTTGTGTGTCAGATGTTCGCAATATTGTTATTATTATTAATTTTAGGCATTCATACGTTATCCAAATCCCTTGCTCTGGAGGGCATATTAAAACGTTTATTACTTAAAAAAAACCTCAGACTAATTTTAAAATTTGAAATTTGTTTTAAAATGAAAATGTTCTATTTTTATATAAATATATATATTTTAAAGACAACTTCCGCACTAGGAATATATCCTGTGTCGCGATGGAATTCATAAACATCCATCGATCGGGCACAGAGAACACCCAGACTCAAAACAACAGTTTGTGTTCCATGTTGGGAACGACCCCACAACACTCAGCGCAGTAGAAAGCAGCGTGGTAACCGCTTAAACAGCTATGCCATCCGTGCAGTCAAATTAAGTTAGTATATTTAAGTTATTAAAACTTTCAACCTAAAACAACATGTAGATAAATACTGGAGTAGAAAAAAGAGGGCATTGCCTTGCGATTAGATTTACAAAAGATAGCATTTCTGAATCACTTTACTTAACTGTTTTTTTTTTATTGAATAAGGGCAAACAACAAGACGTTTCAAATTATGTTAAGTGAATACTAGCGCACAGAAAATACAACAAAAAGGTGTCCAAACCTTTTTGTTGTATTTTCTGTGCGAAAATCTCCTCGGATACTACCCACCGGTGGTTATGTCAGACTCGAACCGACTAAAAACCGCAATCCGTCTCTTGTACCAGTAGCCGGGGAATCAGGTGAGTACCCTAGAAAGGAAAGCCCTGGTACCGTGACGGACCCCAGGCCCTCTACGGCTTGTAGATGATCCCGTCGTGTGGCACTTGGACACCTGCAACTCAACACAACACAAGAAATCCAAGTTTGTTGCCGCCATGCCAATGTGCCGAAAGAGGGCCCTCCCACGTTTACGTGTTATGTGGGAATGCAGCGTCAGGGTATATATTTTCGTTTCCACCGTTACGATACGATACTGAACGTACAATTCATGTTCATCGATTTAAAGATACCTTACCATAGACATAAGCATGTTTGAATGATGTCCAAGGATGTCTTCAGGGAATAAAGTGGACATGGTCGCGGCTATTGCTGCACCCCAGTCTCCACCTTGAACGTAAAACTTCTTGTATCCAAGTCGGTTCATCAGGTTTCTGAATATCACTGCCACGTGTGGTAAACTAAGACCTGGACGAACTGCCGGCTGCAAAATAATCAATATTATCAGGATTTTTGTATGAACTGTTAAATACAGTTTCATAATCATCATCACCGGCCTCTAATCGTCCACTTCTGGACATAGTTCTCTTCTTAGAAAGGAGGTTTTGGCCTACGATACCACGATCGTCAGACGAGTTGTTATAGGGTTTGTTTTAGGTTTACTTCTTCTTTTAAGTTTGTCTAACAACAATATAAAGCAATTTTCAAGTTATCTTATCTCTGGACCCACTAAGCGGATTTTGAAGATTTTGTTTTTACCTGATAACCCAATTATATCACTATTTTACACCACGCTACAATCTTTACTAGTGAAAAAGTGGGGAGAAAGGGTTATTGGGCTGTTGGTTCTATGTTTAATGCCTGATCTGGCCGTGGGTTTAGTTACCAACCAAAACAAATATTTATGTAATGAGTAAGATTAGTTAGATTAGTTCTGTGTCTGGGTAATATTGTTGCGCCATAGGATTGAGTAGTTTGATTGTTCCAGAATTTTATGGAATGTGGAGGACAGCGCCACCTAGTATCACGTAAAGTACAACTATTGAGTTATTCAAGTTCATTTAAGTCAAGTTATTATTATTATAATTGCAAGTGACAAGTTTTGAATACAAAGTAGATACAACAACAAGATAAAAGAAGTAGGATTTGCAAGTCATTTGTAAAGATTACGAACGTTATAATTATTCAACAATATGATTGTACCCAAATCTCTTGTTGACTCTGTAACGAGCTGGTATCTTAGTTTATATTTATATTTAGATAAAAATAGATTGTCATTGTGACAAGTTGTTTTTGCAACTTATTATTAAAACATTAGGTATTTTGACATTTTAAAGTAGGCCACAAGAGTTACTCCAAAGTCTACAAAGGTACAGAAGTTGCTCAGGCGGTTGTCATATCGAAGGAAAAAAACAGAAATGTGGTCTCTCGAAATATTCAAATTTACACATGAGACCAAAAACTATTCAAAAATTCATAGCTTGTAAAGTCTTATTGGAAAAACTAGATTTTTGTTTGACTTATTATATGTTTCCTAGTAGGCAGTAAGTTCGGTTTGTAGTTAGGCCAATTTCCAAGATACAATATATCTACTTTCTTTGAAAACATTACTTTTTAAAGGAAATTTAACTGCAAAAAAGAGAATCCCCAATTATTTGAATATAGATTATCGTTGTCCTCTTAGCATATTCGTCAAACCCTTTATATTACATATCTAGTTAACTTAACATAGAAGGAATTCTGATTCGGCTGATGATAAAAAAAATGTCATTCTTACGTCAGAGAATCCATAGCCTGGTATACTTGGAACAATAACTTCAAAAACGAAGTTATATCCTGGAGTCTGCTTTGTCAATAGAGGTATGGCTTCATAGAACTCACGAACAGACCCTGGCCATCCGTGCATTAGGAGTAAAGGAACCACTTGGATATCTTTGGGTACCTGAGGAAAAAATCATTTTACGTATTTATCTACTTAAAATTTATCTAATAAAGTTACATTTTAAATCAAGATCCCTTAACAACGGAGATACTTAGAGAAAATACCTAGAGATATACTGGTTCTTTATGCTACAAGAGGAACTGACGGTATATTTTCTTTACATTTTTACCTATCTGAAGAATCGTAAACTGTGACGGTTGCTATTGATGAGTTTGGCAATGTTTTCTGAAGGAAATACCACCTATATGACGATTTCATAGCTATTATAATACGAAGGATCTACCTGTGGTTTCACTCTGATGAAATGAATATCAAGTCCTTGAATGTTTGTCTTGAATTGCGGGAATTGGTTCAAGAACTTCTCTCTTTCACTAAAGTTATATTTGTCGGCCCAGTAATTTAGCCAGGAGCTCATCTGGTCGGTGTTGAAGCCGTACTCGAAGCCAGTAGATTCGAGGGGACGTGTGAAGGACCGAGAATTTTTGAGACGGTATTTCAGGTCTTTTATCATCTAAAGAACAAAAATAAGTTATAAATGATGTCCTGCAAAATTTAGATACTGTATTCTTTTCTACTCTTTTCTACAATGTGTTTATTGTAGTTATATTCTCTACTATATTCCGAAGCATTATTAAATTCAGAAATAAGCTTGACAGAGAATACATAAAGTTGCACCAATGTGCAGCATTAGTCTTTATTTAAAATTGGTCAGGGTCTTGACCATGGTGACAATAGACTATTATAAAATCGCAATCCTGGAATGGTCGTTTTAGATTCATTTCACTAAGCTACAAAATCCTGACTATAAACGAATTACCTTTTATGTTGCATATAAAATTTTACGTACTATTCAAAATGTCGGGCAGATTTGTTCACCTTTAATTTTCAAAGCTATCCTTTTGAAACTAACCTTCCTCGAAAGTAAATCAACTATCAATAATATTCTTCTCACTGTACTTGTGCCATTCAGTGCCTGTAAGTTCCGAAACATTTATACTTACAGGAGTGCCAGTATACTGAAGAAACACCTAGTTCAAAGCATTCGTAACCAGCAATCGTGTATAAAAGTTCTGATAAATGTGGAAAAAACACGATAACAAATGTGTGTCAAATGGCATTTTATTATCTCTGACTTCCTTGGACAGGAATGAGGCATGAGTCATGCCCTCATGAGTCATGCAGTTATTATTCTGATAATTTACCTCCTCATCAAACTTGATTGTGAATGGCCTAATGCTTTTGTCTTGTTTGGAAGCCAGTTCTTTGGGACCCCAATATTCTTCGGGGTCAAAATGTGGAATTGGCTTTTGGCAGCACCCCTTCCATGCGTACCAGGCTCCTACGCCGACAACGGCTACCACCAGCAGCTTGATTATAAAACCCATGACCTGTAAAAGAAGATAGAATACAATTATGGAAATTCAACGAAAGCAATGGTGGAACCATACACATCACATCTTACACTCGACAGACTATTCCCAAATTAGGCAGAGCCTATGCTATGGTAATCAGACTGCTGTTAAACATATATATTTCTAAATACATGTACCTATATTCTAAATAAGTTACACCCAGATTCAGAACACAAGAACCTGGCTTAGCAGTCAGAATCACTACACCAACAGGCCAGTCAAGATGCTTCACATAAAACAAACGATAAATACTAAAATTTCATTTTAACTGATAAAAATGATATTTGTTCTGATGTTGATATATTTGTTGGTAGTCACGGCAGATTTATGGAATCTTTGCGGAAATTGGATGCACCTTGACATGTGCGTGTATTGACTGTATGCTTGAATTATTTTTATATTTTTTTTTTGTTTCTTTGTATTATGCTTGTTTATTTTTGTAACCTCCACTTACTCTGAAGCTGTATAAATCCCGAAAGCTGTGTACGGTAGTAATTGGAGTGCAGATTAAAAAATATTATGAATATCTATAAGTAAGTTTAAGCACTACCTGGTCTGTATTCTGTAACTGTACCTTTTGTAAATAAATAAATAAACTCTAGAGGTGTAACCATGAGTGATAATTAGAAAACATGTTTATTTTACAATGCATAGCCCGCGCATCTGGCCTTTTCATTCGCACGAGCTGTACTTACAGTTAGTCTAATACGTTACGTTGCGGTAAAAACCACGGATACTATACATTGAAGTGTCTGTATCACTATATCTAAGTGGATGTGCGTGTTTGTATGCTATATGTTGGTAAGTATAGCTATGTTTTACATAGATTTAAAGAGACATTAATTGCATGGTCTGGTTTATTATTTAAATGACTTATTAAACACTTGCACATAATTTAGTGCAATTTTTGTTAGGAAACGAATTCACGAACTGTTGGAATAACTCAATTTGTGTTAGCTAAAACCGATTAGAACTGATAAGATATTATTTTTTTAATACTTTATGCTCAATGTGTCGAATGGCGAACTCAATGCTTAAAGCATTCTCTGCCAATCTACTTTTGGATGATGTAGAAATAAATGAGAGTGATGTGTTAAAAAGTAAAAGAGTGTTGTACAAAAAATAGAATAAATAAAAACATAGATATTGTCATGTAGGTATATCAGATCAACAGCATATAATAGTCCACTGCTGGACATAGGCCTCTACTTAGGAAGATAGAAAGGAGGTTTTGGCCTACTATACCACGCTGGCCAGACGGGTTGGTATAGGGTTTGTGTCAAGTTTTCCTTCTCTTTGCAGTGCTGTTGTCCTGCGTAGTTTGCTCCCTTAGTCGGCTCTTACGACACCCACGGGATGAATAGGGGGGTGTTATATTTTGGTCTTTATTCAGAGGAGAGATGACAGACTTTTTTTTTTTTGTTGACGGGGTGGAAAAAAAATTGCTGGCGGGGACAGGTCTCGTCCGATTTGGTCGACCAGGACCTCGCGTTCAGACGCCCACGCGGGGCAGCCTTCCAGCGTATGCTGGGCGGAGTCACAGACCTAAGTTTTAAATGACAGCTGATTGGGTGCCAGCCTCATTTTCAGTTGACAAGTATTGTATTTTTGTGGCTGTGATATCATAGTTGTCTATAGACTAAACCGGTTTGATCAACTTCTTGTTTGAAAGGAGACTTGTTCCATGATATTTTAGTCATAATTCCTTCGTAGAGGATGCCTTCGGCATTAAGATCGCCATGGCATAAATTAATGCATGAAGTTCTCAGATAAATAAAATAAATAAGCATATTTCGCTAGTACATTTAGTAGTTTTACACAAGTAGCCTTTTTTATGTAAGTTCTAAATAAATCCTAACTTAATTACCCATATTAGTCTTTGGGTTTCAATCGAACGAAGTCGTGGGTACCAGCTAGTATAACAATATATTTGTTTCTCGTACGTAATTAATAAAGCGTTTTATTACACAATACGTCCGTGTATTGTCATGCTTCTTTGCTCGAAATCCCTACTTTTTTTATGCAATAAGGGGGGCAAACCAGCAGACGGGTCACCTGATCGTAAGCAACTACCGCCGGTCATGGACACCTGCAACTCAAAAGTCACAAATATGTTGCCGCCCTTGGAGTCCCTCCCGCTCGAGTCAGCAGGAGGAGGGATTTGGGTTCCGGCACCGGTAACCTCACTCACTCAGTGAAAGGCAACGAAAGAATTCGACTTTTACGACACCCACGGAATAAATAGGGGTGGTGACATTACGTATTCTTAATCCTATCCACACGGATAATCCGTCACCACACGGATAATCTGTCACCACACGGATAGCCTCAAGGAAAGCTTAAGAAATAGAAATGTAATTCAAAGTCTTAAAGTCTCTTTGGTAAATTACGGTAGGTATCGAAATATGATTTGTACAACTCACGTGGAAAATTGTATCTAGTTGATCACCAAAAAATATCCATACATTTATATCCAAAAGATAATAATCGTCAAACTCAATGTCCAAGGTTGCTACGGTACGATACGTAGAATTAATTATTGAATCATCATCATCGACAGCGTTTAATATGCTGGACATAAGCCTCTCCTTAGAAAGGAGGTTTTGGCCTACTATACCACGGTGGCCAGACGGGTTGGTTTAGGGGCAGGGCGGCAGCATAGGGACACTTTCCTTCAGACTGACGCAGGTCCTTTCCGGGCATGGCTGCTTCGGGAGGTAATTGCACTCGGTCGGGAATTGGCCTAAATAGAGAATGAACTCGAAGGTGGTGCCCGCGTCGTTGCGGGCAGGCGCTAGGAGGGGTCCGGGTGTCTTAATAACAGCAGTTCCCGGATCCCTCCTATTATTATTACAGGCACAGAGTGGCACACCATATGGTTTTAGTCAGTCCGATTCCGACACACCACCCCGTCGCTAACCGGTGGGGTGAAGGCCCATGAGGGTTTCCACACGTTAAAAAAATGGGTTTGTTTCTGGGGGATTTCAATGCAAAGTCTATTGCGTGGGGTTCTCCCGGTTGGTCCCAGGAGCTAGAGAACCTCCGCGCGGCCTGTACTTGTGCCAGGAGGTCCTACCCATACAGTTGGCGGCTTCACCGAAAAGACGGTGAGAAGGATCGGCTTCATGATGAGTACCGAGAGGCGAGAATAACTGAAGCTGGCTGAAGTGAAAAGAAAGGAGATGCTGGAGGGTTATGATCGTGACCCCTGGGGTCGCCCTTGCGACAAAAGCTCCGCGTGTCGGGTTACCCCCTTACAAGACTTTCCTGTCCAGCTTCCTGCAGGAAGCGGTAGAGGGCCTATTCCCGCAACGGGCGGAGCACACACCCCCGTCGATAGCCTCCTTGGCCAGAGAAGAAGGGGAGAACGTGGATAATGTTCCGCCCATCCGGGATTCAAAGTTAGGGGCGGCTGTTCTACGGATGCGTTCCAAGACAATCGCCGTCGGGCCGGACGGGATACCGGTGCTTGCATGTGGATACAAATACCGGTATCCCGTGTGGCTCGTGGGGATCTATAACGATCTGTCACGTAACTACTTAGTAGTTATAAAAACCTAAATAATATATAAATCAAAATACAGCAAAAACTGTTGTCAATGTGTATTTGTATATGGAGATAATATTTTATCATTGCAAATATATATTATGATATCTGTACTTTACTGTTTACGACCTTGAACGACCTAGTTTGTACTTTGATATGTGCGCAGTCACTGTACGTAATTGAACTTTACCTTGACGCGGTTGTGATGTAACTGATAATAGAATCTAAGTGAACACAGTTTTTTTTTACCGTTGCCGGTTTTTAAGGAAATGTTTCCTTGCCGTTTTTCCTAGGGAGATAGGTTACTCAAGACCAAAACACGTCTTTTTCCTAACAATCTCTGAGGTGTGGGGAGGGGGAGGACTCAACTTAATTGACTTACCGACGGTTTATTTTTTACAACTAAAAGTAAAGAACTAAAAGTAAAGAATCTCAATTCCGGTTTATTACAATTTTAATCTTGTTAGTTTTTTTATTTTTTCACACATGTCACACACTGCCGTCTAGTCCCAAACTAGGCAGAGCCTGTGCTATGGTAACCAGACTGCTGATAAACATACTTATATATTTCTAAATACATACATACTATAGATAAAGAATAAGATAAAAAGATAAAAAAAAAACATCACACAATTATTTGTCCTTTGTGGGAATTGAACCCACGACCTCTGGCTTAGCAGTCACGGTCATTAACCACTAGACCAACAGGCCAGTCAAACGTACGTTTTTGTCGTGCGTAAGTTTAATGATTATTTACTGACCATAGAGTGACCTGTTTACTCGTTTCCATGCTATAACATTAAAAACTGGTGGTTTGTGTATCAGACTGACACGCCAAAGATCGCGGGTTCGATTCCCGCTCAAGTCAAACAATTTATGTGCTTTAACATTTAATGTTTAATTTGGTCTGGGTGTTTTCTATGTATACACAATACACATATATTATATGTCTATACTTACAAAGAAAGAAAGTGTATATGTATTTATATCAGTTGTCTAGTACCCCTAGTACAAGCTCTACTTAGTTTGGGACTACATGGCGTTGTGTGAATGTGGTAGAGTATTATTATAATATTATTAATAAGTAAGGAATATAATCGTGACAATAATTAACCTAGAAGAACATGTAGGTGTGTGTATTATATAATAATAACAATTGATAATAAAGGCTGTTTATCATACAAACCCTAGTAAAACAATATTGTTTAAATCATTGTTTTCCAATAGACATACATAGCTCAAGCCCTCACCCCGTGGCAGACAAAGGCTTATTTTATAAACGCTTACATTTTGCTGACTGTTAGTCCCACTTACGTATTAAGGCCTATTGCCGTCAATTGGACAGATATATTCCTTAACAAACATACTTACATATTCCTGAATACATATACATTATTGAAAAAAAAATACAATCAGTTTGCTACATGTCCGTAGGCACTGTAGGTACAATGGTATATGTCCCGGTCAAAATGCCATTTGTCCCGGTTTGGTAGCTATGCTCGCATGGTATGCGACGGCCCGGTTCGTGTTAGATATGATTTGTTATCCCAAGACTCTCAGTGATGGTCCCAGGTCACAATTCCCACGTGGAAAGAGTGTATTCTCTGATTTCATAGGAGTCTTGAAGAAATAATGTTTTATTTTTATTTTATCGTTGATTCTTTAGTTCAAAGATTAAACTTAAAGGTACCTAATCTATTAGTCCCAAGTCAATGGTTCAGCAGTCCTATATTACACCAAGACACAGAACAGATTATCATGCTCATCACACCATGGACATTTGGACCAACAGGCCAGTCCGATAAATGCCATACCATTGTTGAACACAACATCACTACACTCAACACTATATACTCGTATGTACTCTGGTTACAACTTTTAGTAAAAAAATTGAGCTTATTATTAGTTACAAGTGCGTTGCCGCCCTTTGAGTCCGAGGTCAGTAATCAAGGCCTTAATTCTACTATTTTATTTTAAAATATGAGCCACTGTCATTCTAGTGACACGCTATTGACATGCCATTGACATTAGTCAAAATATCGGTATTCTACTAACATACATTCACAATGTCAATAGACTTACCATGTAGTGACAATGGATCATCAATAGTTATATCAACAACATTACCATAATTAGAATATTTAATAAATCATTTCCTTACAAACTTTGAATCAAAATTTAAATCGTTGTAATAATATAATATAATTGTTCGTATAATATAATCGTTGTAATAATCTAATATAGTTGTAATAGTTTGATAAATGTACATTTTAACAAACTATTACAACGACATCGACGACATTTGTTACAATGGCAGTTCAGTGACAAGTCACGAGGAGACCATTAGTCTTACATAGTTAGTAGAATATGAAAAGTGCAAAACTATTCAGACGAAATTTCATCGACAGTCTATTGATACAATATTAAAGTAGCAGAATTGAGGCCTAGGAAAGGCCAGGGTGGGTAACCTCACTCACAGTGAAAGTAATAAAAAAAATTGCTGAACTCCGGTTTTCTGGAAGACCGTGGTATTACTATGGTCGAGTCGGACCATATTACATTAATTGTTAAACAAATATTATTGACAATAACTGATAAAAGTATTTGACTGAATGTCAAAGGTAACGGTCAAACTATTTGCTTCAATTTCATTCGCTTTAATATAGATTTTCTTCATTTACTCACCCAATTAATAGTACTTACTTATTTTGGATAAGTACTTGACTTTAATTCCCTGACAACAGTTAAGAAAGATATCATGATGATCGATTGATTGGTTTAAGTGTGAAATCGTGACATACACACACACACTTAGAAAAGATAATTTAATAGATAATGTATCCAGTGGTTGCCTGGAAGAGATCGCAAAACGCGATAATGCCGCCAATTGTACAAATTTTAATACTTTACTCTCCATGTTACATTAATTTAACTTTAGATATAAGACACACAATGTATACAAACCGATTTCTTCTTTTTTATTATGTTTTTTGTACAATAAAGAGTTATCTATCTATCTATCTATCTATTAATAAGTATTTTATTCCAATAAAAATATATAACACGGTTCTCTCATTAAATTTGTTTTGAAAAATAATTTATTCAACATCAGTAGCGTAGTAGTAGCGTCAGTAGCTATACTAATCTGTGTTGATATTATAAAGCTGAAGTGTTTTTGTTTAGTTGAACGTTCTACACTCAGAAACTACTGGTTCGAATTGAAAAGTTATTTTAGTGTTGGATAGCTCATTTGTTGAGGAAGGCTATAGGACATCACGCTACGAATATTACGATCTAAGCATCAATAAAAAATAACACAAAAACAGGGAAAAATTACTTCTTTTGAAAGACACAGATGAATTTGCGAGGGTCAGTTATTACTACATATAAGTAACGGTCAACCAGGGTGGGGCAAGCCCGGATACCCTTATCGGTACCCAAAAAATATTATGTTAGAGCGCTTAATAAAAATGTCATCATTATCATCATCAACAGCCTTTAATAGTCCACTGCTGGACATAAGCCTCTAATTAGAAAGGAGGTTTTGCCAACTATGCCACGCTGGCCAGACGGGTTGGTATAGGGTTTGTGTCAAGTTTTCCTTCTCTCTGCAGTGCTGTTGTTCTGCGTAGTTTTTTCCCTTAGTCGGCTCTTACGACACCCACGGGATGAATAGGAGTGGTGACACTCTGTATTCTTAATCCGTCACCACACGAACGTAATAAAAATGTACGACACACAAATTCGTTCCGTTATAGCCGCGTGATGAGGGAACACAAGGTATACGTCGTCCCGTCATTTAAATTTCAAATCTCACATCGCCACTGCTTCATTTAAATGACCTTTGAATGAATGGTTTTAGTATCGTCTCTAATTAATTTATTGAGTGTCTGCTAAGCAACAGGCAATCATATTGATATCATCACATACATCATGTATCTTAAAACTGTAAAACATTGGGAGTAAACAAACATTACCGAATTTACAAATATTACCGAAGGTTAAAGGAACTCAAACTCGCGAACGAAACGAAAATCAGTTTGCCGAAGATTTCATCAAAATGCATTCAAGTCTTTTTTTTCATTTTAACTCGATAAGAGAATAAACATTCAGCAAAACGTACGACGATAGTGGCAACATGCAGCAATTAAAACAGAGTTGATCAAGAAACTACAAATCAAATTGACCAAGATGACTTGGTAAGTCATTATTAATATAAGTGAGTAAGACAGCAGAATACGGAATGTCCTTACCGCAATTCATCCCGTAGGTGTCGTGAGAGCCGACTAAGGGCGCAAAACAACGCAGGACACCAGCACTGCAAAAAGAAAACTTGACACAAACCCTATACCGACCTGTCTGTCCAGCGTGGTATAGTAGGCCAAAACCTCCTTTCTAAGGAGAGGCCTATGTCCAGCAGTGGACTATTAAAGCCTGTTGATGTGATGATGTGAAGACAGCAGATACAAAATAATTGAAAATTGAGTAAAGAACATAATAACAAAAACTACTCAGTTTTTGCACTACCTGAATAGTACACAGAGATCTCTTGATGGTCGAACTTCGACCGTGTTGAAGGACTTATTTAATTTCATGTGTTATTTCAACTGTTACTGTTGATTTTTGTACCATAACAAGACAAAATAATACTCGTAGGTATATATAACACGGGAAATAAAAAAATTGAAAATAAGACAAGCTTTAAATACTTAAAGTTTTTTTTAAACAAAAAACGTTTAAAAGTGTCAGTTTCAACTTTCAGATATGATCACTCTTGTTTGGGATAAAACTAGGTAAAATGTGTAAAGTAAAATCTTTCAAATCGAACGAAAATTTTAACGTTGAAATGATCCAATTTATTATTGAAGAAAATTATAAAATCTAAATTCAAAAACTGCATAATTTCTGAGGTTAGTTTTCATGGAGTTATAGGAAAAATGGCTTCAAAATGTTGGCTTTCCTTCTCTTACATAAAAACTTTGAGTATTTCAAATTTCACATTCCTGTTTCTGCACTTTTGATGAAAAAATGTGGATAAAATTCTCCTCACGTATTAATATGTACATGCTACTGTTTTACTAACATGTCGTTTTCATTAAAACATCAAAAACTTTGTAAATTTTCATTCAGTTGACTCCTCGAATTTTGAGTATCATATCTGCATGGAATCGTAATGAGTGCTGGACGACTTTTAATATTATTTTTCGTTAACATAAAAATGGAAGAACATACTTGTAGAGTTTTATATAATTGTTTGTATTTGTTTAGTGGTACAATCACGACAAAGTAAAATTTTGTTATAAGTAAAGCAAGCTATGAACAAAAATAAATACAAAATTAAAAATTAGGATGTGATAGGAGGTGTAACACCAAAATTGTTTCAATTATAAATTACAGAAAACGAATCACCCAATGACCAAATTTTGATATACAAACCTACCTTAACTACAATTATCACGGTGTACCTCAAGGGTGTGTCTTGGGTCCCTTGTTATTTATCATCGATGTTGAATATGTAATTGAGTTAACTCAATGAGAGAACTTAACAGCACAATTGTCCAAATGGCGCGGTCATATACAGAGGTAAGTAGAGTTCGAGAAGAAACGAATAACTCTGACCTCGACTTTAAATGCGGCCAGGCTAAAGCCCGACCCCCGCTTGCCGCCATTTCATTCAACTATATACACGGAATACTCACGTGCCCGCAACATTTATGGGATTTTAATGCGAAGATTGACTATATAAACCACCTTTGAGTGCAACGCAATTTAAACTAGGGATCGCCGTGACTGAAATCGGTCGAAATTTTGGGAAGATTTTCATAATTGTAACTGTGTTGTGCAGATTATACTACAATAATTATTGAATATGATCATAATTGTATTAACTGTGAAAGAAAAATAAACAATAAACAAAGTTATCAGCAAATGATTAGATAAAAATAAATTGAAAATAAAAAGAGATAAAACCAAACCTTATTTATATTTTAGATCTATCTGTAATAGTTACATTTTAGATGTAATGAAAAACTTATATTTTTAGGTTAACTATAAATATAAATAGTATACATTAACAATATTTTTTAACTCCAACTCAATATTTGTAAATGTCAAAGTTACCCAACTTTGCAAACAAAGTTGGGTAACTTTGACATCAAATAAAACGCATTAAACAAATTCATAAATAATGCAAAAAGGAATATTTCACTCCGGGTTCAGTTGTTCAAACAACTATCAAAAACATTGTTGATAAATTACACACTGACAATAATATCAGTCTTGTTCTTTAATGTTGGCACTCATGCATAACATAGACGATAAACATTTTTAATTCTTCGGTAATGTTGGTAAAATTTGTTTAAAAATAGAACAGAACTGGTTTAAATTATGAGATATATGGAATAAAACGACTCACCACGTCTCGCGTGTAGACACGGCGACAGAGACGGCTTCACTAGCCACTGGGCGTGTGTGTATTATCAAATAGCCGGCGAATCGTTCAAGTTCATGAGACGGTCGGGTTGCTATAGGAACAGTATTACGTTTTACGAGACGGTATAGTGCCTGCCTTCTATTCATTGCGGTATAATGTTTATTTTGAGTGGGTTATTGATTTTAAGCGACTTCTCTTCGTAAGAGGTTCTCAATTCGGTTGTTTTTTTTATGTTCCTTTTATCTTTTAATTTAAGACAAGGGCTCTTTACATAAAAATGACGTTATGATTGTATGAATCCCATAGTACCTACCTTATTCTGAAGTCTTAACCAACCACTTCATCAAGTATTTACTAACTTTTGTCTACAAATAAAAATAAATTATAAAGCACCCTGCTAAAATGCTTAATAAGTGGCATATTTCCAATATTGTTCAGAGTTACTTTAATCTTACAATTGCGTTCTTTTGTGTGTGGTAGATGTCATAATTTATTCCACATACCTATGTCACAATTGGGTGACTCCACCTTTTTCATTAAAAATCCAAAACTTTTACAAAGAATATGACCAGCCCGCAACCACGGTACAATTATAATACAGTAGTGTAACTCGGCCGCATGATAGAAATAAATGCCTACAGCCGCGCGGTACGTAAACATGCGTTAGGGCTGCCCGTCTCCAGCATTTTAATTATATTTGCCTACTTTCTGTTTCTATTTAGATTTGTGATTGTAAATATCCTTTTTATATAAATAAATGAAGTACTTTGTATATTGAATAGGAAGTGTTCAATAAAAATGCGTGTTGTTTTTTGATTGGTAGATTTAATTATTTTATTTTCTTTCTGCATTGGAGGTTCAAGTTTCAATTTTCTTTTTCTTGGAGTGTTGCTAGAGAGACTCGTTGAGATTTGAGCAAAGATTTCATTTGTTGCATTTTCAGTCTGTGTACTATTTTCATTTCCTACCAACGGAGCAGTTTGGGTTTGTTTATCTTCTTTTAGAGAGACTCCTGGATCAGTACTAGCTAAGCTTGGCAGCATCAACAATGGTAGAGCATTCTTTTTTAAAAGTTTTCTATTTGATGAATGTATTACGTCCTCCAAATTAAAATGTTTTTCACAAACTTGGTAGGAACTAAAGTTAGGTTTGTTTTCCAAATCATCTCGCCGGATCAATTGCAACCATTGAAGACGTCTGAAAAAAAAATACATGTGGCACTTTCGGAGACTGCCGCGGTAAAGCTGTTGCATAACATTTTTTTTTAAAGAAAAAAATCTGCGTGGTGTCAGGTATTTTTCGTTAGGTTTTGAGAATTTCTTGATTCGGTCACCGCGCCGCACCGCGCTCAGAGCCCGCGATAAAAGCTATGCAACAGCTTAAAAATACTTCTATAGAATAAAAAAAATGTGCTTTCTCCTTACGCGTTACAAAACTCCAATCCTTAGAAACTCCAACACCTGACTACTCAACTAGAATGCAAGAAACAGCTGACGAGTAAGTAACTTTTTAGCTCAGCTTATTAACGTCTCCATAAATTAGGTACCTACCTACAACTCGCAACAACTCAAAACAAAAATTCTTTGGTTACCAATTAATTAATTATTAAAAAGCTGAACAGCTGACTACGAATGTTTTAAAATCACAACCCTCAAACATCTAAATATTATATATGAGTCTAGCTGTTGTTGTTAATACCGAGAAAATAAAACCAGTTTTTAGTGGTATATGTTGTTATAGTAGCAGCAGAAACACTTTGTGAAAATTTCGAAAACTATCTTATGACACACAGACGGACAGACAGACAGTAAAAAAAAAATCTAGTATTATTCATACACACAGATAATAAACAAATATTATTAATAATAAAATACCACGTCTTTACTTTGAATTATGCAAAGTAACAAAACACACATGCACCGAAGTTTTAACACAAGCGTAAGTAGGTACCTACCGTATCATGATTCATTCAGAACCGCATATAACTACCTATTTCACTCGTCTCAATAACTTTCCGTTACTCTATTCGCTTTATTTATTAATCCAAACACCTTTTTTTTCGTGAGATAAAAGGAAATACTTATCCATTAAAAAGACACATATTATGTACCTACCTACTAGTAAGTAAAATTATTATTTTATTAATTATTATTAAGTAAAGTAAAATTATTATAGTCTTACCTTTCAGAGTTTCCAGATACTTTAAAAAAACTTATGTCTGGATGCGTTATTGACGAATTCATACAACCAAAAACAGCACAATATTTCCTACTCGTCATATTAACTGATTTTTAGAGAGAAAATCGCGCGGTTATTGTTAAAAAAACAACACCGTCCGTTCGACACTGCGGTACACCCGTGACTGTCTGCGCCCCGAGCGCACCCCGAGATCGAGGTGCGTAGGTATAGCTCGCTTTTCGTCCGTTTGTATGAAGTTGGAGTACTGTATTATAATAGTACCGTGCCGCAACTCCGCCTTCCGCAAAATGTAATCAATGTTACTCGCTGATAATGTAGCTTTCCATTGGTGAAAGAAATTTTAAAATCGGTTTAGTGGTTTAGGCGTGAAAGCGTAAGAAACAAACAAACTTATATGGATCTGTTCGCTAAATATTTGACAAAAGAGATTGTTGCTATTGTGCGTTGATGACTTCAAACAATTTTTAAAGAATTTTATGAAATAAAGAAATTTTAAAATCGATTTAGTGGTTTAGGCGTGAAAGCGTAACAGACTCATTTTCAAGTTTATAATATAAGTATGGATCAAGCCTGGTATCCATGAACATTAGGGTATGAAAAGGCTCACATTGGATGCATTTATACCAAATACCCTCAACTTATGAACGTTCATCAAAATATTCGTATATTTCACTTCGTTTAATACTTCCTTTCCCCATCCCTCCCTGATGTTCGGTCCGACGCCAACACGAGATAACATATACCAGTTCGCTCCATCAATAAACATTGATTAAATACTTTTATAGTGCCGTGTGACTATTAACTTGTTGCAATTACTTGGCATAATACAATTGCCAACAACCGGTGAAAGTTTCTTGTGCTAATGATTGGTTTGCATAACAGAAAAGCATTTTGAAAAATTAAAAACCATTTAATAATTCAAGTGTTTGTACTACTATAGTTAAACCGCCGTAAGCTTGGCCCTCCTGATGGTTTGCGGGACGCGGGGCGGGTGATGCGCTCGGCTATACATGACACGATGTACTAACTCGATATCTTCAGATTTATTTGTTTGAGATTTAATCTACACACGATGCAATAAAAATCGAATTTATTTCCATGCATTATAATGTCAGTGTATTGTAAGTTTTTTATGATTAATTGTAAAATTTAATGCTGTAAAATAATTTTAATAAAATCACCTTATCTTCATCATGTAAATTATATTCAGATACAATTTAAAATTTAAGTAAAATAATAAATATTCCTTATTAGAACTTTAACAGTAGAACCTCTGTAAGCTGAACTTCAAGTTTTTAAATCTTTTTGTTACGCAGAGTCGGCAGATTATCCATATTGCAAAATAATACCGTGTGTAGCAGTCTTAAGAAAAATAACACGTACAGCCATGCTTTCACGTCAGTCACTGCCGGCGGACAGCGACGCACTAGCTAATTGGTTGAATGCATCCCCGCCCCGCGTCCCCCAAACCATCAGGAGGGCCAAGCTTACGGCGGTTTAACTATAGTGTCGTGAATCTATCGAAACGCGTAAGCGCCGCGTAATACATGGCGCTTATGACTTTTTCGCCGCTTGCGTGCTGAGCAACAACTGTTTCGACCGTTTCTCGGAGGTAACTGTCTGAAGTAACAACTACCTACAGTTCCCGCGAACAATCGCTTTATTTAATTTTGCACCACTAAACGTGCACTGCTTTATACATTATCTTAAAGCTTCAATTTTATAGTTTCTGCTTTTTTGATTCGAATTACTTTTGGAGGCAGAAACAATGTCAATAGTAAATTGTGGTGGTTGTATGGGTGCTCTTAGGGGGAAAGGATTGCGATGCTTTCTTTGTAATCAATGGTATGATTTATTATGTGCAAATTTACCTGATAAAAAGTTTAAATTAATGAACGCTGATGCAAAAAGAGCGTCGAAATGCCCAGGCTGTGTTAGCAAACAACCGAAACTAGACAACAGCGATACGCCTGTTCGACCCAGCAAACAACATAGTCCTAACGCTTGTAATCAGTCCCCTTCTGGTGATAAGGCTAATGTAACTCTTCGCCCTAAACCGCCTCAACTGCGGTCCTCTAATACCGACACTATTGACTAACATTTCTAACAGCAGTCTGAGAGAATTGATAAGAGAAGAAATTGGCCACGCTATACAGAATACAATAAGGGATTTGGTTGATAAGCAGTACAAAAAAAATCAACGATTTAGTATCAGATTTCAAGCTCTCACTAGCCTTTTTTGCCGAAAAATACGATGAAATAAAGAGTCAACTTGAGGATAAATCCGTTAAACTTCTAAAACTTGAGAAAGATAATTTTAGTTTGCAAAAATCCCTTAACGCCAGATCAAGCAACTTTGAGTTACAGTGCATACTCGAACACCGATCTGAGAACTTAGTTAACACCGTTCTTCAGCTTGGCAAAGTACTAAACTGCGACGTTAAGGACACTGACATACAGCTCTGTACGCGCATAGCCAAGAAGGATGTGCAGAGCCCACGTCCGCGCTACGTTCTCATTAAATTCAGCAGCCCTCGTTTAAGAGACCCGTTCCTCGCAGCCTCTAAACAGTTTAATAAAACCAACTCCAAAGATAAACTGAACTCCAGTCATCTCGGCATATCCAGCGACATACCTGCACCGATATTTGTTGTTGAGCATCTGTCACCGGAAAACAAAGCACTACACGCAGCAGTTCGTACTCGCTCTAAGCAGGTGGGATACAAATTCGTGTGGGTTCGTAACGGAAGAATCTTCTTGAAAAAAGATGAAACTTCTCATAGTATTCTAATAAGTAACCACAAGAGGCTGGACTCATTACACTAAACTTCCTATTTTTGTTATAAGCATGTTCTCTTGATTTGTCTTTGAAATTCACTTTTTTTAAATGTTATTACCAAAACACAAGAGGTCTGCGCAGCAGTTTATATGAGGTGCGTCAACATATACATAATAGTGAATACGATGTCTATGTCTTGACTGAGACTTGGCTTTGTAGTGGTATTTTCGATGCTGAAATTTTTTGTAATAATTTTAGTGTATACAGAAGAGACCGCGAGACCTCTAGTTTTAGCACCCAAAAAAAACTGGTGGTGGCGTGCTCATAGCTGTGTCCAATAAATTTAGGTCATGTCGCATGTCAGAATGGGAGAGTGACTGCGAAGACTTGTGGGTCAGCATTGAAACTCCTTCGAATTCGACTTTAAAGTCGCTGAAAGTTTGTGGTACCTATCTTCCTCCACCAGTACATGCAGAGATTTTAGAAAGTTTTATAGAAAATTGCAATTCCATTATAGATTCAAATTGTGATAGTTACACACTGATAATTGGTGACTTTAATTTGAGTTGTATAGATTGGATCCGTGACAGCAACGATGGCTCGTATATGGCTTCTACAAGTAACGGTAGTAACTTAAAAAATATATTATTAAATTTTATTTCCCTAAATAATTTAAAACAGTTCAACAGTATTAAAAATTGTAATAATAAAATGCTTGATTTAATATTCTCAGATTTTGAGGAAATAAAAGTTACAGATTGTATCGATCCTATCCGTAAAACAGATAAATATCACCCAGCCTTAGTATTTTCGCCAAAAGTTCCGATTTATATTAAAAATGATACAAAAAAGGTGACAAAACTTAACTAAACTAATAAACTTAGAACTTAGCAAAATTAATTGGTCTAATGAGTTTTCATCTTATCTGGATGTCAATGTGATGGTGGTTAGGTTTTACACGATACTTAGAAAAATTATAAAAAAACATGTACCCGAAACAGTATACTTCCATGGGAAATATCCAGCCTGGTATTCTAATCAACTTAAAAAAATGCTCAACCAGAGCCTAAAATTATGTAAGAGAATAAGGAAATATAGAAATCCATTAGATATTTTGGAATTTAATTACATAAGAAAAGAATGTCATACCCATACTCAACAATGATTATATAGAAAGAATAGAAATTAAAATAAAAGAACATCCGAAGTTTTTCTGGACACATATAAAAAATCACCGGAAGAGCAATAATTCCTACCCCTCTAAAATGGTGTTGGGCAACTCAACTGCATGTGACAGTACCTCTATTTCAAATTTATTCGCTAAACAATTCTCTTCGGTCTTTGATCCTGCCAGTTCTGATCACGATTTTAGTAATAATTATACCTGCTCGGCTTCGGTAACAGACATCAACGATATTTCTATTACTCCAGATGCAGTGTATAAGAAACTCTCTGGACTGGACCTCTCTAAAGGCGCTGGGCCCGACGACATACCTCCTACATTTTGGTCACGGTGCGCCCGTCCGATATCTTGTCCCATAGCAATAATTTTTAACACTTCCCTCAAAACAGGCGTTTTTCCTGACGTGTGGAAACAGGTTAGAATAGTACCCGTTCACAAAAATGGTAAACGGGGTATGGTCTCTAATTATCGGCCTATCTCCATTCTATGTACCCTGTCCAAGGCTTTCGAATGTTTTATATATCCTGTATTGTATGACCACGTGAAGAAATATTTATCCCATAATCAGCACGGTTTCATGGTAAATAAGTCAACAAACACCAACCTAGTTACTAACATTACAGGATTGGCGTCTGCAGTTGATCAAGGTTTTCAGGTTCACACAATATATGCCGACTTTTCGAGGTTCTTTGATAGGGTTAACCATAAAATTTTATTATTCAAACTTCGTGCTCTCGGTGTTACTAAATCAACTCTACGCTGGTGTAGTTCCTATATCAACAACAGGCCATTCTCAGTTGCCGTTGATGGCAGCCAGTCTGAGGCATATTTTGCTACATCCGGTATACCACAGGGTTCCAATTTGGGACCCCTATTTTTTAATATATTCATCAATGATATATCGCAAGTGTTCATACATTCAACACCGTATCTTTTCGCAGATGACTTAAAATTGACCCGTATAATTTTGAAAGAATCAGATGTAAGTTTACTTCAGCCTGACCTTGATAATTTAAATCAATGGTGTCTCAGTAACAAAATTAATTTAAACTGTGCCAAATGTTACCACATTAAATTCACCAGAAAACGCAACAAAATCCCATCTGAGTACAACATTCGAGGAGACAAATTAAAAGAAGTAACCACTATCAGAGACTTAGGAATACATTTGGACAGTCAACTTAACTTTATACATCATTATGATACGATAATTAACTCAGCATATCGAGCCTTGGGTTTTGTACTACGTTCCTCGAAAGAATTTAAAAAGCCATCTACCATGATCATTTTATACAATAGCTATGTACGAAGTCATTTGGAATATTGCAGCACGGTATGGAACCCAATGTACCAAGTTCACATAAATAAAATAGAACAAATCCAAAAGAGACTAGTCCGACATCTAGCTTACCGTTTTGGGGTTAGGAACTTAAGGACTTATGAGGATAAACTAACGCACTTCAACCTTATATCTCTTAGGGACCGTCGTACTATCTTTGATCTAGTATTCTTATACAAACTGTTCCATAACTACATTGACTGCCCAGACCTACTCAGTAAGGCCGGTATAGGTGTTCCAACTAGAATTCCACGCTACCGTCGCCCGCTATTGAAGGTCCCACGAGCCCGGACGAATTTAGGGAAGCAAGCACCAATTGCTAGGATGACTCGAGAATATGACACCATTTCAGTTGCTTCGGAGGACATAGACATCTTTTCTAATAGTCTTGGTAAATTTAAAAAAAATGTTCGCACTCATATATTGAACCCTGTGTGATTATTGACATACCTCCTTACCATTTGAATTTTGAATTTTGACTGCTGCTAATTTACAATTTTTTGCACAATTGATTGTTATAATTCTTTGATTGTTTTTTTTTTCTTATTTACAAAGGCCATTTGTGGCCACTGTCCTTAATCTTTTTTTTTGTAATGTCCATGTTGTGGTCTCCTATAATTAAGGAAGCACAAGACTTAAAATTTTATTTGCTTTATAACTAGCATGTAAGGTGTATTTCTTGTTGGAGATTCAATAAAATAAAATAAAATAAAATAAAATAAAATAAAATAAAATAAAATAAAATAAAATAAAATAAAATAAAATAAAATAAAATAAAATAATAAAATAAAATAAAATAAAATAAAATAAAATAAAATAAATAAAATAAAATAAAATAAAATAAACCTAAAATAGGCCTACTACACCACGCTGGCCACACGGGGTGGTATAGGGTTTGTGTCAAGTTTTCCTTCTCTCTGCAGTGATGTTGTCCTGCGTAGTTTGCTCCCTTAGTCGCCTCTTACGACACCCACGGATGAATAGGGGTGGTGACACTCTGTATTCTTAAACCGTCACCACACGGAGGTCCTCATCCCTAATGCTAGAAAATAGAGTAATTAAGAATAAAGTTTAACGCGATTCACCATAATATAGGCGCAATGAAGCTGGTGATACTTTTCAAGTTAATTCATCTTCATAGACAGAGGCCTCTCCCATTGCACGCCACTTGGATCGATTTTTTAGCTTCTCACATCCAGCTAAGCAAAGTTGATTATTTTTCTCATAATATATGTTAAGTTTCAGATTGACGGGTTCACCTTTTTCGAGAGCAGACCACTGTAAGCAGAAATGATCTTCACTCGCTTGGTGAAAATAAATAAAATAATTGCTTAACACCAGAGGGCTTAGTGTAAGTTGATTTCACATCGAATCGATCATCGGTGACCGCGTCCGGCGCTGTGATTGGTGTAGATTTCAGCGTGGGCCAATCGCAAGGCCTAAAACGCTCACCGTAACGATCGAATAATGTGAAATAAACTCGCACTAGGGCCTTAGTTTTATGTTACAATTTTTTGCCCCGCACAACCAATCTGTGGAACGGGTTATCGTCTGCGGTATTTCCGGACCGATACGATCTTCAAACCTTCAAGAAAAGAGCGTACTCCTTCCTAAAAGGCCGGCAACGCGTTTGTGACACCTGAGTTGCAGACATTCATGGGCGGCGATGGTCACTTTCCATCAGATGACACGTCTGCTCATCTGCCCCCTTTAACATAAAAAAAAGAAATGTGAGGCCAGAGTAATACACTCCGGTCGAGCCTGGTCCAATCGTTTCGAAGCATAAATACATATCTATGTCAATACCTCCGCATTTGTGTATCATAAACTAAAGTTGTACGTAACAGTGATTTCTGCAAGGTTGTTGTTTAAAGTGTGCTTATCAAAACGCCTGCTACATTACGTGTTATGTTGCTTTACATAAACTTACTACCTTCTTATATGCTATATAACTAGAGATCATCATAATTTCGAGTGCAAATGCATTCAAAACAAGAACTATTTAAACACAGAATGATGAGTTTACAAAGTCGTTGTTATAGGAGGGACATTAGAGAAGCAAATTAATGCAGGTTATTGTTATACGCATTTGATCGTCTGTTTATCAAAACGCCTGCAACAAAACGTGTTACGTAGCTATATGTAAACTAAATAGGATTTTTGGATTTTAGTTTCCGTAATTATGAAAGTAGTCTTTTTAACCATCATCATCATCATCATCAACAGCCTTTAATAGTCCAGTGCTGGACATAAGCCTCTTCTTAGAAAGGAGGTTTAACCATAACGGGTTTTAATAGTAAACTTTTCCTTTTATTCCCGTTATCTGGGGATGTACTTTTACTTATATTTTGATTGTCCATAATCACATGCATAGGGTCTTTTTTCTTTTTTATTCTTTATGATTGACGGGCTTTGAGCCGTTGACTATGCCAGTCTTATAGGCTCTTCAAACCCGCAACTTTTAAGTGTAAGTTAAACATCTAGGACATTACGATACAATCAATGAGTTTTTTCACTTTTTTTTTACTTTTAGTTTCATTTGTATAGGATATATTCATCATCATCACATCAACAGCCCTTAATAGTTCAATGCTATGCATAGGCCTCTCCTTAGAAAGGAGGTTTTGGCCTACTATACCACGCTGGCCAGACGGGTTGGTATAGGGTTTGTGTTAAGTTTTCCTTCTCACTCCAGTGCTGTTGTTCTACGTAGTTTTGTCCGTTAGTCGGCTCTTACGACACCCACGCGATGAACAGGGGTATTGACACTCTGTACTCTTAATCCGTCACCACACGGACATAGGATATATTAAAATGAAGAAATTCTTTCGCAAAAAGAGCAAATTCAATGTAAAATAGTGTCATACGTATCAAAACCTTTGGCAGAAGATTTTCGTGAATGAACCAAGATTCGAGAACTGAGACTCGAGAACTCATTGAATAATTTAGTATTATTAGACCTTATACACCTAACGGAGAGTCATACAGATCAAACACTATAACTGTTGATAGTCGCTATAGACATTGCTGAGGTGACAGGCTTGCATGAAGCTGACGGCATTGTGAATGCTGTTCGCGTAATAATCTGGAGCTTGATTTGCTAAAAAGAGACCATATTTGTCAAGGTATGTGGTTTGCAGTAAACATTTGTATTTTATGGCGTATTGAGCTGGGGCTTGAGTTATAGCTGAGCTGTTGGCAGTTATAATCCAAGTTGGCACGTGGGTTTTCCTTCTGCAAAAATATAAAAGAAATTATCAGTTGGCATAACTTTTTATAATCATTTTACTTCTTAAATAACACTGTTATTTATGGTCATGGAGTGATAATAAATAATAATAATGTAAGCAGAGACTGTACTATGAAAGCTAGAGATTGACTGATAGAATACATATATTTTTATTTTCTCTTTCTAAATACATAAAGAGAAAACACCCAAACTCCAAAACAAATATTTGAAGATCATACAACATTTGGTCCAACTTGGGAATCGAACCTGAGACTTCAGCACAGCAGTCGCATACGTTACCACTGCTCCACTGAAGCAGCTATAAATCAACAGAACAAATCACTCAGTCATGTCACTAAATGAGGTATAGCGGTGGCGGTAAATCCCCTCGGATACCATCCATCGGTGGCTATGTCGGACTCGAACCGACTAAAAACCAGTAGCCGGGGAACCAGGTGTACCCTAAAAAGGGAATCCCTGGTACCCCGACGTACCTCGGGCCATCTGCGGCGGGTAGATGACCCCCTCCTGTGTGGAAACCCCATGTTCTCTTTGTGCTCCCGAAAGAGCGAGCGCTCCGCAGCGCGTCTGCTAGGGTGACATGCCTAATCATGCTTTTATAATGAAACAATTAGACATTCATTAACAGAATGTTTTAATACATCTGGAGCTATATCCAAATGTATAAAAACAGCAGAGTCCAGATTCTAATATATATACTTTACAAAAATGAAAATAAAATTAAAATCACAACAATTTTGATTCATATTTTTTGAGCTTCTAATGAGGCTTAAATCAGTCAACGCAGAGGGCTCAAGAAAACTAGTCAGGTTTTTTAAATTGAGTATTCCTAATTAAAATATTAGGTGCAGAAGTAGACTAGAAGAAATAATCACAATAATGACAAGAAAATGATGAATCATTGTCCTAATTGTATCATACTTTGTAATGACGTAAATCTTAATCTAAAAAAATGATTAATTATATTGATTTAAGTCATTAGAAACTTTAAAATAACAGACATTAACTCTCATATGACGGGCCTGTTGGTCTAGTGGTTAGTGACCCTTACCTGCTAAACCGGTGGTCGTGGGTTCGATTCCCACCCAGGACAAATATTGTGTGATGAGAACGGTCATTTATAAATATTAAGTATGTTTATCGGCAGTCTGGTTACCATAGTACAGGCTCTGCCTAGTTTGGGATCAGACGGTCGTGTGTGAGATATGTATGAATTATATAATATATTTTTAAAATTTGTCATTATTCCATGCCTAATTGGAAGTACATAGTTAAATGATCACACTTACGCGTAAATTTCTTCTTGATAAGTTCTGTTGTTGAATGTTTCTGAATAGAGTCGGCCGGCAGAAGTTAAGCAGTTGCTAAACCAGTAAATATTGACTGAATCTAAAGCCTCATCACGATTGACGAGTCCAAGACCTCCATCAGGTTGGTACACACTAGCGTTATTGGCCAACCATTGTGACACTTGTAATATAAACGCCATCATACCAGTTGGAGATTCATTCATTGCTACACCTGAAATGTCAATGCATAATGAAATTGTAGATACTATTGATGATGTGAGCTATTGGTCTTTGTTGATGAACCTGTTGTAGTCACAAGGATGTTTTTGTAATGTCATGTTGATAATATTACTGTTTTGAGATTGTGGGAGCTGAAAATTTTTCTGTTGGCATTAAAGAAATTGTAAAAATTATCACCGTAATCACGATAATGGTGGACATTTAATTTATTACGTTAAATAACATTATTTTATTTTGTAACTTATTGTTTTTTTTTTATTGCAGAGCCCGTAATGAAACTCCAAAAAAAAAAACAAAGTAGTACCATCATTTTCTTATAGTAGAAAAAAAATCACAACAATGAATCATGTATCACAGTGGCTGATATTTTCAATTCTTAGGAGAGGTCAATTTTCTGTGGTGATGATGGGATAATGGTACTAAAGATGATGTTAGTGATGATGATAAACGCACTTTTCTAGTCTATTTTTAGTGATACTTAAATCATCAATGGGAATGGAATGTGGCACCCTAAGTGTTATGAGCCTGATAAGCGACGATTTGTGAGTATCCTAGAGTAAATAAATTGTTTACAAATTCGTTTGTAAAATAAAATTTTTATGTTTTCATACCAATTGCATCGGGTTGGGTAGCAAGGATGTGCACAAAACCAGTTTCAGCCAAAAAGCTTGTGATAGTGGACCCAAGTGGATACATTTTGTTCTGATATGTCTTATCTGCCAATAATGACGGGGATAAGGCTCCAGCAACCCAAAGACCCCAAGATAAAGGATTGTAGGAAACCAAATTATTTGCGAAGAATCCTAATACAACCTGCAAAGTAAACATAGGAAATTAAATGAGTAAATGTGTTTTGTAATATACAGCAGCTGATACTCTAGTTGTTAGCAATGAATAAAAACATACACAAAAAAAATACACTAGTTTTTTTTTGTCAGCAATTAATAAAAACGACAAATGGAATTTTGGTGGGTATTTCTATAATGACTTTCAAAGGTTATGAGCTGAAGTATAACATTCATAACAAAGCCATGCTTCGGCACATACTCGTAAATATATTTAAGGCGGCAAATGAGCAGACAAGTCGTCTGATGGTAAGTGACTACCATCGCCGGGGGAGAAAGGCGGGAGTGACTTAATGAAGGTCATAACATTTGTGTATCTTGAGTTGCAGGTAGAGTACCATCAGGTGTTGTTCCTCGTTCGTTCCTTATAACAAAAAAACAATACATCTACAGCCTTAAATAGTCCACAGCTGGACATAGGCCTCTCCTTACAAAGGAGGTTTTGGCCTACTATACCATGCTGGCTAGTCGGGTTGGTTTAGGGTTTGTTTCAAGTTTTCCTTCTCAAAAATAAAATATTACTCTTTAAAGTTACTGATACAAAACTGTACTGCATGCTAAGGTTAAGTTACGCTTCTTTTTTTTTAATAAAAGAACAAATCCCGCACTAAGAATATAATCTTTATATAGACTTTACAAACATATATGAAACGGACACAAAGAACACCCAGACTCAGGACAATAATTTGTGGATCACACAAAGTGTCGTCCTATGTGGAGATCGAACTCACAACACTTAGCACAGCAGGAAGCGCCGAGGTGACCGCTTAAACCGCTACGGGGTCCGTTTGAACTAAAATACTTATTAAGACATACGTGAGGGTACAAAGTCGCCATCATTGCACCGACATGTGTGATGTCTCCCGACGCTAAGAAGAATTGAGGGTGACCAATACGTTTCATCAAGTTCTTCATCACCGTAGCTGCTTCCGCTGCACCAAAGCCTACCTTCGTCGGTGGCTGCAAAACAAACAAGTAAATATATTCTTTTTTTTATATATTTTTTCGTAAGCTTTTGTTTCTTTCTTTCTTTCTTTCTTTAAAAAAGACTACTCCCGCATTAGGAATATATCCTGTGTCGCGGGGGACTTTACAAACATACATGAAACGGACACAAAGAACACCCAGACTCAGAACAACAATTTGTGGATCACACAAAGTGTCGTCCCATGTGGGGTTTGAACCCACAACACTCGGCGTGGTAGGAAGCGGCGTGGCGACCGCCTAAACCACTACGCCATCCGTGCAGTGCTTTTGATTGCCTTTACGATAGGTTAAATAAATGTTGAACTAGGATGAACTAAAACCAGCGAATACTCAAGTACGCAGTTTCCAATACGAGCATCAGAAACTTCAATCAACATCAGTGCTTCCTGTTTCCTGATTTAATCTCAGAAACGGTACCCAGCTCCTTCCAAATGCACAGAAGCCTTCTGAGGCGTTCACAGGTTTCTAGAAGATTTCAACTGATATTATTGAATTTAGTTTCTAAAACCAATGTATTTTTAAAAATTAATTCTACAAATAACTTAAGGACGAATCACTATTATTGGCTCCATTCTTAATTTCATAAATCACAACACAATCAGCACAAACATGTCGAGGTTTTTTTGACAAATAAGAATATGTAAGTTCTTAAAATGCTTGAACTAAATTTGTTGTATTGGTATTTGAACTCCATTGAATAGTATACCTCTGAAACGTTTGAGAGTTTTATAAAAAAATATCCCACTAACTACGTAAATTATACTACTATAAAAAATAAAATTTACTTACGTCAGAAAATCCATATCCGGGAATGCTAGGAAGGATGACTTCAAATGCGAGTCCATTAACACATCTTGTCAATCGTGGTACAACTTTGTAGAATTCGAGGAAAGTGCTGGGGAAACTGTGCAAGATGAGAAGGGGGAGAACTTCGCAGAATACTGTGTTCTTCGATAGAAAAAATTACATAAATATATGCTTGTAAAATAATAAATAATAATAATACCTGCAACCAGTGCCATAACTAGAAGGGCAAAAGTGTCAAGTATAGGGCGCAGACAAATGGTGCAGAAATAACAAACCATCATAGAATAGGTGTAGACGCATCTTACTATTTTCCAAAATATTTTCGATTGAGCGCAATTACAGAAGCATAAAACGTTAGTTACGACACTGACTGTAAGTAAACAAATAATTGACACTAACTCTAAATACGTATTTAGATGTAATAAATATGATCCATGCGTACCTCGCATGTCTCTTCTGAGATTGAACACATTATTAATTCTCAGTAGATCCACATCTTGAAATCTATGGATCTGACCAATAGATCTTCTGAAATTGAACCGCTATTTAGTATTGCTAGAGCTAATGTTTATACTCCACAATCGATTCGTATCCTCTGATGTTTACCTATTCTTACTATCAATGTGCTATCAATTTGCTCATGAGTAATTAACAGTGTCACCGATTGCCTGTGTTTTATTGATTGCATGCGTGAGACTAAATTATAGGTATCACAATTTGCATACCCCTTCATAGGTACGGTGGCTAGTCCTTTTTCATATTTAAATATCTATTTTATTTTCCTAGATTTATAAACAGTGCAATTTATTCCTAAAACTATTAACCGACATCTCTTTGTGACTTCCAACACTTTTTTCTACGTTTGCTTTATATAAATGTCATTATTTAGTTGTCAGTTAAAAAAGAAGAATCATCTTTTTAAGTTTGTCGAATTTTTCCAGGTATAGAACAATAAGGACAAAAAATTGCTAATGTTTCATTACCTGAGGAAGGACTCTAACAAAATGAACATCAGTCCCTTGAATATTCGTCTTGAACTGTGGGTATTTGTTTATATATGATAAACGAGCTTTAAAATTGTACTGATTAGCCCAATACGACCTCCATTCAGGCAACAGTTTGCTGTTAAATCCATACTCGAACCCAACTCCTTGTAGTGAAGGAACAAATGACCTTGATGAGTCACTGAGGCGAGTCTTCAAATCTTTGATATCCTAAAAATAAGTTATTACAAGAAGTTACTTTTAAAAGCAGCAATATTAATAAGCACAAAGGTAAAAAATCATCCACTGATGCCAAGAATTCGTTATTAGCTGTTTAAAATGAGTAAATGTAAAGTTTGCAAATAAAGGCCTTGATCTTTGTAGGCATTTTATTTTTATACTCTGAGGTCTTACAAAAAATGGTTATCATACTTACATATTCGCAGAAGGTAACAGTAAATGGCCTTATTGACGTATCGTTTTCAAAAGGTGATGAAGCCCATTTAGCGGCATCTCTCTCAGTCAAAGTGAGTTCACCTAATACACCAATCACAACAGAACACAAGATAATTATTTCTACGTCATGCATTTTGGTTAATTCGGCCACGACTGAGAACTTTTTGCCAAGATTTTTATTATATATCAAAAGGTAGAAACACTTGCCGAAATTCTTGTTTGTTATACAAATATTGTTGTATATTCAAGTGCACGATATTTTATGATGAATAATAAAATTATCATAAGAGATACCATATTTGTTTGACATAATTCGGTCAAGTCACAAGCAAAAGTATTTTTATGCAAAAATAAATGAACTTTTTTACATAACTTTTTATTTAAATTTTAGGTGATAAAGACATTTTTTCCCATTCTAAATTGAAACTCATATCCACGTGAAACAGAGATTTAGTTATAATAGTTTATTGTTGTTATTAGTTTACATGTAAGTTTAGTTGAGTACTAAATTTAGTTAGTGATTAATTAATTTGCAAAATAATTTTTCATTATGAAAGCTTACTTTCAGGATTTTTAAAAGTTTCAATATCTCGTTAATTTTAACTCTATAGTAGTATGTATGTACGTTTTTGAAGTATTTTCTAGAATAACCTTAATACGTGATATTCAGTTCCAGTTCTGATCGATCTAGCGAATACTCTCTAATCTATCCGTAAGAACAATATCCCTTTCTCATTATTATTTTCCCATCTTACCAACTTTTCCTTTTAAACTGAACTCCCAATTTTCCCATTTAATTTCTATTACGTCACACATCACGTCAACAGCCTTTGATAGTCCGCTGTTGAACATGGGCCTCTCCTTAGAATGAGGTTTTGGCCTACTATACCATGCTGGCAAGACGGGTTTACTTGTATGTAGAATTTGTTTCAAGTTTTCCTTGTCTTTGCAGATCTGGTGTCCTGCGTAGTTTTTTCCCTTAGTCGGCTCTTACGACTCCCACGGGGTTAATAGACGTGGTGATACTCCGTATTCTTAATCCGTCATCACACGGACATCTCTTACGCTAGTGAGATTAAAATTATAGTCGGTTAAATGTATGCTTTGTAATAAGATCTCGCCTTAATCAACTTGATCGACACAGACCATTTAACTTCTTAAAATTTTAATTCAAGGTCTCAAATACGCTATGTACTTTATTAACTAAACGTTAAATTTTTTATGTAGTTTTTCAAGCAGAAATTTGGCATGACTACAGGAAGAGAGGCATTTTTTTGCACACAACCAGCTGTGTTTAATATAAAATAATGTTGTTATTAACATAGCTATGAGTATAATAATGAAATTAAGAGCCAAATCTAGTTATGAAGTCGTAGCTGAGAAACAATAGTATTCCAAAAAGTTTTATTTATATGATATTTAATTAAAAAAAGATTAAGAAATTAAAAAAAGAACTACATAAACCGCTCATCAATACATGCTACTATAATATTAATGACTTTTTAATTGACAGATTTTTGTAATTTTCAATTTCTTGCCAATGAAATTTATTAATATACAATGTAAGAAACTGATATTAATGATATTGACAATAATAATAACTATTTTTTTAATATTCTGAAATGTGTACTGTTTTTCATGTTTCTTTCTTATCTATTAATTTATTATAATAATTCGATTCGTCCGTGTAGTGAAGGATTAAGAATACAGAATGTCACTACCCCAATTCATCCCGTGGGTGTCGTAAGAGCCGATTAAGGGTGCAAAACAACGCAGGACGCACTGCAACAAGAAGGAAAACTTGACACAAACCCTTTTTTTTTTGCACGTGTGTAAACTCCCTCGGGCCGTCACCCCACCGGGGTTTACGGCGGGGTGGTGTGTCGGAATCAGACCGACTAAAACCACAAGGTGTGCCACTCTGCGCCTGTAATAGGAAGGATCCGGGAACTGCTGTTATTAAGACCGTGACGATAAACGAGCCATCGTGGCTCGACGAGCGGCTTCGCGCCACTCGCGTACTTCTTCGGGCGGGGGCTGACTGCCGCTAACCGCCCGTAACTCAGTCCTCCGCCGATATACTTCGGCGAGCACTTCCGCCTACGGGCACAAATCCCACGGGGGAGTTCCGGCCAACGCGCACACTGCTTCCGTCGACACGGTGCTGTAACCACGTATGGCTCTGATCGCCAACACCCTCTGAGGACGCCAAAGGCGTGCTTTATTTTGGGCGGTCAGAGCTGCTGCCCACACCGGTGCGCCGTACAATGCCATTGATTGGACAACCCCACAGCCGTCTGGTTGTGACGCTGGATCCACCCAGATTAGGCAAAAGTCGCCCAAGGACAGTCGCAGCGCTGACCAGCTTTGGAGCAAGCTGTCGGAAGTGCTCGTCGAAGAGCCACCTCCCGTCGAGGATCAAGCCCAGATGAATTATCTGGGCCTGATCCTCGACGGGAACCGGTACGAGGACCGAGTTGACGACGATTGAGGCGCCAGGGGGAGGACCACGATGAGGCCCATGAAATAAGAGGGCCTCGGACTTGTGCGGGACTACCTGTAAGCCCAGCGCCTCACCACGAGACCACTAGAGAGACTCCCCTCACTGCCCGGCGTGTGCGGCGGATAATAAGCCCGCCCATCACCAGATAGGGAAGGGAGGCTGCAAACTGGTTGGGTGACCGGGACGGCACCGTGGCAGTCGTTGGCTCTACGGCTGCTCATTCCCCGCCCTTGTCGTTAAGAGACAAGGGCCCTGGATATGTTGCTGCTGAGTGGGGGGGGGATCACCATATTCGGCGTTTATTCGGACTTCGAGGTTTTCCTGAACAACTTGGAGACCTCGATGCGGCGACTAGCGTCTGGGCATGTCCTTGTGCTGGGTGTCGGTCTCGCCGCCAGAAGCTGCCTCTTGGTTGCCACCGCCTTGGAAAAGACGGAGCCTGAAGACCGAGCCTCCCGACAACACGACAGACCGGAACGGAGACGTTCCGATAATCTTCTGCTCGCAGAAGTCTGATTCACTTCTGGGAGCTCTATCGCGATAGGCGTCTCCGTTGAAAAAGAGGAGTCGAACGATGAGGAATTGTTCTACTCAGTAGTCTTCTCCTTATTGTTCCTCTCCTTCTCCTCTTCCATCCTACTCTTTTTTTGACGTGACAACGTCTTATAAATTGGTTTGCCGGGTGACACTTCAAGAAACTGCGTTACGCTCCGCTCACGTTATGCGCTCACAATGAGAGCGAGTGAGAGGCACGCGTCCCTTCCACTCGGGCATGGTTAGCCCGCCTAAGAGCGAGAGAGACAGACATAAAAAGTGAAAGGCACGCGTCCCTTCCACTCGAGCACAGTTAGCCCGCCAAAATTATTTTACCACTCAAAGTCGTTGTCACGTAAAACTTTCGCCCGTATACCGACTTTACAGGCAACCAATTTTTTTTTTGTTAGGACTAATACCACCCATACGCCCCACCACTGTAACTCCTGTATACCAGGATCCACAGCAGTGACCCACGAACACACCGAGTTATGACACTCGGGAAGTCCCAGGAAGAAATTAAACTGTCTTGGAACCCGCATCGAAATTAATCAGTATATACTAAGTTAACTATATTAATACAAACGTATAGTAATTTAATAACATTTTATTTGACTTAAAATAATATAGACCTTGAAATTTTTAAAACTTGGCGGGTGCTCTTTGAGCCCGTATTATTGCTACTTTGTCATATTATAAAAACCGCTGTCGCGCAAAGAATGAACACTATTGTGACGATCAGAAAACAAACATGTATTCTCTATTGGGTATATTTTTGATCGGCAGCATATTAGTGAGAGAGATTAGCTCACAGCTCACACTTGAAGACAGGAATAAAGTCAAGTGGGCATCGTCACCATTTGAGAATGATACTTCAATCCGTACTTTTACTATAAAGTTTGATCAAGAGGTAAGTGTTTTGAATTTAATCGGTAAGGATCTAGTACTTTTTGAATTTGGAACCTTCAGAAATATCAAAGGCTAACTGATATTTCGGAAGGTTGAATAAGTTAAGCAACATTTTTAATTCAACTACTTTCTAATATTTTTACAAAGTCGGTATTTTTATTGCGATAATTGGCCTTCAGGTGTCATGTAACCTTGCAAGATTAGACGCCTCCTCTACTCCATAATTTATTTATTATGCCAGAACTTTTATTACTGATAAAGACAAAAAATCTTTATTCAAAATAATATTGTCATGGCTTGTCATTGAAAAACATATCGACGTCCCCCGCGAATAATCCGGTAATGACCTATTACGGGGTTTTTCATGTTATGCGTTTTTCGGCATCAAGAAGTTAAAATACACCATGTAATTTTTTTTCAGAATTTTTCTATCTTTATTTACGAAGATATGAAAAACTACGCGTATATTCCATAATCGCGTATATCAATAAAATGTATTTTAAACGAATAATTTTGTTTTAGATCTTTACGAAAAAAAATATCAATACGAGTATGATTTGACAGTAAAATTACTTTACGATATTATTCGGGTAAATAGTTTTCTACCTTATTTATGTAACATTTTATTGTTATGACTATTACTGTTTATTCGAATAGTTTAACTAACTAACTAACTCACAAGAAATTTACCCCACCATTATCAACCATTTTATAGGAATTTAAGGTTTTGTGATACTGAATCAGGTCACGATGAGGATTCTGATTAAGATTTTCAACTGTAATAGGACCTTATTATAACTTTCATGATTGTGTAATTATGTGTAATAGTCGTGTCTTCAGTGCAGTGTCTATTTTTTATGATAATAATAACTATCGTGTTTTGTCAAACTAACCAAAGTTGTTTCACTTACTAGAATGTCCTTTATTTTATAAAATATACTATAATAATCATCAAATAATACTTAAGTAAACTATTCGAATAAACAGTAATAGTCATAACAATAAAATGTACGTTACTGTTGAACAACCGAATAACCTAATAATTACTTTTTACAAATGTTCAGTATACAAAACAAATTACACGAATAATATCGCAACACGATATTACCGTTGCCGTCGAAAATATAAATTTACACGAACAATATCGTAAGTGACATTACTGACCAGAGCTTGACCTACACTAATATAGTAAAATGCATCCAGCTAAATTATAACGAAGCCCTTTAATTTTGTTGAAATAACCAGATAGCTGAAAAAATTAGCTTCCATATGCGATATAAAAAGTCTCTGATACTTGTTGTTTAATAGAGTTATTAAGGAAAAATGTTTTTTTTATTTATCCTGAACATTTACACTTTTACGATTACCGGATTGTTAGCGGGGGGCGTCGAAATAGAAAAAAATAGTAGTTTGTGTAGCTGTACATAAATCGAAGCCATCCATTATTGACATTCGCTGTACTAACAAGCAATTCTTTTTTACAAATAAAACATGTTTTTAAACTTGACATACATACAGGTAGTTGCTGATCTGAGACGTCGCCTAAGTCAGAAACGTAGACCGTTCGTCAGACTCGAAGGCATCAATTGGGAATATGGTCTCAATCCTGACATTCTGGACTACTGGATCGATTACTGGAATAATAAATACAATTTCACACAACAAGAGGCCTATTTAAATACGTACACTCACTATTTGACCAACATTCAGGGGCTCGATATACATTTCCTTCATGTTAAGCCACAGGTAAGCAAAGAATACTGGACATCTTTCGGCTGAGATGATGGAACAGAGAATGACTGCACGTATGGCGTAGTGGTTTAAGCGGTCGCTTTTAATAGTCGATTTTAATTACAACGCCATCTATGAAAGCGGCTATTACCTACATATTTTTCAGTTGGTTTCTAATTAAAACCATTTATACATTGGTAAAATCTCCTTGAGAAATGATGTCGAATACAATATTTAATTTTACTGAGGTGAAAAGTAATGATTTCCTATCTATTCGATAGATGGCGCTGAATGACTGACAAGTGACAATTCAAAATAAAAAGTGTCGTTACAACTTTTCGTGAGATTTTTTTCCGTCTAGCCCCCTTTCACAACACGCGATAAGGAACTTCGTTCCAATATTTATAATATTACTACCACAACTGTTGTGTAAAATACTTCTTAGGTTATGCGTCGACCTTGATCATGGTCACGGATATTCTAGTAAGGGACATACTGATCCTATAGACACATTTGTTAAAACAACATCCAAATTTCTACCTTTTACTTATATTAAGGAATTTACTTATATTTTTGAATGTTTTAAGATAATGGATCACACTTCGGTGTAGGCGAAGTGATTACTACTGTAATTTTCATAGCTTTTCGTGTATACTATAATTGTATATTTAAAAAGAATTTCTATTTTAAGGTAACTGATTATTGCAAATTGGTTCCAATGTTGCTGCTTCATGGTTTCCCTGGATCTGTTCGAGAATTCTATAGAGCATTGCCATTGCTCACGGCTGGCTGTCATAATGGAATCGCACTTGAAGTTATTGCCCCTAGTTTACCAGGTTTCGGATATTCTGACGTAAGTAAACAATGGAAAAACGAAAACAATGAAAACGGTGTCGCGTCATTTTGCAACGTAGTATTCTAGATAGATATAATTTGTTTTGGACTCTATCGCAAACGGGTCATGCTAAGTTTCAATCAATTTTGTCACCTTAGTAATACTGCCAAAAAAGTAACTCAGTACAACATATATTTTGAAAAACATAAGTCGGTAAAATCCAATTTTGAATGTAAGTTTCAGTTTTCTACTTTCTGAAATTTTCTTAAGCGATCCATGATTTACAACCAAATTAAAATATATTTAAACGTCAATTTAAAAACAGGCTACCTACAATAACAACTCATGACTGCAAATATCTTCATGAAAAAGCAAAATTAAACGTATTGAAAAAAACCCACGACGGTAGGTAGTTGAAAATGTTATTTATTATTACTACATCTAAGTAAGTATATCTTCAAGAAACAAATGGCCAATTTTTAGTATTGACTTGTAAACCACATATAACTGCAAAGTTTCTAACTGACAGGACGATCTAATTCGAAACGAGCAAAAACTGATTTTTACGAAGGAAAAAGGTTTACTGCAGCACCCCCTAATAAGTACCATCGTAGCACCTATCTAAGTACCATCACTAATCAAACACGAACCCATTACTGAAAACCGCATCGAAATCAGAAAGTTCTTTTGGAGATAAATGCAACATTTCTTTGCACAAACAAATGTGTATTACAGCGCCCCCAAGTGAGTTACAACCGTATCACCCATCTAAGGACCAGCACCAATCAACCACGAACCCATTACTGAAATCTGCATTAAAATCGGACTATTAGTTTTGGAGATAAATAGCAACATTGGTTTGCTCAAACATACAAACAGACATGAAAACATCTCTCACCTTAAACCTTTCTTCTTGCCGTTGTGAGTAAAAATAGAGTTCACTATTACAATAAAGGAAAAACCAAACGTTATGGAGGAAACACTCTAAAAATTTATAAATTACAATTTCTTTCATCTTACCTTAATTTTGTAATTTGTTGTTTTTTTCTTACAGCCAGCAACCATTCCCGGGCTTGGTGGAACCGAAATAGGAACAATCATGGTAAACTTGATGAAGAGACTTGGTTTCAATCAGTTCTATGTACAAGGTGGAGATTGGGGATCTATCATCTGTTCTATGATGGCCACTTTATATCCAAACGTAAGATTAAAAAAACTCGTTCCTATTTAAAGGCCGGCATCGCGTTTGTGACTCCTGAGTTGCAGACTTCATGGGCGGCGATGGTCACTTTCCATCAGGTGACCAGGTGTCTGCTCGTCTGCCCCCTCTAACGTAACAAATAAAAAAAAAATTATAAAGAAAATGAAATATTAAGAAACAAGATATATTCTCGTAGGTTCCTATATGCGTTTGACTGGCCTTCTTGTGAGGTGGTCAGTAACCCTGATTGCTAAGCTTTGGTCTTGGGTTTGATTCCCACCCAGGATAAACAATTGTGTAATGAGCAGGATCACTCGTTCTGTGTCTGGGAGTTATTTATCTATAATATTTATTTAGAAATATATAAGTATGTTTATCAGAAGCCATGTTACCATAGCACAGCTATGGGTAGTTTGGAATCAGACTGCAGTGTGTGGAATGTGTAAAGTTAAAAAATACTTCAATTTTTTTTTACTAAATATTGAGTTCCATTCTTGGATTGTTTATCTTTGTTCACAGGTTGTTAATATCCGAATAGAATCTGAAATGACCCGAACGATGATAGGCTGGTCCTTTGTTACATACTCATAGCTCTACTTGGTATTCTTGACGTGCTTAGGAAAAATAAACTTAAAAAATATGAAAAAAAGCAAAAATTGAAATTGCAGTTCGAATAAAAATGTAATGCCACTTTATTTCTTGGTCTATGAATATGTAGAGTGAAAGAGAGTGAGAGTCTTTAGAGCTCGTCATTAGCAGGTTACAAATCCAAATCATAATTCAAATCGGTTTTAATATCTTTCAGGTTGTATTGGGCTATCACACAAACTTGCCACTCTCATTTTCTGAACTTTCGTTTGCTGCTTGGTGGGCTGGATCTGTAAATCCTTCCAATGTCGTGGAATCATCGCTCCAATCAAGAATGTACCCGTTTGTGGCCCAAATGAAAGGACACCTTTCATCGAATGATTACCTGCATATGCAGTCCACCAAACCTGATACATTAGGTATGGCTTTTATTTTAATCACCTTATTATCATCACCTACGAGTCTATCAATAGCATAAGAAGAATCATTTATACTCTTAACAAGTACATAAAGTTACATCAAATTGCTCAAAATCTAATCTGCTCCATTTATACACCTGCCACACACAGCTCTTCACCATTCAAAGGTTGACTGGAAGAAAATGCCTACGGCATTAACTCCGCCTTATGTTTTAATGAATTTGAAGAAAGTATAAAATAAATAAATAAAGAAAATGGATATATTATGTCTTAGAGATTGTTTAATTAAAACATGTTAAGATTTAGCTTGTGTTATGGGTATCAGAGCTCTCTTTCAATGCTCGGATGCTCGGTTCGACAGGAGTGATGCAACGGCATTACAGAAAACGGTGTTAAGCAGTTCTTTCATTGTTTTTCACTCTTGACTCCTGGGATGTTTTGTGTCTATGGGCGGCGGTAGTCACTTACCATTAGATGAATCTTTCTCTTTTCTCTTTCTCTTTTATAAAAAGAAAACATTAGGAATATATCCTTTGTCGCTGGGGACTTTACAAATCTACATGAAACGGACACAAAGAACACCCAGATTCAGAACAACAATTTGTGGATCAGTCAAAATGTCGTCCCATGTGGGGTGACCCACAACTATCAACGTAGTAGTAAGCGGCGTGGCGACCGCTTAAACCACTACGCCATCCGTGCAGTCGTGCAGTGCAGTGCAGAATCATCTCCTCGTTTGGCCCATATACTTACTGTATAAAAATATTGACGAGTATATACGTAGACTGTGTATTTGTCTTTCAGGAATAGCAATGACCGACTCACCAATTTCACTGCTGACATACTACCTCATGTTGCATGCAAGAGGTGACATCAGCCAGTTCACTAATGAAGAGTTGCTTGACAATCTGATGTTCTACTGGATCAAGAACAGATTCACCACAGCCGCTAGACTTTACGCTGAGAGTTTCAATGTTAGAAACTTACGAGAAGCATTATATGCGTGAGTATTAGCTGATTTTGTAGTATTTGTAACATTTTCAAGTATATCATATTCATTGAATCCTTCGGATGCTTCGAATATCTGGCGGATGGTAGGTGGCTTCGAATGTCTAAGAATTGTGACCGCTACAAATACATACCTATATTTCTAATGACATGCTTTGGCCTATACTTGTCCAATAAAAGGCAGGGCCAAGGTTTAATTTATGTTTTCTTTCAGTAAAACTACTGATGTTCCTGTAAGAACTGTGCACGCCCAGAATGAAGTAATTTACCAATCAGAAGCGATCCTTCGATTGAAATACACAAACATCCAAAATGCAACAGCTCTTACACAGTATGGTCATTTCTTGGCGATGGAAGCACCTCAAGCATTCTCACAACTTGTGCTCGATGCCATAGCTGGATTTGAAGCTGTAGCTAGAGGCACGTGCAACAAAGCGTAGTTTTATTAATTTGAAAGTACCACATTTAAAAAAAATGTTTTTTGACAGGTGTGATAGGTCAGTAAGTTATTAAAAATAAAAGTTGTTTAAATTATTTGTTAGTTTTTAAATTTTTGGATTCAAAACTTTGTTTAGAGTCTACTTCCTATTTGGTCCCATTCACATTTGAAAACAAAATCCATCTCTAACTGTGAAAAGTGTGTGTTAAGGAATAGAGAATATAATTTACGATGATTCATCAAGATGTAGGCTTTGAAGTTGTTTATACTGTTAAAAGTTAATTGTTATAACAATACATATCATCAACAGCCTTCAATAGTCACTTGAGCCTCTCCTAAGAAACGAGCTTTTGGCCTACCACACCACGCAGGCCGGTCGACTTGGTATAGGGTTTGTTTCAAGTTTTCCTTCTCTGGCAGTGCTGTTGTCTTGCGTAGTTTGCTCCGCAGGACAACAGCACTTACAATAGCCACGGGATGAATAGAGGTGGTGACACTGTGTTTTCTTAATTCTTCACCACATGGATAAACAATACATAATTTTTTACCTTTTGTGCGACTGAACACTGACTGAATCCCAAGATTCAGGCTTCCGGCCTAGTTTGGGAGTCAGTATCAGAAAAAAAAAGTAATAGATAACCAAAGTCTGTACGTAACTATAATACTAATAAGTAAGTAACTTATGTGTCAATAAACAATTATTTAATTTATAATACTTACTTACTTACATACGAAATTTACAGAAATAAATTATGTTTGAGTACCTATAACTTAAGAAGTGTGATAGTTAAGTAATTTCCAATAATAAATGAAAAACATAAGTATCAATAAAAAAAATCAAAAAAAAATCGGTCAGGTACGGCTTTTCATCGAGTCGAGTCGAGTCGAACTCGTGCGCCGAGGGTTCCGTACCTACCCAGATTTTACGTAGATTTTCGAGAAAATTTGTAAGTACCAAAATTTATCTTAATTTTCAACTTTTTTTTATTTTTTGGAATTATTCCTTTATTTGTGCTGTAAGACGTTACGTTTGCCAAATTTCGTGATTCTAGGTCAACGGGAACTACCAAATAGGTTTTCGATCCAAAACCTATACTATACCTAACTTCTGGTTGACCTAGAATTGTCAATTTTGGTTAAAAGCAAGGTCTTACAGCATTAGTAAAGAGAAAATTCTGAAAAATAAAAAAGTTGAAAATTAAGGTAAATTTTGGTACTTCCAAGTTTTCGCGAATATCGAAATTTGCCAATATCTTTTTATCGTGTTGACTCAAGACCTTGATTTTTATACACCTAATAGGGACCATAGACCTCAGTATCTGGTATAAAATTTCAATTTGCTAGGTCTACCGGTTCCTGAGAAAATGGGTGGTGACACAAAGACAGACGGACAGACGGACAAGAAAGTGATCTTATAAGGGTTTCTTTTTTACCTTTTGAGGTACGGAACCCTAAAAATAGCAAATCCTTTAATTACAACGGCCTGTCAGATTAGAAAGAGATTTCATTTTTTATTTAAGTATAGTCAAGGTGATCTCGTGAATGGTTAATTAAAAGCAGACAAAATATTATTAAATAACTTTATTAATTAATCTTAATTTTAATATAATTTAACAATAGTTTAAAGTGTTCAACAACAAATAAGTTAAAACTTAGGTAAAAGGTAGCCTTCAAGAAATACTTCTAATTGTTGTTTAACTGATTTTTGTTTCTTAAAATATCTTGCCATTATTGTTTCCTTTCTCTTGCGATAGAATACTCTTGCGATAGTGTTGCTTTGCCTGAAATAATGAAATATTTTTAGTTAAATTATAATATCCTGAAACATTTGACATCCTGGAACACTATACCAAGCGCGAAGATATTCAATCCAAGATGACCCTAAGACACAAAAGTAGATTTAACCTTCCTACTTCACGATTAGGAATTCACTCCTCTGGTCCAATGGCCATGTCAATAAAAGTATATAATGAGCTACAAAACGAAATCAAAAATTAAAATAAGTTCAATATTTTGTTAGCAAATTAAAAAAACTTCTAATAAGCAAATGTTACTACAGTGTCAAGGACTACCTAGAAGATAAATTATAAACTTTAAATAACTAAAAATACACACATAATAATTACTAATTATTACAAACACATCATCATCATCATCATCAACAGCCTATAACAGTCCACTGCTGGACTTAGGCCTCTCCTTATAAAGGGTATTTTGGCCAGTAGGACAAAATATCCTTATGTATATGTATAGGTATAGTATATACCACGCTGGCCAGACGGGTTGATATAGGATTTGTTTCAAGTTTTCCTTTTCTTTGCAGTGCTATTGTCCTGCGTAGTTTGTTCCCTTAGTCGCCTCTTACATGAGTGGTGACATTCCGTATTATTTTTATTATTTACAAAAACATCATCATCAACAGCCTTTACTAGTCCACTGCTGGACATAGGCCTCTCCTTAGGAAGGAGGTTTTGGCCTACTATAAAACATATAGACATAAAATTACTTATATGGCTTTAAAACATTTTTTTAATAAAAATTTACCTAATTACGGTTGTCCGTGTGGTGACGGATTAAGAATATAGAGTGTCATCTGCTGGCATTTGGTAAAGCATTTACACTTAAAATTTAAAAACCAAAAATGTTTTTTTTAATCAACTCATTTCACGCATAGCCGCGAAACGCTGTCTGATTCATCAATCACCCTTGACGTTTAGACAAAGACTTGTGTCAGGTCAATTGATAAAACTGATTTACGATTTTGATATTGTATGCCAGCGGCCCATTAGCTCAGTTGGTTAGAGCGTCGTGCTAATAACGCGAAGGTCGCGGGTTCGATCCCCTCATGGGCCAGTTTGTTCTTTTTGTGAGTAATTTATCCCATTATTATTATTTCCTATTATAATTTCCCCTTCGTCTTCATAAATGTTAGATCTATACAATTTAGGCTAAGCCATATCATTTTTTTTCCATGTTGAGGGAATCTGTCTGCTATAGGAAAACCTGATTAAAATCTCTAGTCTTCTTCTCTTGTTAGATTATTAATGCCATTGATTTATAAAACCTTATTCAAATTTGATTAAGAATCATCTAGATTCTCTATATTTTTGATCCAGGTAAAGTAAAACAGTAAATTAACAATTTGTACCTTGTAACTGTAGCCTGATTGGATTATTCAGGAGGAGAATTAATCCACATAATTGATGGTATTACTCCCGAGAACCTGTAAGGATATTTCTGATACGCTGGTCACCTCTCCTCTAAATACCCCAGGTTGGCTTGGTGGAAGTTTAACTGCCTAGAAATGTAAACATTATGTATTATTAACTTAAGTTTGTACTTCAGTAGTGTCAAGTCAGGTCAGTATTTAACTCCTAAGCTTTTTTGTCCACGTAAAAGTTCTTTTTGTATCCTCCGAGACTGGACTTATTTTTAGATTTTTGACTGGATTTTACTTTTACTTGGTTTTTGTCTTAGGAAAAATTCGCCGCCAGAATCATCTACAGATCTCTGGACGTCAGAACTCTAGCACCGCATTTTTATTCAAATCAAATTGTATTCCTCGGCATCCTTTCGCACTTTCGTACCTTTTCTGGCTATCACTAGTAGAGTTTGAGCGAGAGGAAAGATATCATCATCATCAACAGCCTTAAATAGTCCACTCCTTGACATATATATTTCCTTAGAAAGAAGGTTTTGGTCTACTATACCACGCTAGCCAGACGGGTTGGTATAGGATTTCTGTCAAGTTTCCTTCTCTTTGCAGTGCTGTTGTCCTGCGTACTTTGTTTCCTAAGTCGGCTTTTACGACACCCACTAGATAAATAAAGATGATGAAACTTTGTATTCTATATCTATATTTTAAATGTGGTAACGGATTAAAGATATTAAACAAAAAAAAAAATACTAACCAATACGTGGCCTAGGTTCAAAATACGTTCAGTTTCCACATTTCTCCCTTGTGAATCAAGGATTTGGATTATTGGTTCACGAGCTCTGATTGTTATGTATACCGTAACATTTTTGTCGTAGACCGTAAACTGAAATAAGAACATTTTAATTGATCAAAATCTATATATATTTTTAACTTTTTGAGATTTTTAAGTGTACACAACTAAATACATATATATATATAGTTATGTACTCTTCAAAAGCTCAAAAAGATTTGCACCGATTGAGCTTAAATTTTTAGACCATATAATATTCTACCGCATTCACACAACGCCATCTAGTCCCAAACTAAGCAGAGTTGTACTATGGGTACTAGACAACTGATATAACTACATTTATACTTTTTTTTTGTAAATACGTACATATTATACATAGAAACACCCAGACTAAATCAATCATTAAATGTTCATGCACACAAATGTTTGACTTGAGTGGGAATCGAACCCGCGACCTCTGTATAGCAGTCCGTTACACAAACCACTACGTCATCCGGTCGCCAATATACGAGCTCGAACTGCAGGCTTCAGCCAGTTATATAAATAGATGAAAATCCTGAATCACGCAACAATAATTTTTAGTCTGTTTAGCATTATATGTCCAGAATAAATGGTTCTTCTCGAAGTCAAGACCCCCTTTTTTAAAGTGAGGAATATTTACCACAGATACATAACATCTAAATAGTAAAGACATACATGGTTTTATTTTTAATTAGTCTCTTAAACGTAATCAGTACAATTCCAAACAATTTTATCTTTAATGCAATAGTTACTGCAACAATACTGAATGTAAAAATATGTTCTTTATTACTGCCAGATCATGTAAGATAAATTCCCAATTTTTTTTTTTTTTTTTTATACTTTGAAAAAGACAACTCCCGCATTAGGAATAAATCCTGTGTCGCGGGGGACTTTACAAACATACATGAAACGGACACAAAGAACACCCAGACTCAGAACAACAATTTGTGGATCACACAAAGTGTCGTCCCATGTGGGGTTTGAACCCACAACACTCGGCGTAGTAGGAAGCGGCGTGGCGACCGCTTAAACCACTACGCCATCCGTGCAGTCAATTAGGGGCAACTTAGGTACAACTAGGGATAACCGTGGGAGAGCCATGCCAATAGCCCGGCTGGATCTGAGTGACCACGACCTGACTACTGATCTTCAGCAATTTATTCGTTTCTTTTCTCTGATTCAGTGATTGGGGTACTCAAAGGTCAGCGACGCACCCCTGTCTATTGAGTTGCACTTGTCCATGGGCAACGGTACTCGCTTACCAACAGGTTACAAGTCTGTTCGCTAGCCAAGTGAAAACTTCTTTAAGCGCGTTGGACATTTTGTAACAACAAACAAAAGAATGTATTTTTTGAGATGGGAAAAAAACCACCGAACTCGCGACACTGTTACCGTTACCAACACCTCTGCATATAAGTATCTACATAAATTGGCCCCGCTTACACGAGAGTTGAGTTTGAGTTGAAATTAATTGATGATATATTTACATAACATAAACATACTGTTTATATACATACAACATAGATATATATTTATGTCGGAACTTTTCGGAAAAAACATAAATTTTCTGTTATAAACAAAAAAAATATTTAAAGTTTTCACTCCTGTTAGCCCTCCCGGAGCGCCACTGTTTTTTTTTATATATTTTCGGTCATTGACACGCAACGCCATCTAGTTTCAAACTAAGCAGAGCTTGTAATCTGAAAGTTAGATTGACCGATACAATACTGATTAACTTTTTTGTAAATACATACATATTATACATAGAAAACACCCTAACTCCAAAACAAATATTTGCAGATTATACAAACATTTGGTCCACCACCACCGAGGCAGTCAAATTGTAATAGATATCACCAAGTATTTTACTTACATAAAACTTTTTGCTGTGTACTTGAGGATGCCTTTCAGGAACCAATACATGTCTTCTGCTTCTGATGTTTTGAATCACGTATGGCATAATCTGAAACATATATTATATAGTTTTCAATTCGCCTGTTTCACGGCTTAGTAAGAAATACAATCGCACAGTAACATTAAAAGTAAAAAACTTTTACTAAAAATAAAAAAAAAAGTAAAAAACTTTTACTAAAAATCAAACAAAAAAGTAGCTAAAAATAAATAAAAGTTAGGACTAACTTTTAGTGATCTTTAGTTTAGTTCTAAACTAAACTAAAAATCACTAAAAGTTAGTCCTGACAAGTACGACGTTTTCAAAATAAGAAACGCTGTTTGACAGGACTAAAAATTTTTTTTGTGATTATTAGTTCAAAGGGTTTCGCCTGTTTAACGGCTTAGTAAGAAATACAATCGCACAGTAACATTGAAAGTATAAAACCTTTTTTAAAAGCAAGCTTTCATTTGTGTGTTCCGCCATGTTGGATTTAGAATAACGTCATACAGCTAACCATGTAATGTCATCCAAACTAAACGTGTACACAAAATTTCAGCTCAATCTGTTGAAGATAGATTGATAAAATTGAATTGCAAGATTCCACCCGAACAAACAGCATTGCAAGTTGGATGAAAGCTTGTAACATACTTTGGCATTATATTTTTGGCACAACATTTTAACGTTTAAAAGCCGAGTCCATAATGTTACTGTCGATTAGCCACGTACTAATTGCTGTCCTATTTAGAGATAGGTACTAATTTATAGGTTTTGCAACAATTGTTTCCTCGCTGACTATTCAAAGGTGTTTAACTATATATGTTGTGCTCTTAGAAATAAGGTTAAAACTATGTTCTATTTTTTACGAATGTTTTAGTGTAATAATTGCTGGTAAACCAATAAACAAATAAATACATATTTCTTTGGAATTGGTGCTAATTCTGTTGTTTGAAAACCCTCTAAACTAAACTAAAAATTCACACACACACTTTTTTTTTCTTTTTTAAAAGGTTTATGTTAGTACTTAAAAACGAAACTTACATCTTTTATGTTTCCCTTGTGCTCTCTGAAAACTCTTCCGTGTGTCGCGGTGGCTAGTTTGTAGTATACTTGATAATCATCATCGTAAACGCTTCTACATTCACCGGTTAAAACGAAATATATCTGAAATAGAAGACAAACAGAATGAGATAACTTTTTTATGAAAGAGGGAGTAAGTGGATAGAGTAAGGGAGTGCGCAGACGGGTCAACTCATTTAAAGTGACCGCCACTCATGAACGCCTGCAACTTAGCAGTCACAAGCGCGTTCCCGGTCTTTGAGGTTGTATCGGAAATACCGCAGACGACAACTTTTTCCTCAGATTGGTTGTGCGAGATAAAAAGCGTAAGATATAAGTGTAAGATAATAGTATCTAATATAATATTTAGGTAGATTAATATCTAAGCTTAATAATGTTACGTGTTAGGGTTCGTTGATTCGAAACAATAAGCCTTCTGACAACTATAGAGACTTTAATATTAATACACTTTAAGGCATTCACACAATACTCAATATTAGTCCTGAATGATCGCCGAGGTCGCTAGGTCACTCTTCTATTTACTTCGCTTTGATTTTTATCGCTCTGTAGATCGACCTGAACTGACTCCAAGGAAGATGTGTCCGTATTTATAATAATCGTAAAGGATCATTCCAGCAATTTCCAATCCCTACGAGAACCGTCCGCTGCCGAGAAGTACAAATTCGTTTCAAATGTAAACAAGATCATAGCGCGACAATCTATTTCCGTGTCAACCTGCATTATTAATAAACGATTTTCGGAATTACGCGGTTAACCGAACTTTCGCGAAGTTTCGAGACAATAATAATAACCTGACACATCTAAGACTCGGCCGTCTGATCCCAAACTAGACAGAGCCTATACTTTAGTAACCAGACTCCTGATGTGCATACTTGTATATTTTTAAATACAAGCATTATATAGATAAATTACACCCAACACAGAAAAAATGATCACACAATTATTTGTCCTGGTTGGCAATCGAATCCATGACCTCTCTCTCTTTTAAAAGGTATTCAACAAAAATATCACAACACAATATCACCTATTGTAAAAAAAGCAATTATGAACTTTTTCTGACTCTTTGGTATAACCATGTTGATATTATAAAATGCTGAGATCCGGGTGTCGTATCAGATGATACGACACCCAGATCTAACTAATTAGATAATTAGTTAACATCTCAAAATACCTATGGTTATTTGAAGAAAATAACAGATTAAATTTTTTTTTGGTATAAGACAACTCCCGCACTCGGAATATATCCTGTGACGTGGGGACTTTACAAGCATACATCAAACTCAAAACAACAATTTGTGGATCACACAAAGTGTTGTCATGTGGGGATTAAACCACAGCACTCAGCGTAGTAGGAAGCGGAGTGATAACCGCCTTAACCACTACACCATTCGCGCATTCAAACTAATAACTTGTTTTGGAGTAAATTACATGTTATTATAAATTAAAAAATATATTACATAAGAGATAAATAGAGATATGAAAGAGATGAATTGGAAGAAAAATACCAATTCTCGTAACATTGTGTTTGATCCCACTTCTAATGTTATCAAATTTAGCAGTACTTTATTGATAAAAAGAAATGTTTGTTAAAACACTAGCGTATTAAGTCACTGTGTTTGTCCATTCTGATGTTTATCTCATTCATTAAACAAGAATTCAAACGTTTATTATGCTTCTTATGCCTAATTAATTTAATTTTGACCGTACGGATGGCGTAATGATTTAAGCGGTCACCTCGCCTACTGCGCTGAGTGTTGTGGGTTCGATCCTCTTATGGGACAACACTGTGATCCACAAATTGTCGTTCTGAGTCTGGGTGCCCTTGTGTCCGTGTCAGGTATGTTTGTAAAGTCCCCCGCGACACAGGATATATTCCTAATGCGGGAATACTTTTTAAAAAGAAAAAAATTCATGCAATCAATAACACCTTAAAAAATTCTTTCTCCTTGAGTTTTAATTGAAAATTAAATTACCAGGTTTAAAGCAATAGTCTAAACATTTATTAAAGTCCGATAATATTGCCGTGGGACTTAGGAGAGTCATGCTTCGGAATAAAAGGGCTGACGTGACCATGGTTTTTTTCCGTTGGTTTTTACTGAGTGAGTGAGTTTATCGGTAAACTTACTGGCTCCCACCCTCCTCACTCACTCTCCTCCTAACTCTAGTTAGCGAGGGACACCTTAAAATGTGACAACGCACTTGCGTATCTTGAGTTGCAGATGTTTCCCCTGGTACCATTAAAACAAAAGATACATCATCATCATCATCAACGGCATCAATAGTCCACTGCTGAACATATTCCTCTCCTTAGAAAGGCGGTTTAGGGCCTTGGTTTTTACTATACCACGCTGGCCAAACGGGTTGGTATAGGGTTTGTGTCAAGTTTTCCTTCTTTTTGCAGTGTTGTTGTCCTTAGTCGTTTAATTCCTTAGTCGGCTTACGACACCCACGAGATAAATAGGGGTAGTGACATTCCGTACTTAACACACGGATAAAAAAAGTATATCATTAAAAAAAATACTTTCAGAAGCTGTTATTTTAATGCTAAATCTCATTATAATCTGCTCGTTTGAATTTAATAGTTTGTCATTTAAAAATATTTTAGATATTCATTTTCATTACGTAATTAATTTTATATTAGATATAAGCTTCGATGTTATAGTGCATGCTGTCTCCTGTTACACGAGTACACTATTCAAACTATGTTACAAACTATGTGTACTTAAGTGTATTTAATGAACCAATAAATGAATTAAATGTGTTTTTTGCTTACCCGAACACTTTTCTTCACTGCAAGCCTTTTGATTTCCTCAAACATCGTATAATCAGCCGCCGAGGCGTCAGTAAAAACGAATACTAATGAATAAGGCAGACTGTTCTGAAGAGCTAATTTAAGGCCTGTTAGCGAATATTCCGGGCAGTACGCGCCACCCTTGACGTCAATGCTGGCCAAAGCAATTTTCAGTTCGCTTAAATTATTGGTGACGGTTCTTAGTTCAGCATCTGTGAATTAGTTATGATTATCTAAATCCACTGAAATGTTAGGTTGGTTTGTGTACGCTTTAAGAACTCAATTTTTTTTGCATCGATTAAGCTGAAATTTTGACACGATATTCAACCCGCTTAAATTGCTGTTTTTAACTGTATTGTTCCTTGTTTCTCATAAATGCAATCACAATGTGCCAAAGCTAAACATGGCAGGGTATAGATTCCAAAACAAAGAATTAATAACTCTACTTTTGAATAGATATCATCGATTTTAGCGCCGAAAAATTACATTATCATCACCAATCATTCATCATCAACAGTCTTTAATAGTCCACTGATGAACATAGGCCTCTCCTTAGAAGGTAGGTTTTGGCTTACTATACCACGCTGCCCAGACGGGTTCGTATAGGATACGTTTCGAGTTTTCCTTCTCTATTATAATTCATGCCTTTAATTTTTACCTTTAATTAACTTTTATTTCAAATTTAAATAGTACCAATCGGGAAGTAGAGAGACGCTTTCCAATTAAAAAAATAATAATTTTCCAAATCGGTACATAAATTATAGAGTTCTGAGGTAAGAAACAAAAAAAAAACATAAACAGCTAAATTGAAAGCCTCTTATTTTTTTTTGAAGTCGCTTAGGAAAAGTACGATTCGCTGGTTTACAAGTAAAAACTAATGTGGTTTGTTCTTACCTGGATCATTGAATGTCACCAAAACAATATTTTCAATCTGCGAATCCTCGGTTCTCATCGCCGTATCAAAAACCTCATCAATTTTTTCTTTCACTTCATTTATTTCATCAAACATTGAACCAGTGTTATCAATCACAAATGCCAAACTACTTTTTGCATCTTGACTATAAATCGAACATGTTTGTGTAACTAATATTAAATATGTTAAACACAATTTTAATGAAGCCATTTTACTCGTGAGTGCTATCGACATGTGGTATAATTTTAACTGTGGCTTTGTCACACCAAATAGTCTATTTATAATGTGTAAGGCAAAGCTTCTCGTAAATAACGTGGTAAGTAAAAAAGTGAAATTTATGTTCTTTAAAATGAAATTCCATAAATGGTGCTAGTTTTAAACCCAGACTTTCGTAAGTAAGACGTGTCGTAAGAGCCGACTAAGGGAGATAAGCTACAATAGCACTGCCAAGAAAAGGAAAATTTGAAACCAAACCAAATCTAGCCAGGGTGGTATAGTAGGCCAAAACCTCCTTTCAAAGGAGAGGCCTATGTCCAGTAGTGGACTACAAAATGCTGTTTATAATGATGATGATTACAATGAATGATTCTAATTGCCAATTATGGTCACATACTAAAAGGCTTCTTAAACTTTGTAACTTAGGTACAGTGCCAGTGCTCTTACTATTATTTAAATTGTAAATACCAAGTAAGCGAGGCTTTTTGAAAAGCTCCCTCCCCCCTCCTGATGGTACCTGTGTTTCTTAAGTTGCAGGTGTCCGTGGGTCGTGGTGGGTTCCCAATAGTCACTTATTAGGTGGCCCGTCTACTGTTTGCTGACTATACTCTAAAAAAAACTGCAAGGTGATGGCTTCGCTCCCTTTTATCTATTTAATATTTAGACCAATAGATAGGAGACAAACTAGTCAGTCTTTGCGGGAAATTCCTCTTCAATATTTGGTATTTTATAGAATTAGAAAATAAAATAGAGACTCATAAGTACCTGTAAAGCTTTCTTTTAAATGTACACACTACTTCATTGGTTGCTATACGAAAATCATTACGTTACGGGTATTTGGAGTCCTAAAAAGTCCGAAACAGTCTTTCTACAGAACTATCGTCTATCTACCTGGGTTGTGGAAGTTGGACGGCAGTCACTCCACGTAAAAAAAAAGACGGGTTGCACTCCGGGAGTGCCGGCAGAAGTGAAAACTTGAATATTAACGTTGTGCATTTTTGATATTTTGGAATGGTTAGGGAATAATTTTGCACGAATTGCTTTAATTATCAGTATAAAAGTACTATCATTTATGTGGTAGAATACAATATTTATTTATTGCGCTGTCGTACACAAACATGAGAATTTATATTACATTAAAAAGTTTATCTTTCAGAAAAACGAACATTCGCGCAAGCGCCCTGCGCCGCCTAAACGAAACAGTAGGCGCAGGCATACATTTTCGCCGCGCCATAGAAACAGAGGGTAATACTTTCTCTACTACGCCGCGCCTGCTGTCTACGCTCCATCCGTCTTACGAATTTTGGGTCAGGGTCACGTGTCCTGACGCGAGTTTAACATTTTTTACCCATTACAAAAAAAGTGTACAACGCCGCTAAAGAAGTTTTCACTTCAAGAATTGAAGTTCAACCGTGTCGTGGTAGACTGAAAGCCGACCCCAACCTAGTTTGGAAATAGGCTCGGAGGATGATAGTGTCCCAGTGGGTTAAAAAGGTGGGCAAAAGTTTGCAATTTTTTTGCTATGTCAGTATTTAGCAATAACATCAATATTACCGAATAACGTTGGCAAAAGTATGATTATGTGACCTACTGATAAAAAAGTTCAAGGTTTTTTAATATTACGTTTTGTTATGAATATATTCGAGAATTTCCAATTATTTTCCATGTTATTGAAATGGAAACAATATAAATATTTATAACGCTGATTCATGGAAGAGTCATGATGCTCCACATTTGGGCTTCGACCGGAGTACCACAGGCTCACAGAAAGCCGGTGTATAGTCATTCTTTCGTCGCGTTTCATTGAGTAAGTGAATTCCAACTCTCCCCTTGCCTATTTATGGGAGCGGGGATTACAATGCGGTAACGGCCATATTAGCCGCAGATCCGACAACCGTTGGGGTAAACAAGTTCTTGAGTGGAGACAGCGTCTAGGGAAACGTAGTGCAGGTCGCCCACATGCCGGGTGGAATGACGAGCTGCGCAAGATGTCTTTCAGGAGCTGGATGCAAGAAGCCAAAAATCGGTCTAAGAGATCGGTCGGGAGAGAGTCCAGCAGTGGAATGCGATAGGCTGATGATGACGATGGTGATGATGAACGCACTTGTGTCTTTTAAGTTGCAGGTGTCCGTGGGCGGTGGTAATCACTTACCATCATATATCATACCATAAAAAATAACAAACCCTGGTAAAGCGAATTATTAATATATTTAGTCTACATCGTAATTTTGCTCGTATATTTATTATCATTTTAGTTTAAAAAACTTTTTAAGGATTTTGTTTATTATGCCATGCTCTGAATGTAGCCAACGCCTTCAACACATCTTCACTAAATATCTCCGGGTCCTCCAAAGCCAGGAAGTGTCCACCACTAGGCAGCACAGTGGAGTGCAGCAAATTCGGATATTTGACCTTCAGCATGATGGGAGATTGGTAGAAAATTTCGTCCTTGGCATGGATAGTCCATGTTGGGACTGGCGTGGGCTCACTAAAATTATAAAAAAAATATTAAATGTTTCAAAATGATCACATTACTTTTGGAAAATGTAGTTAAAGTAAAAAGAAAGAGAGAAAGAGGAAGCCTTGCCTCGGCACTTTGAACCGCCGTAACCGGAGTTAAACTACGGCCTTATAGAAAACCGGTGTTAAATTATTCTTTCGTTCAGTATGTAAGTATGAAAGTTAAAATGCTGTGTAAGTTACAATATTGTGTAAATAATTACCTCAGAATGCCTAATTTGAACATTCTAACATTCACCGTTTCAGCATAAATTCTGCAAGATGTTGCAAAACTATTTGGTACCCAATACATCATCAGGTTATCCAGGAGTTCATCACGACTGTACAGATCATCCAAACCACCGTCAGTTCGCTGTAAGTATTTCCTCCGGCTGCCACTAGAAAATAACTGTAGTACGTAGGCCAGAAGACCAGCAGGAGAATCTGATACAGCTACTCCTAGAAGTTAAGTTGTCCTATATTAGAAATTAAAGTCATGTTCCCACAATTTTATGATAACAGATGGCAAATTGAGTCCAAATGTCGGAATGAAGATCTTACTCTCGGGCCGTCTCTGCCGCCTCTTTCTGTGAGATGACGTATTCGCAGAAGAAAGCGGCGAAGACAAATATAACATCTATCGCTACCGGCCATAGAGCGTATGACGGCCAGTAGCGAGAGATCCTCTCCGATGTAACCTTCTGAGTCACAGGCTCAACTAGTTCAGACGGTACGGATACTAAAAATAGCCTAAATGATATGGAAACAAATTTAGTTGATACATCTTAGCTTTAGACTTGCATGTAATGTAGTGTAGTACTCCCTAAGTCTCGATTGCACTCGTATTCGTTAAGCTTAACAACAATAAAATAAATTTGAATTTGATGACTGCAATAACGGCAAGAATGTTTGGTTGGCGTATGAAGTATGCCGTTTCCCACGGTAGAAGTGGTTCCATCAGAAGAATGTCTTACATACATATTGATCAAACTACTGCTTAAACTAAAGCCTTTAAACACACACACATTGGTACAGCGTCTGCACTGAGTAATTTATGTTCAATTTTGCCTTTGTAAATATTATTTTTATCAATTAAATTGATCGCATTCTTAGTTAGTTTTTTTCGAGTTAAACTGGTTTTCGTTGGATTTATAAACCCTTTTACCAACAAGAGTTAAGACTTAGCAATTATAAAAAAGAATGTAAAACTCATTATGTAATCGTTTAAAAACTTTATACTGCTGCATAGCCAGCGTGGTATAGTAGACCAAAACCTCCATTGTAAGAAGAGGCATATGTCCAGTAGGGGACTGTTAAGGTCTGTTGAATAATAACAAAGTTCAGCCAGACTTACCAATAGTATCAGGCTTCGAAGCCTGTACGTGAAAATACCCCGACTCTTGCATCACCCAAATTAGGTACTCCAAAATTGGATACGCTCTATCCACAACTACTGGACTCATAACCCATGATGGACTTATAGAACCGAGCACCCATAACGCCGCTGACTTAATGTTCATTGATAAAGCCAAGTTTGTATGGTATCCTAAAGTTTCCTGAAAATGGGAATAAAATATGACAGAAGTTAGTTAGACTCTATTGGTGTGAATACGGAGTGTCACCATTCCTATCCATCCCGTGGGTGTCGTAAGAGACGAGTAAGGGAGCAAAAACTGTTCAGAACAACAGCACTGCACAGAGAAGGAAAACTTGACACAAAACCTGTACCAACACGTCTGGCCAGCGTGGTATAGTAGGCCAAAACCTCCTCCCGCTCCGCCCGCGTGTATGTCGGTTGTCGCGGTAAAAAGTAACAAATGTTACTCGCCGATAATGTAGCTTTCTATTAGTGAAATAATTTTTAAATCGGTTTAGTGGTTTCGGCGTGAAAGCGTAACAAACAAACTTATGGTCACACTTAAAACATAAGTACGGAAATATGGAAATCAATTTAAATTAGAACGAATGTGTGTGCGTGTGTGTGTGTGCATGTGTGTGTGTGTGTGTGTGTGTGTGCGTGTGAGTGCGTGTGTATGAGGGTTATTCTATATTACCTTGGGATATAAATTGGCGATACTGAACCCCACGTAAGCACCATAGTCCCCGCCATGGACGTAAAACTTTTCGAAGCCAAGTCTGTGCATCAAATTTCGCAATACCACTCCCATTTCTGTTGCACCCAATCCTGGACGAATAGCACTCTGTAAAATCATCAGGAACACGTATTATATAACTCCAACACCAAGAGATGATCCTGACCAGGGGAGGTGATCATGCCTGGATGGCCGCGACAAAACGGGACAACCAACAAATAGCTTTCTCAGAGGATGTTTTTTTTGTGAAAGGGGGCCAAACGAGCAGACGGGTAACCTGATGGAAAGTGACTACCGCCGCCCATGAACGCCTGTTACTCAGGAGTCACTAGCGCATCACATAGCCTTGGAGGAAGGAGTACGTTCTTTTCTATGTTTAAGGTCGTATCGGTCAGGAAATACCGCAGATGATAACTTGTTCTACAGATTGGTTGTACGAGGCAAAACTGTCTTGAAAAGTATACATTGGTGGAGTTTTTGGAAAGTGGAACTATGGGGGAAAATGTGGTATCACTCCGGGCGAACCCATGGCTCTACCACTTTTCATATATTTTTATAAATTATATCTCTATTCGTATATTTCAGTGTGGAAACATTTTTTTTTTAATTTTAAGTTACTGTTACCGCTATCCTTTTACCTTTTTATATTCCAGGCCCTTATGTCCAAATGTCTAGATTTTTGAACTCACGGAGTATTGCATCGCCGTAAAACTCGACATCATTAAAAAAAATATCAGATGCAGGGTTGCAATCTGGCGTATCGTCAACATCAAGGTTATGAGTAACATATGAGGGTTTTAAAACTGATTCTAAAAATGACGAGAACAATGAACACACCTCGTCTGGGTTATAGACTGTGTCATTTTAATACGTCATCATGCAAGGTAGATCCATTTTATTTTTTTTATTTTTGACGTTAGATCAAAAACCATTTTATATTCTTTGGAATACTATTTCTACCGTTGCTATATACCCTTTGTAACACTCACGTTTAAATCTTTTCCTTAATAAAGAAAAAAAAGCCGTGTGGTGTCGTGGGACATCCGATAGCAACGAAGTTGTGACGATCGAGTAAAACTGATTCTACACGATTTTAATTACAACGCCATCTATGAAAGCGGCTATTACCTACATATTTTCAGTTGGTTTCTAATTAAAACAATTTATACATTGGTAAAATCTCCTTGAGAAATGATGTCGAATACAATATTTTTTGCTCAACCTAAGAGCATAAATTGTAATTTTACTGAGATGAAAAGTAATGATTTCCTATCTATTCGATAGATGTCGCTGAATGACTGACAAGTGACAATTCAAAATAAAAAGTGTCGTTACAACTTTTCGTGAGAATTTTTTCCGTCTAGCCCCGCGTAGTCTATTTCACAACGCGCGATAAGGAACTTCGTTCCAAAAAACATAGTACGAGTACGATTTATTTCCAAAAAAAAAACCATTGTAGCCAGTAAATATTAAAAAAAAAATCTTTTATGTTAGAGGGGACAGACGAGCAAACGGGTGACCTGATTGAAAGTGACCATCGCCGCCCATGAACGTCTGCAACTCAGGAGTCACAAAAGCGATGTCGGCCTTTTAGGAAGGAGTACGCTCTTTTCTTGCGCTCCTATTAATTATTAGGTAGTAGGTAATTAAGAATATTTAGCTAGGGCGTTTCTATGATTGGTCAAGTGTTATTAAATTCAGATTATGTTACAGTCAAAACTCTTAACCAGTCAAAAATACTACGCCTAGAGCCAGATCCACTCTTTTGTTGGTGGATCATTTGGGTTAGATCAGGTTTTACTTTTGACTTTTGATACTTTTGACACGTTAAAAGTTCTGACTGTAACATATATATCACTTACTTCAGAAAATCCAAAGCCAGGTAAACTTGGAACTATGACCTCGACAGCAAAATCTCTGTCTTTTGAAACAGAAGTCAGTAATGGAATGGATTTGAAGAACTCTACGACTGATCCAGGGAATCCGTGTAGCAATAACAGTGGGACTATCGTCATGTTATGAGGAACCTAAAAAGAAGACAAGAAATCTATAAATACGTAGAAGTTTTTTAAACATGAGGTGTGAAATATCTGTAATTGCAGAAGTCTTCTGAATGAATTATTGTGTCATACATACACTTGGTGTGGTTATATCGTAAATAATTGAAACACTAAAACCACACTTATATTATAAATGTTAAACTTAGTTTGTTTGTTACGCTTTCACGCATAAACAACTAAACCGATTGCCACTAAGGCTACTCTTTACGATAACCGAGCGGGCGAAGCCCCGCGCAAAGTCCAGTAAAATGTAATAGAAAAAAAAAACCGTCTACGGACAGATTATTAATAATAATAATAATAATAATAATAATATTTTTATTGACATAGAAAAGAAGTACAATGCTTACATACATACATATTATCAAAACAGCATCAGTGAAAACTTAAGCAGTCGAGCTCTGGCACCCATTGTAAGATTTAACTTGAGTCATGGGTACCAGTTCTTCTCACAGTTGTAGACTTATGATAAGACGCGTATGCGCGTGCGTGTGTCTCTTTCTGTGTCTTGTTTTGTGTGTGTGTTTGTGTGAGTGTGTGTGTTTATGTGTGTGTGTATGTGTGTGTGTGTGTGTATTTAATTTTATAGCACGGTGAGTCTCATTAACTTCTCGGTTGTATCGTAATCCTGTTCAAGTAACCAGTTCATTACTTTGGCTTTGCATTGTCTTTTCGCAAGGTGATGAATTTGGCAATGCTTGTTTAAGGTGTTGTAAAGATGAACTGCGATAATACGAAAGTGTCTCCTGGCAAGGGCAGTTCTGCATGTGACTGCAGGACAAATTTTATAAGACCTGCGTGTGTGCTGTCTTTTTGGATCGTATTTTAGAGTGCTATGTTTACGTAAAACTGTTTGGAGCACATACATTTTACGGACAGTGAGGACATTGCATTCAGAGTATAACAGAGTGGTGGGATATCTAAAATGTCTACATAACATGACCTTTAAAACGGCTCTTTGAGCCCGTTCGAGCTGCAGTAAAGTCGTCCTGGCGGCACCTCCCCAAACAGATATACAATATGCCACTATGGACTGACAGAGTGAGTAATAGATCATTTTAAGAGTAACCTGTGTAGCTGAGTGTCGGAGTTTTTTGAATACACATATAAGCTTGCGGACACGGGAAGTCAGGGTACTTATGTGCACATGCCAGTTTAAATGGTTGTCAATGAGAACGCCAAGGTATCGGACACTATTGGTTCGATTTACAGTGGGACAGTTACAGGACATTTCCTTGGTGTGTTGACAATTGTGAGCTCTCAGCTTAAAGATTTCGGGGTTAGGCAATGTACTAGAGGTTGGTGTAAAAGTGAGATACATTGTCTTACTTACGTTGAGAGTCAGAAGATTATATGAGAGCCACTCCATCACCTTTCCTAGAGCGGACTCAGCCGCAGAGAATGTCTCAGACCAATTGGAACCGTGAATGAGTAGAGCTGTGTCATCTGCGTATGTGTAAATGGAACAATTTGGCATGGAAAGGTTACAAAGTGCATTAATGTAGATTAAAAACAATGTTGGGCCGAGAATGGAACCTTGAGGAACGCCGTAACTAAGGGGGATAAAATTACTCAAAGATGACCCTATCTTAACACACTGCATTCTATTATTGAGATAACTTTGAAAAATTAGTAAAGAATGTCCTCTTATGCCAAATTTCTCCATTTTAGTAATTAATTAATTAATCAATGTGTTTTTAATTTTGAGGTTTTTAATAGTTTTGTTTATTTCATTTTTTATACGTACATATCATAAGAAATTTATCATCATCATCAACATCCCTGACGTCAAATAATCATAATCATGTTAATGTCATCTGTTACGAAATATTTAAAATATTTCAGTCACTTTTCAATTATATTTAATAGTCTCAAACTAAGGTTTACCGAAATTGCTCAGCAAAAAATAAAACCTTGTAAACACAGAAAGTGGAATTTCTCTTAGTGTACGCCTGTTATGTTTTTATTAACTGTCTTTGTTTTTTATATATTATGTATTTTTATTTCATTGTAATAATAAGTGCTGTCCTGTGAATGTCAGAATAAATGTTTTTTTTTCTTCCTTCTTATGCTATAATTAGGTTAGGTTTTATAACCTAACCTAATTATAGCAGACCAATATATATATATAACCTATATAGAAAGAAAAATAGAACTGAACCCAAACTAGGCAGAGCCTGTGCTGTTGTTACTAGCCATTGCCGTGTATATCAGTTATGGTGGTAAAAAATAGCCTATGTTACTCGCAGTTAACATAGCTTTCTATTGCTTTAAGAATTTTAAAAATCGGTTTAGTGGTTTAGGTGTGAAAGCGTAACAAACAAACACTCACTTTCACATTTATAATATAAGTATGGAAATTTCTGAATACCTACATATTATAGACTAGCTGAGACCCGCGGTGTTACCCGCGTTTGTTGTTATAACCGCGGGTAACGCCGCGGGGCGAAGCTAGTCTAAAAAAGGTCGCCTAAGTTACTCCTTATGTCATCAGCTATCTGCCAGTGAAAGTCCCGTCGAAATCGGTCGTTCCGCCGTTCCAGAGATTACCCCGAACAAACAGACAGACAAAAATTGTAAAAAATGTTATTTTGGCATATGTACCGTGTAAACATACATATGCATTTAGTAAAAAGCGGTTATTTAATATTACAAACAGACACTCCAATTTTATTTATTTGTATAGATAAATTACACCCAGTAGAATAAATTATCATGCTAATCACACAATATTTGTCCTGGCTTAGCTGTCAGGGTCGTAAACCACTAAACCAAGTGGCCAGTCTAACAACATACATTTTACTACTTACATGTGGTTTAACCCATAAGAAGTAGACATCCATATATATTGGTCTTGTATTGTGGGAACTGATTCAAGATGTCTTCTCTTTCTTTAAACCTGTAGTCATTTGCCCAGTAGTCCACCCAACTGTGTAGATAGTTGGTGTTAAAACCGTATTCGAATCCCACTCCTTCCAAAGGAGGAGTGAATGGGCGGTGGTTTATCAAGCGATATCTGAGGTCTTTGATCATCTGTAATAAAAATATGATATATATGATCATCACCATAAGACTGCGCGGATGGCGTAGTGGTTTAAGGGGCGGCAACGCCGCTTCCTACTACGCTGAGTGTTCTGAGTCTGGGTGTCCTTTGTGCCCATTTCATTTATGTTTGTAAAGTTCCCCGCGACACAGGATGTATTGTGGGAGTTGTTTTTATAGAAAGAAAAATAAAAATAATGTATTTTTTGATCTTAACCCAATTTTATTTGGGATCTTCCCATTAAGGATGTTACAGTTTCTTAACTTTATTACATATTTTGTTTAACAATGTTAGCTTTCTACTCTTCTTCTAGATTATCGTTATCGTCATCAACAGCCTTTAATATTAATTATTTAATATTAATATTAAAGGTATAAAATTATTATTTAATAGCCACGTTGGTATAGAGTTTATGACAAGTTTTCCTTCTCTTTGCAGTGCTATAATAGTCCTGAGTAACCTAATGCTACTCATGGTCTTCTTCCTGCACATTATTTGACAACCAGATTAAATAACGTGGATTAAGGATTACGTGATCTCTACTCCTGTAGAATTATAATTATTTACGTGATGATATATTACGTGATCTCTACAGGAGTAGAAATCACGTAATCCTTAAAACTAATAAAAACTCAACTGAGCTTGTCTTCGACTCACACATTACAGACCACCTCCCACTTGTTGAAATCGAGACTGATAAACAAGTCAAAACAAAATTAACTGCTTCTTAAATTGCTTTTTTTAACGTGTGGAAACCCCTTCGGGCCATCATCCCATACCAGTTTTGGTCTTCATTTCTCATGCAATGTGCCACAGCTAAGCGTAGCGGGGTACTTCAGGGTATCATTAATATGTACCCCATAAATAATTGCAACTTTCTATTACTAACAGTATTTAAGATAATTCGCGAACTGACCAACGGACAAACAGATATAAAAACCGAATCTATAAAGCTCCTTGTTAGAATTCATCAACAGCCTTTAATAGTCCACTGCTGGACATAAGCCTCTCCTGAGAAAGGAGGTTTTGGCCTACTATACCACGCTGGCCAGACGGGTTGGTATAGGGTTTGTGTCAAGTTTTCCTTCTCTCTGCAGTGCTGTTGTCCTGCGTAGTATTTTCCCTTAGTCGGCTCTTACGACACCCACGGGATGAATAGGGGTGGTGACACTCTGTATTCTTAATCCGTCACCACACGGAATGTGAATGTTAGAATTACGGCACCCGTAAAAACATGTTGAAAAATAACTCACCTCTTCATGAAATTGAATTCTGAAAGGTCTGATACTGGTATCATTAAGCAGCTGCAAATGTGTTGGTCCCCACCATTCATTGTCTAATAAAGGTATTCCAGGAGTCACTGTACTCAAAACTATTGTATTAATAAATATATTTGTAAAAAGTAAAATAATCTGAATGTTATACTCCATTGTGCTTGAAACTAAATGAAGAAACTCAGTATCACAGTATCAATATCAACACTACTTATTTAACGACCAGATAATATTATATCTTTTACGTAACGAAACATGCATTACCTATAGTGCAAAAAATATTGCAATTACACGCTTTTGTTAGGTTAATAAAATTAATTAAGTTTTCGCGAGACTGTGTCTTGTGGAGAGATTCCCAAAGTGGTCATAATCGGTTTCCCAGGGGTCGACATAAACGAAAACTGATTTGGGGGTCGACGAGGTCTAAAAATCGACCTCCATTAATTAACACAATATCATCACAATAACAGTGTTTAATAGTCCACTGCTGGACATAGGCCTCTCCTTAGAAAGGAGGTTTTAGTCTACTATACTATAGGGTTTGTGTCAAGTTTTCCTAATATAGTTTGTTCCCTTAGTCGTCTCTTGCGACACCCACGGTATGAATAGGGTTGGTGAACCTCGAAACTCAAACTCTAATTCATAAAAATTGGTTTAAAATCGGCTTTTATGTAGACGCTAAAGTCATAGATCAACACACACAAAAGCAACAATCTCTGTTTTGTCAAATAGTAAGCAAATAAATTTAACAAAAATTAAACTTATACAAAGTCTATGATATGCCTGTGCCGATCTACAACCGCCCGTTTCCAAGGGGTTGAGCCTTATGAGAAGAAAGGGCAAACAAACTCATGGCCACTCTTTTGCAATTCACAGACAGATGCAATGGCATTATTAAATATACCACAACATTGTTTTGATGTGTGCCAGAGAAGATACTCCGTATTCTTAATCCGTCACCAAAATGATAATGTGTCTATATGTTTACTTAAAATCATTTTTATTGTCTGATAATATAAATAAACAATTCATCATTGCTTGGTCCAGCGTCGTTCGCCCTTATGACTTTGTTATTTTTTAATCTTAATATATTTGCAATAACCCCTAACACGCGCCCCATTATTTGTTAACGTTAATAATCTACTTGACTCTCACTCCCGGGGGATGCAATGGGGTGTGTTGACACCCCATGGGAATGAATTTATTGATAAAATAAGCCCCATAATGTGTGGTAGCGGGATGATAATTTTATTGATATGATTTTTGTGGCCCCTTTTTTCAGTGTGGCTGTTCTTATAATACCACTGCGGTGTCAACAAGCATACCATGTTTTTCTTATATATTGATTTTTATACGAACCCTTTAATAAATTTGCACACTTCAGTGTCGTATACCCAATAACTTTTTCAACGTATGCTGCATGCTAGGCGATTTGTTGATCAAGATTTTTTATTTTAAACCGTATTATTTGATTTTGGCGCCCCCTGAATCTGATGCCCCTTTTTGCCTCTACCACCCCCGTCCCCCCCATAGATCCGGGGCTGATAATCTGCACAGGAACATCTTCTAATTTTCTACTGGCTCCCTTTCAAACAAGGAACTCGAGTTAGATACAGATTGTGGCTCAATAAATAAAACTACAACTTTTATTTAAAAATCATTCTAATATTTACTTTATTTAGGCATATATTTCCAGCGTTACATAAAACGTACTAGAAGTATAGTTCATAATATTCGATTTGACTTAGCATACTACAATAGAAGGAAATATTAAACAATAATATAACTATTTATTGTCAACAATGGCTAGAGTATTCATTCATAATTCTTTGTTTTTTCCTTTAAAGACGGCCCTAACTCATATATGGCGCTAGTTTGAAGAAAGATCTTTTTAATTCCATAAAAAAATACATACAGTGGAACTTAGAATCTCCTCCTTTTTTGAAGTCGGTTAATTGATAAAATTAATCTCTATCGTGATCTATCGTATCTTTTTTTGCTTATTCATTATAGCGCCATCTATGGAAAAGCCTTATAACTATTATTGTCTTTCATCTTCGTTGCTTATTAGAGTACAGAGAAAATTACATAATCTATGAGTGGTAAAATTGTTATAATTTTAATATATAGTTATTTTGTACAATCTAAAGTCTTTTAGAGACACTAAGCTAGTTAAAGCCTTTCTATCTTAAACTACATTGAGGTGATACTGAAACTATATCCTTACTTCTGAAATTTCCTTTTTTTACAAAGAAAATTAACACATCACCAAAATAAAATTAAAGATAGCATTGTAATTGTTGTTTCACTAACTTGAGTTAAGCTTAAATATAGTTAGCATAATAGGCATTGAATTTCGTGTAATTGAATAAAATTAAATTATTTATATGCAGCTATAAAAACTTATTTGGGCTTACAAATGCTTTCAATCCTAATGGAATACTGAATACCCCTCTGACCTCGGTTTAAAAAAAAAGTCGTAGTATTACATTTGGGTTTGCATAAATGACATCAATAATCTAAGAGATTAAAAATTATTAAATGTACAGAATATCTTTACTGCAATGATTTTCTGTTATTGATATTAACATATTTTGATATCTTGTTAAAAAGTTTTGAAGAAAATAAATGAAAATAATTTGATTATTGATTTTTGTATGTCTCACGTTAAACAAAGATTCAAAACATACACACTTTTTCATTTTGCTGTTTAACAAACGCAGGGATATTTTAGCGTATTTAACCGATATTTTAGGTAGCCTACTTATTAAGTTTGTAATTACATTTCACATTGCTTTTGTCATTTAAAATGTGAAATTATTTAAGCTGGTTATGCTCTGTGACAAACTAAAGAAAACAACCCAAAATAATAATAACGGGAGTTACATTCATAAATATTTAAATTCACCCAAGAGTTGACCGCTGAATCTGATGTTTCATCTTAAAACAGTGCGCAGCGCCATCTATGTTGTACTTTGCGAAATACCGTAAAACGGAACTGTTTAAACTTACAATATTACTGTGTGTTCATGATTTGTAGTTTATATTTATATGTCATAGAGTATAAAACTCAGAGTGTATTTATTTGAATAAACTGGTAACATTAAATTAGAACATATTCTTTTATGAATTCTAGTGCAAAAGTAGTTCGTAGGTAATAACATAGATGGCGCTGTAAGACAAATCTGTGTCTCAAGTCGGTTTTACTACCAAATACCACCAAGTTTTATAGCTCATTTTAGAAGCAGAGCGGAATATAACCTAGAACAGGCACACGAACCTACCACATCACGTAGCAAAAGGCTAAGTCTAAGAAAGTACTAAGAAACATTTTCATCTTGCACATTTATGAAACAAACACGAACACGAATAGCCCGCTCAAATTAGCCCTAAAAATAATAGTGAAGTTCAAAAATTCGTATAGAGCTAAAAATTGGTATAAATGTTCGGAAAATCGATGTAAATGAATGTTGAAAAGTAGCCATCGATCCCGTGGCGTATGCCAGTGTGAACTAATATTTGTCTCCTATTGAATTATCTGCGTGGCAAGGGTCGTTACCTGCATTCGCTTATAATTAAATAAAAAATTATAAAACCCCCAAAACACATCTTGGATTTGAAATTTGTCATAGTGTATAGTATTGTACTAGTCAAACCCTTATTGAGGGAGTTGTAAACAAAAAATTTGTAATCCGCCATTTTGTGGCGGCGGCCATCTTGGACCGATTTTCATCAAACATAGCTAAAAACACTCCCGACTAATTCACCTTTCAAATAAAATAATGGTCTGAAATAAACTTGCACTCGGCCCTCTGTTTGTGTTTGCTTCAAAAATTGTTACAAAGAATTCTCTTCACGTAAGTATATATTATATAAACGAATTAACACATTTCAATATGTGTTTGTTTTTAACTCCCATTTTCTCATGCATGTTTTAAAACCCCAAATTACGGTCAATCTTAAGATTATCCAGTGAAACCTAAACCTGGTTAAAGTCGGAACTGTTGACTCGATCGTAATTAATTTGGAACTTTTACAACGTCACTTTAACCATTGAAATACGGTCAACGAGACATAATACTTGAAAATATTATTTTTTTAATCATCACTAGCCTTTACTAGTCCACTGCTGGACGTAGGCCTCTCCTTAGAAAGGAGGTCCAGTAGACTAGTAAAGGACGTTGATGTGATGATGACACGTAATCACCATCAAACATTTCGGACTTTAACCTTTTATAAATCTCAGATAATACTGGTTAATGTTAGTATTTACCTTAACACACAAATACAATAAACCTTCTAGAATGTTCACACAATTATGTAATATACCTACTTTGTTGTTACACATAATATTATATTTTAAATAGTCTGTGCTCCTTCACTCTCTGACGTTTTTCACATTCATTCTAAGCCTACATACAATTCTAGTGCAAGCAAGCCGATTATAAGTGACATTACATAAAGCAATTCTATATTTTTTACACATTTCATTTTCAATATTATAAAAAATCTAAAAAATGTATAAATTCACAACCTATTAAATTTGTCTATTAATAACCCGTGTGATTATGTTTTTTTTTATTAATGACAATAGCATATTATTTTTTTAAATACTCTGTTCTACTCAACACTATTAACAAATAATTGTTTACTTAATGTTTTTTTTTCTTACTGCGGGGGTTTAGGCCTTCTAATTTTTATTGGTTACTTATAACAATAATTATTATTTCGATTTTTGTTCCAACTGACAGATTACCTTTCTCATATTTTTTATTGTCTTTAGTAACTTAAGTATAAGTTTAAAAGAATCCAATAAATATATATTTTATAAGTATCATTATAAAGTATTCTAATATTTTTTGTTATTTTAATCAATAATCGAGTTTTTTTTGTCAAAAAAAATATCTGTAAAGATGACGAGTTTTAAACATTATGTTTAAAACTCTTAAATGAGCTATTTGCATAAAATACATACTTTTAGGTTACATTTGCTAAAAATAACATATTATATTATTATTTATATATATTACTTATAAGTATAACACTAAACAGTAAAATATAGCAATAAATTCTAACAGCTAATACATAATAGAGTTCATAAGTCATTAATTACGAATTATACGCTAAGAAAAAGTAATTTTTTTATTGTTCCCTCTTCAAAGCTGTTCATAAAATACTAGGTAATTATAATTATGTTTTGAAAAACACGTTACCTTTTTTTAAAAAAAAATGAGCATCAATGACTGAATAAAAAGAAAGTTTAGTTGCGGTTAAAAATATAATTCAAATAAAATAAAATAAGAATAATCAAATCGTCCGACTAAATTCTAAATTTAAATTTATATATAATTATATATTAAAAAAAAAGACATTTGCATTTCCTAAAAATATATTTAATTTTATTGTTTCAGGTATTTTTTCAACGAAGCCTTAAAGTTTTTCAAGAATATGTAATCTAATGATCTACCGTCACTGCATTCGTCTAATAAACACTCAGTTGAATCTATCACTGACAAAAAAATTCATTTTCTAAGCTAGATCATAATAGTTATTATAATAATTTATTGTCTTATTTATTATTGTCGTAGTAAAGATAAGAAAGCTCGATAAAATATTAACCAGTATAATTAAGATATCTCGAGAAGGGAAAAATATTGTCTCTATATATTTTTTTATTATTTTTTTTAATCAAGAAAGTTAGAGAGGTATAGTGTGGACCACTGCAATCTTAAACAAATTATACTGAACGAAACTATTTAAAGATATGGTTCTAAGGATATGCGTGTAGGTATAATATATTTTCTTTTCCTTATTATTAATAATTTCTAAAGATTTAGATCGACCACCATAAAGTTATGTGGCTTTTTTTGTTTTAATTAAAAAATGTTAATAAGCACAGCCAAAATTTCGCGGTGGATTCGATATAATTTTGTTCCTACAAACTGATTGTTTCGTGTTTACTTTGAAACTGAGCATACTGTAAGCCACTTTAAATACGGGATCTATCCTCACTATTCTATATCTACATTCGAAGGCCATTCGACTGGTATTACAACTTTTAAATAAATTTACTACGGGATACCGCGAATATTCGTAACTTTACACTTCTTTTACCGTCTTAATTGACATTATACCCAATTATTTCATACATAGTGTACTGTTATATTCCAATTTTCGCCTTTACCTTTACTATAGCTACACCTAAACCAAAAATTTCGAAGTAAACACGAAAATGTCTAACACTCCTTACCTCTTAGGCGATAGACTTTGAACGTAATTTGGATCCATTTCATCTAAATCTTTACCTTTTGTTTCCGGTACACAGCACACCACGAAACAGAGACCTCCAACACTTATAGAAGCGTACAACCAAAATGCCCCATGTAACCCCAAAGTCTGCTGGAAATCGACAAATGTTTTGACACCCACAAATGCGCAAAGGTAACTAAACGCAGTCGCCATTGCACTGCCAAATGCTCTGTATTCCAAAGGGAACAATTCTCCAATAAGCAGCCACGATATTGGACTCATACCTAGCGAGAAAGCTATGGTAAACACCAAGACACAGAGTAATGGAATCCAGTCGTTTTGACCGATTGTTTGATGAAACATTACGTTTTGAATTCTCTGATTACGATGTACTTCCTCATAATAAGCATAACTCCCAAATCCAGCTAATGCCATTGACATCAGTACCGAACTGACTATCAGTAGAGGAAGACGGCCTACTGTGTCAATTAATAAGCCAGAAAGACAAGACGCAAGCAGTTGGACAAAAGACACCGCAATTGCAGCTCCATGAGGATTCATACCTCCGAAAGTCTTTCGAAATATCGGGACAGCATAAAACGAGAACGCATGAGCACCAGAAAATCGTTGAAACATCATTAGACCACACGTCACTAGGATTGGTCCTAGCAACCTATTCATGGTCCTGACATCCAAGGAGTTGATGAGCTGGCTACCAGACATTTGACTTTGCCTTTGGCTGAAGTTTTTACTTGCTAGAACATTAGTACGTATCGTTGCCAACTCTTGAGCTACGTCGGAATTTGGGCCTCTTAACCATAAAAGACTTTTGTATGCTTCTTCATCTCTGCCAGCCAACACAAGGTAGCTTGGTGTTTCTGGTATGTACAGTACCGTGCAGAATAAGAGTAATGGAGCAGCAGATATGCAGAGTGCCAGCTGTTGCCAATCAAGATAGGCTCCGATTGTAAAACTGAAGAGAACTCCGAGGTGACCGACTATTTTGAGCACTGCGCTGAGGCATCCGCGGATATCAGGTACTGATATCTCACTGATGTAAACCTGCAATAAATAAAAAGAATTTTATTTAAAATAATATAAACTACATTTATTGACAAAAGAAGTAAAATAATCTTTGTAGAGGTGCAAGGAGTCTTTTACTTAATCAGTTAAGATACATTGATTAAGAGTTAATCTGTCAAATCTTTTTGATCCAAAGCAATTGTTCTACTTTTCATTCAACAACATTGGGTTTCTTAATAAGCGAACTAGTCACGCCCGTAATTACTAAAATACATCAAACAAACGACGAACTAATTAAATTTTAACCGCTTTTGAACTAATAAATGAGTAATTCTATCGTGAAAAGTTTCCTTTTGAGCGAAATTTTTGAATTAGCGAGAGCCGACGAACCGACCGACGGCGTTACGGCCCAGTATACAACTTTGTAAAGTTTTAGACTTTGTCAATTATGAATGGGGCCCCCATTGTACTTATAAAGGCAAAAAGACATATAGATTTTAAATAAATTTCGGGAAATTGAATCTCATTGTGAATTTCCGTTGCGTAGATTAAAGAACATTATTTACGTCCGTACATTATTCGCTCCAGAACAGCAATGGGGAAATGCTTGTTATGTTTGGAATCATCTCTGAATTCTTACTAAATTTTATTAACAAGATGGATAAATGGATGATAAAGCGCAGATATGTTTGAATCATGAATTCATTATTTGTTATAAATGTATTTTAATTGCCGAGAATGGATTTCGAGACTTGAAAACAGTTTTTTACAAATACTAATGATAGATATCAAGTTAGTTGATTAACTGTGTCGATATTTATAAGTACGGTAAACATTTAATTCAGAAAATATTAACTGGAGGGGCTCGTGGCTAAGTGGTAAGCACATTGCAAAGTTAAGCAATCGTAGCCCAGTAAGTGTATGGGTGTGGTTCTTCACATATTGAGACCCCTTCGTGAATCGAAAAGCACGTTAAGCCATGAGTCCCGGTTGCCATCATCACATCACATCAACAGCCTATAACAGTCCACTGCTGGACATAGGCCTCTCCTTAGAAAGGAGGTCTTGGCCTACTATACCACGCTGGCCAGACGGGTTGGTATAGGGTTTGTTTCAAGTTTTCCTTCTGTTTTCAGTGCTGTTGTCGGATTGTCCGTGTGGTATCGGATTAAGAATACGACGTGTCACCACCCCTATTCATCCCATGGGTGTCGTATGAGCAGCCTAGGCAGGACAACAGCACTTCAAAGAGAAGGAGAACTTGACACAAAACCTCCTTCCTAGGGGAGGCCTATGTCCAGCAGACGACTATTAAAGGCTGTTGATGTGATGTGGTCCATCAAATTCACTTACTCACTGAAATGCAACGAATGTATTGCTTAATACTGGTCTTCACCCACTCTGGGAAAATCCAGGTAGCACCGTTATTCTACATACTGGTTCGTTCTAATCACCGGCAAATAAAGAGATTATAGAGAAGAAATACAAAATAATAACATTCGGAACTAAGGAACAATATGTTCACAAGCATTTTCACAGTTTTTTTGATGTGAAACTTTTTTAGCACCAATGTGATTTGACAATTCGATTAAACGAAAAAGCGACAGTAAAAAGAGACAAACATATTCATAAATCGGATTTAGCCTGCGAGAGAATGAGATAGATTACAAGTATACAGTGTTTTCTGTAATGTTCGTCTCCTCCATGCTGTCACGTGTCTTTACTCCTGCGTGCAAAGAAGCCTTCAGATAATGTGTCACAAACAACGTGGTGGTATCATTCACGTGTTTAATTTTTTTGCGTTTGCGTATTAAAATTCGTTGGTTAATTAATTTAAGTTCATTATTTAACACATCTGTGTTAATTTGACTAATACTTTTTATTTTTATAAATTATCTAAAATTAAATCGGTTAATCTTTGCTCGGTATTTTTTTTAATATATTATATTTTTATAATAAATTTTCTAAAAATTTATCGCCCTCGAAACCGCCTGCATACTATATTTCATTAAAATCATTGGAGCCGTTTCCGAGATTCAGATTATGTATATATACTAGCTGATCCGGCAAACGTTGTTTTGCCATATACATTATTTCACAAAAAAATTTCGAAAAAGAAATAAAAAATTAGAGGTATGAAAAATAGATGTTGGCCGATTCTTAGACCTACCCGATATGCACACAAAATTTCACGAAAATCGGTCCAGGCGTTTCGGAGGAGTTCAACTTCTAACACCGTGACACGAGAATTTTATATATTAGATACATATATAAGATTTTATCGTTTAAAGGTAGTAGAGTAGTAAATTATTTGCATTGATTTTACACACAATAATACTCCTGATTCTCTATATTTATCTCATTCTCTTCTAGACTACTTTTCTAAAGTTCTACTTCTGCCGTGTGTGAATTGCACACACAAACACACACTTTTTTTTTCTTTTTTTTTGAATTAAATTCTTAAAATAAAAAACTGACCTGTGATAGCATCGTAAGTATAGAACAGCAGAACCCTCCTAAAAAGGCAGTGATACACATCATCCTGACTGAAGTTGCCACAGTTGTGAGCAGCCAGGATAGGCTGCAGGGCGCAGCAGCTAGGGAAAGCACCCGTCGTCGCCCGTGACGCATCGCTGCTCCGCCTGCCATACCACCGAATAGCGCTCCTGAAATATTCAGTAATTTCTGTTACATAATTGATTGACTGCCATTTGATTATACGTTAATACATTTGTTTAAGGTAGTTATTCCTTTGTATGGTCCTGGTCTTACACCAGACTGCTTTGATGGTATTAACCCTTCTTTCTAAAATGAAAAGCAGTACGGGCTTACGGTAAAGAACTTGAAAATCTCTATTATAAAAATCGTTTTTTTCAATAGCCGTATGCATTTAAAAAGATAGTCTCAATGTCATCTGGTACAACTAACCGAACACCTTCTGAACAAAATCCAAGGTTCTTGAAGCGGGAGTATAAATAATACACAGACACAACAAATAAATGCACATTTGCATGCAATGTGCATGCATTGCCACAAGAGGGCACCGTGACGATTTACAATAATATAATATTACTGCTCCCAAAGAATCTCACCAAACAATTAGTCATTTACATATTAAATTAAGCGGTTGTAACGAAACCATAGCGCGATCTAATTCGATCGTTACACCATCTATGGAGCTAGGTGATATTCTAGTTTTGATTTGGTTTACATTTTTAAACCCAACCACCTTCATAGTTAGAGATTCTGCATAGCGCAATGAGAATTCTCAAGCTGCTTATAAGATATTTTCTCGACATCGATAGGTTATGTGTGCACCCTATCCTGGTAAAAAATTTCATCTCTTCTCTTCAGAGGTTAATCATGATTGACAAAGCTTACGGCTTGCAATCACAACGGTACTTGGTGCAGTATATCTATTTTAAATACCAAAAACAGCTTTATATTGGGCATATAAATCAAGCTTCTGATCGTTTAGGAAAACTTGTCACAATATGTGCTGAATAGTTGTGTCTTCTGGCCGCTCCGTGTTCTGACCTATCTGTATAATGCGAACCTCCGTGTTGGTTGAACTCTTGGCTACCAGTTCATATATAGGAAGAAAACGAGAAGGGAGGACACCGAGGATTATTTTCCGCAACTTTGTAAACAGCCTATTTGTCACTTTTTCGTTAAAGGTTTCTATAGAAATATCTAAACCTTCATGTGAATATTCTCCAAACCAAATAAATACACTAGACGTATTAAGCTTAAACACAAGAATTTTAATTAAGTTTCATCTCAGAGGCAACTGAATTTACGATTATTATTCTTTAACCAAATTAGTTTCTTCGGCAATTATATTACTTGTGAAATCTGGAATAATTTATTGTAATCATTCTTTCCGTGAGCTTCTGTTATTTTGTTCTTTTTTGTTCGTGAATTAATCAGCATTAGATTGCGATATCTAAATGTGACGTTTTCTTTTGTTTTACGACTTGTTATTGTTTTCTTTCTGTTTTTAAATATCTTCCTCTTTTAAACCTCAAGGTATCCGTTTAACGACAATGGGATGGACTGCTATTGATTTAGTGGAATCAAAATCTATTTTGTAAAATGCTTAATCTATTTTGTAATATCCTTTCGGGAATAAATCCTTATATATTTAGGCCAAAACCACCTTTCTAAAGAGAGGCCTATGTCCAGCAGTGGACTGTTGAGGGCTGTCGATTGATGAAGAGGATAATATTTATGTATGAAGTTATGTTAACAAAAAGAAAGCTTTACGTTTTTCTTAATTTAGTTCTTCATTATTTTATTCGAAATACGCCAGCCATGTCCATATCACATCTGCAAGTACCATATATTTATATATTTGCCCTACTGTTATCTGATATTTGAAGACAACTCACACTCACCAAGAAATGATAACGAGGCGAGCCAAGAAGCCTGCTGGTCTGTCAGGTGGAAGTCTCTTCTAGTCGCGTTGGCACCTGATCCCTGAAGAGAAGCAATAGCTGGAGAACTGTATCCTTTGCCAAGACCGGCTGAGAAGGGTGCCAGAGATACGGCGAGAGCGGCAAGCACCTGCAATAAAAGATCCTGTATATTTTACATATTCACTGCTTTTCCAGGAGGGGCTTTTTATAGGGGTGCAAATGAGTAGACGGTTGACCTGATGGTAAGTGACTACCTGTTTGTCTATTTGTTAAGTGGTTAGTGATCCTAACTGCTAAGCCATAGGTCCTGAGTTCGATTTTCACCCAGAACAAATAATTGTGTCATGAGCACGATGATAATTTTATAATCTCTATAATTTATGTATTTAGTGCAGTATATGTTTATCAGCAGACTGGTTACCATAGCACAGGCCCTGATTCTTGAAACTTGAAACCTGAAACTTGCTACAGAATGTCGTTAAGGTATGCACAATCTATATCATCAGAGCTGTACGTGCTTTCTACGTTATAAAAATGTCGTAAAAATATATGCAAACAAATTGATTTTTTCTACAATCATGTTCTGTAAACAAAAGTATTTGGAGACGTGATGTTTCGGTGATTTCAAAGGAACACTTCGAGGGAGGTCTCTTAAGACACTCTCAATTTAGATAAATCGATAAAGATTCTGTTGGTTAAACTTATTAAGAGAAGTGTCTGAGCATACAATAAATAATATTCAACGTTTCACTGTGCTTTAGGAATATTTACTTTTCAACCGATTTAAAAAATAAAAAGATGTTCAATTCGGTGGTATTTTTTGTTAAAAGAAGTCTGTATACTTTCCATTTGGTGTTATTCTAATTTGTGGTAAAAAAATACATGCGCTAAGGGAAGAAAATTAAGGAATGAATAGTTCACTTTATAACAATTCAACATGATGTTGGTGTGTCGAAATCGATGAAACTTTTAAAAGATTTATTATGAGCTATAGTGACTTAGAGATACTTCCACACTTTTATTATTAATGTGAAAGTGAATTAGTTAGTTTTTTCTTACACGCCTAAACCACTTTTTTTGTCTGTGCGGAAATCTCTTCGGATACCACCCACTGGTGGTTATGTCGGATATGAACCGTTTAAAAACCACACGCCGTCTCGGGTACCAGTAGCCGGGGAACCAGGTGCATCCTAAGAAGGAAATGCCTGGAACCCCGACGGACCCTGGGCCATTTACGGCTTGTAGATGACCCCCTCGTGTGTTGGAATCACGGTGTTCCCCTTCTACAACCTAAAATTCGCGCACCATTTGAAAGCTACATTTTCAGCGAGTAACATGGGCTAATTTTTACCGCCATAATCGACACAGGGCAAAAGCTAATGATTTAAAAAAAAGTTATACCTATAAATTGCCCGACGGTTCGATTAGCTTGTTCTGGGCGTAGTCACAGGCTGACCACGGTAAAGTAATATCTAATCTAATAAATATAGTATATAATAAAGTTAAAGTAATATCAGGAATAGGTATTTTTTTTAAGTAGCTCACCACTCCAGCTTCACACGGTTGTGCTAATGAAGAAAATGAGACCAAATCTCCCCTTCCATCACTCAATTTCATTAAATAGATGTACAGTGTTACCACCCCTATTCATTCCATGAGTGTCGACTAAGGGAGCAAACTAAGCATGATAACAGCACCGCAAAGAGAAGCAAAGGTAAAACCAAACTCAATACCAACCCGTCGGACCAGCATGGTATAGTAGGCCAAACCTTCATTTCTAAGGAGAGGTCTATGTCCAGCAGTGGACTAGTAAAGGCTGTAGATGATAGTCATGAGATATTTAGAAGAATGCCTTTGAATTAATTAGTTTAACAGTTCAGGATAAAAGGCTTATTGATTGATTAATACTTCAGGTAATTATTATTATTTAAGCTGATGAAATCACCAGCATTTTAATAGTAGATAAAACTATACTCATTTTACGGGACTTAAGTTACCAGCTGACCCGCGCAATGTCCTTTGTGTTTCTAAAAGTTAATACGTTTTCTGTGTCTTTGCAATATTTTTTGAAGTTTCTATTTAGAAAATGAGAGAACCTTAGAGTTTTACGTATTTCCTAACAATTGTTTACACTTCTTAAATGTCATACATTTACAGTAACATCTATATCTTGAATATAAAATTCTCGTGTCACAATGTTAGTTACCATACTCCTCCGAAACGGCTGGACCGATTTTTATGAAATTTTGTGTGCACATCAGGTAGGTCTGAGAATCGGCCAACATCTATTTTTCATACCCCTAAATGGTAAGGGTGACCCATCCCTAATTTTTTTTGTTTTGCAATACAACGTTTGCCGGGTCAGCTAGTATTTATATATATATTATCCAATTTATTAAAGTTAAGTTGGTTTTGCCTAAGCTTCAAAAACTTTTGCATCGATTGACCCAGTATTTTGACACGATATACAACCAGCTTCCAAGACAGTTTTTACTTATTTTGTTGCTTACTTGTTTTGCTCTTCATTTGTCATCAATGTAATCACAATGTGCTACAGCAAAGCGTGGCATGGTACAGCTAATATTAGATAAAAATAACGTATCTATAGATTTCATAGGAGATGTGACTTGGTTGCTTCTTATTTTCCAGTGTAAAGTACATTTGCTCGTCACCAGTATACCAGGCAATCGTCTTTTCCTTATAATGAAATAAATAGACCGTTAAACATATATCCGCTAAATTAGCAAAACCGTAAGAAAGCTCTTACAAATGGGTTACAACAACTAACTTATGATGAAACCGAATCTCTAATGGCAATACTAACATAAGGAGGTAAGTTACACTCATCCAGACAGAGAGAAACACATAGACACACATAAACACACACGCAAACGCACATACACACACACACACACCTACACTTAATCATACGGACATATGAACAGATCTAGTTTTCAAGTTATCATTTAATTATACTCGTAGTATTTTTTTTTTAATTCACCAAGTATTCACACATACCTACACTTAATCATACGGACATATAAACGGATCTAGTTTTCAAGTTATCATTTAATTATGGTATTTTTACTTTTTTGTATTCACCCTGTTAAATTTAATCACCATACGAAATGAAATGATATTTATTTTTGCAGGTAAATCTTTTCAGATATTTTTAGAAGTCGGAATACATACTTACCTACATATAAAAGAGCGGAGCCTCCTAACACATGCACTGTTATGTCTAAAAGGAGTGCTCCAACAATTCTTGTTGAGTTAATGGAAATAAATTCTATTTTTTTATAGGAAACTCCAACTCAAAATTTCTACAAATATGATTTACTTTACATAACGATCGCATCCAACCGAATCCAGCTTAAACTTCTAAATCAATATTTACTTTCGAGGCAGCGAATGTAAGGCTGCAAATCTAGCATTAATTTCAATATGGCGTTTTGAATTGCTCATTTGCTTATTATATAATACTAGCGATCCGTCCCGGCTTCGTACGGGTGCAATGTAGTAACTACTTAAACTACTAATATGGTGAGAGTGTGGAGTAATTAAACTATTATTATGATAAGCTAAGATTGTGTGTGTGTTCGTGAGTCACTGCTGTTGATCCTGGTGAAAAGTAGTTACAGTGGTGGGCGTGTGCTAGGGATTAGTCCAAAAACTACTCGCATAAATCGAAGTCATCGCCCATTTTTAAGACTTAATTCACTAAATTACAGCTTTCTATTACTAATAGTGTCTAAGCTAATCCACTGATGGAGCGACGGATAAACGGATAGACACACGGACATGTCAGAACTATAAAAAAATCTTGGGTCTACGGAACCCTAAAAAATGACAAAGACTACACATTAACAGTGTAAGTGCTATTAAAGTGTTTATGTAAAGTTCTTAGAACACCTGTGCTAATGCTTTTGTGTCTAATGGAGTAAACAAACTGACATTATAATGGTTCTTCATACAATATGCAATTTACGTAATTTACATTTGAATATTCATGAAGGGAATATTATTACTTTAAAGTTAGTTAAGTTTAGAACATATTTATGAAGTTAAATATTACGGGTTGACTGTCTAGTAAATTTTTTGAAGGCGCTTTTATTTCCCTAAAGTCTGTTTGGATTCAAAAATATTTATGAACTGTCTAGTCTTCTAAAAATATTAAAATCGATTAAAATTACATTTTTTTTCTTTTTTTCTGTGAGGCCGTGATATGGTGGTATGAGCCGGCCCATACCTGCAAAGCTCTGCCACGGTCAACTAAGCAACACTAGGAATATATCCTGTGTCGCGGGGAACTTTACAAACACACATGAAACGGACACAAATAACAACCAGACTCAGAACAACAATTTGTGGAACACACAAAGTGTTGAAACATACGAGTATTAACGGCAATTGACTGTCAGGTCAAATTAACTTCTCCATAGTGAATGTTCTGTAAAATACTTGAAGTAGCAACTTTTGACATTATTGTTTTTTCAAACAGATCGGTTGAGTACATAGTAGATTTAAAATATTATCCCACAGCCTTAAAGGTTGCTCAAAAACCGACACAATTTCTAAGCTATCTATGGTACACGAGTTTAAAAAATGATTACGTCAAAATTCATAAGTGGAACGTTCGAATACTGCATTCAAATAATGTCGACGAATGGAAATTTCATTCGGGCAAATTCGGGGTTCGTTCCGCAGTTTTACGAGCTGTCATTAATAAGTACCTATCGAATGTTGAGAAGTTTGAATTTCGAAAGTAGAAGTTTGTAATATGTTTGAAATGAGATGATCAGCCTATGTTTACAAATCGGATTAAATCGGAATATCGAATTTGATAATCGATTAGGATGATAGAGTAGTCTTTCCTAAAATGATATCATGTACATCAATGATAGGGTTTCTGTGAGAGAGATTTCAGTTTTCGTTTTGTAATGTTTATGCATGGTGTAAATTGTGGATGACGTTAACGATGAAAGGCACTGCGATTGACTGATAGGTCAAAAGACAAAGGGTTTTTGATCGATTAAAACTTACTTTGAAACAAATTCGATTACCGTTAAGTTGTTTGGAAGAATTTCTTAATGCCTATTTTTTGTATATGATGGTATGAACCGGCCCATACGTGGCGAAGCGTGGCTTTTTTTTAAAGACAACTCCTGCACTAGGAATATATCTTGTGTCGTGGGGGACTTTACAAACAGACGCAAAAAACACCCAAACTCAGAACAACAATTTGTGGATTACACAAAGTGGTGAACCATGTGGGGATCGAACCCACAACACTCAGCGCAATAGGAAGCAGCGAGTTGACCGCTAAACCACTAAGCCATACGTGCAGTCAACGACGACAAGTCCAACTTCCCTAATTTACAACTCAAATTAAAAAAAGAATATTTTATGAAAACCCTGGTAACACCGAGGAATGGCTGCTTTAATAACAAAATTCTAATTACTTTTTAAATTTCTTATAAAATTTAACAAGATTTGTAACGGTCAGCGCGTTTGAAACAACACAACAATAACTTGGCAGCTTAAGAGTATCCATTTTGTTCAGTTGCATGGCTTCAGACACAACCCACTTATAAGTAATTACTTGAATACATCCCGACTAGAATAATAACAACATTTAGTAAAGGAAGGTTATAGCAACACCGACGGGTAAAAACTTTCATCGCGATCCGTTATTTCGTTTGTGTATATACGAGTAACTAGTCTTTTAGCCATAATATCAGTATTTTTTGAAACTAAGTTCTTTATCGCGTATTACGCGCTCTGAGCGGATGGGAGCGAGACCGAAAAAATGTGTAACAAGACTTTTTTCCGACACTTTTTTGCTGTAGTTACAGCCGTGTATAAACTATATACATCGCCGCACTCAACTCTCCTTAGAACCTAATTATCCCAGATCATTCAGTGTTTAACTTATCATTATTGATTTAATACATAATAAAAATAATTTATCATCATTTTATAATTTAACTTTATTAACTTGATATTTTACAATATAAATTATAATGACTGTAGGTGTAGTGACACTGGTGCAGTGGCGTGCACGACTGGAGCAGCCGCGGAATGCGCGCCAACGCGCTGTCGGTGCCGTTCTGCCTAACCTTGAAGCTTGGGTAGGTAGGGAGGGAGGTTGCGTCACATACCGACTGACGCAGGTACTCACTGGGCATGGTTGCTTCGGGGAGTACCTGAATCGGATTGGACGCGAGGAGACGGCACAATGCCAGCACTGCGCAGCCGACTGGGACTCCGCCCAGCATACGCTGGAAGACTGCCAATCGTGGGCGTCTGAACGCGAGGTCCTGGTCGACCAAATCGGACGAGACCTGTCCCCGCCAGCAATCATTGCTGCCATGCTGGCGGGTGAGGAGGGCTGGGGCGCAGTGGTCTCTTTCTGTGAAGCTGTAATGCTCCAGAAAGAGACCGCTGAACGGGATCGGGAGAGGGCCGATCCCGAACGTAGAAGACGTCGGCGGCGATATCAGCCATCGACGGGCCGCGGGCCGCCAGAGAGTGGGGACCTCTGGTGGCAGATTGATTGCTGCGGTAGGGAACGGAATGGCCGGCCTGATTGCATTGAGATGCGATCGGGCCGCCAT